TCACCCCAAAGGGAAAGTACCTGTTAAATCAATAAAGAGGAAGGACAATTGAAAATTTTCCTTTATAAAAAGTAAAAGAGTAGATATACAAATAGGGATGCCAAATACCCAGTAGGAAGTTCATATCCAGCCCAGCCAGTCTTGAAGCCCAAGTAAGTACCAGCTACTATGACAAATATCATTGCACATACATTTGCTATCGTCACAATGCCTTGTGCCACCGTACTCTGCAGAAATTAAGTGTTCAATTACCCAAAAAAGGACAAATATATTTGGCAAGTTTAAGAATTTTTTTTCTACACAAAAAGAAAACAAAGAAGATATATAAGTACCTCCTTGATTCCCACACACAAGAGCCCTGTGACAATAAATACTAAAATTGCTGCACAGGGGTCAACCACCATATCGAGCGCAGGAATATATTGCCGGGCTATAAAAGCAGGCAGACTGCCCTCTCCTCCAAAAGTAATGCCTTGAGGAAGAAAAACAAATACATAAGGACATATTCCACATACTTATTTCTTGAAAATTGTCAAAGCATGCAGGAAGAATCATGGAAATAAACTCAAAATTAAAACAAGAAAAAATATTACAGTGTTCTCCCTTACTGATAAACTGGAGCAGAATCAGAAGTTCCTATCCAATGAAGGGGTCATTCTAATTCAAGGAATTTAAAATCCTAGCCCAAATTTCAACCAAGACAGGAGGACATATGGCATTCACTTTATTGTGAGCTAGTATCTTAGAAGAATTGCCCATATACTTGTATACATAAAGGAAGTAAAGTACATACTATGGCCGTTAGATGCTTAAAACCAGATAAAACTACCCCAAAAAAGAAACAGAGCAAGAGAGGAGAGAGAGAGAGAGAGAGATATGGTTCACTCTAAAATAATTAGGATAAATTTGCAAGTTCTACCAGTTCCAGCCCAGCAGAATATGATCTGAGCTTCACGGAAGGAAAAAGTTACAAGAAGTCTTGTTTTGCATAATACATAAATTAGATACTTAAAAGTAAATCAACTGTACCAGATTAGGGGATATGCCACGAGCAACCGCTGAACCACCAATTGTATATTCTAGAATCAAAGCCCAACCGACCAACCAAGCAACACTGCAAACAATGATAGTTCTGATATCACTAACCAATGCAAATGAAAAGTTTCAATGTAAATAGGTCAGTACAAGAATCTTTTCTTGAACAAGAATGCTAAGCTTTACTCTTCCTTTTCTTTTAAAATTGCTATGCACGACACTTTAGTGACAGAGTATCACTGAGAAATTACCCTTCTCCAATGCATATGTACGTATAGTGATAGGCGCTCCCAGCAGAAGGGCAGCGACTTGCAAGCTCGGCATAACAAAAGGCTGAAAGAGCTGCAGCTATTCCAGCTATTAGAAAGGAAATTGCCAGGGCTGGTCCAGAGTGCTCCCTAGCCACTGTCCCAACAAGAATATAGACTCCTGCTCCGATCGTCGAGCCAACTCCTAATCAAGTTATATGAGAACTAACGATAAGCTATTTGTGAAAGACAAATAAACCGTGATGTCCAATAAACGGAAGTAGCTTGTTTCATTATTTAAGTCAAAATTTAAAGTGGTGCTGATATTTGAGTGCATGAGTGGGTGTATGTGCATAATACACAATAGGCCATCAATATAAATTATGCCGTTAAAACTTAGTAAGAACAATAATCAACTAAATCATTCGCAAGGGATTAGTAGTAAATGAGTAATTTTATGATGAAGGGTGCATGAATAAAGAAAAACTTAAGCATACCATAAATCTTACTTCAAAGCGAGGCACAGAGCAGGAAGATAAAGTTGAGAGGAAAAAGGAATAAACACAGGAGAGCAAAATCTAATACCAATTACAAGAATATAGCGAGGAACAAACACTTGATCATCTTAAATACAAAAACAAATTAACATGAACAGTTTAATATGAGATTATCCAAACGCATATGCAAACACAAAGCACATGTATCAGAAAATGATTAAGAAGGAAAAGTTTACCAATTGCAACAAGATGGGGAATCGTCAACTCCTTGGCCAACTGTTGACCCCCAGACTTCACGTGAACCGAGTCCACCTGTTTCCTCCTTATCAAACTATTCAGACCACCCCATGAACCCTGTTTTCCGCTTCCCCCTCCACCACCCTCTTTCGAATCAACTAATAAACCCATCACACAAAAGCCACAAACTCAATTTTTCTCCAAGAAAGCTAACAAATTTGATCTTCCAAGACTGCCTTTTGGCGTCCTAAGCAAAAGATACAAAATGGGTTTCTTTGTTTTGATTTGATACTAATGATAACTTCAATTATTTCATCTAAACGAAAAACAAATTACAAAAAAATTAGAACTTATATACACTAAATCAAATTCAACCTGCCTGCCCTCCCCGTATACATAATCTGATATAGATTTTTGAGGCCTCTGTACCAAAACGGGAAGCGGGCAGATTAAGGAAAGAAAGGGTGGATTTTCCCCTTTTTCCCTTTGGGTTGATGGTGGTTTGCTCGTTCAGATAACAACCCAAAATAATCTGAAGTTGGTGTTTTTTCTTTCTTTTTCTTTCTTTTTCTTTTTCTGTTATTTTATTCTGTTTTGCTAATATAGGTAATTGAAGCAGCCCGAAAAATACCAACAAAGAATAAACCGGAATTAGGATTGCGTACGTAATGATTTTGATTGGTCCTATTGGATGGGAAAAAGGTCTAACTAGATCCATTCTAGTGGGGGCCACACGCGCCCAAAGTTCTCCATTTGGCTCTGGCTCGTATGGCTTCATATTGGGGTGACGTCGTCGGTGAAAGAACATCTTGAATTATTGGAGGTGAACCAAATAGTAAGTTAATATGATGCATAATTACTCATCACGATGTGATGCCGTGTCAAATTCATATTTTTTAATGACATTAGTTAGTTATTTCTTATTTATATAAAATAATTGGCATGGAATAGAAGATGAGATTATAACTGGTAAAAGAAAAAGGGCCAAGGATTTGCAATCATGCAGCTCAGAGTTGCTGGCTGCTCTCGGACTCCCCTTTTGTTTTTTGTTTTTTTTTTTATATATATAAAATATAAACTTCATTAGATAAAATGCAAAAATACAATCAAAGATATCAACATGACATCTAAAATAACAATTTCAAGAGGGCAACCAATTAACATGTGAAAAACAAAACTAAGTTTAAAAAAAAAGAGACTAAAACTACTAGTCGACATCACCACAATTAACCATAAATTCAAACAAAACCTATAAACCCAACATGAGCGAAACACTAAAGCAGCCTATAAACTTAAATGAATCATACTACACCACCACCCGAAAAAGAACTCCCACTCTCCCTTTTGGTTGCTTCATGAATCATGATGTATTTATTGTTTTTTGAAAAATGGATGTGGAATAAAATATCTTATCGTCCGGAGTAAATATTAATGCGTGTACGAATGGAATTGCTACTTAACTTTATTGAGATACGGACGAAATTTGAATCACCCATATGACTCAACTTTTAAAATGAACATTAAAAAAATGTGTAAAATGAAAGTCAATCAATTGGCAATCGTGATGATGACTCATATGAAAATGCTAGCACATTTATTGGCAGCAAACAACCAAAATCATTGTACTAACTTCATTGGATACACATTGCGGGAACATATATTTTACCGGCCAATAAAAAGATGACAAATGAAAAAAAAATTCCTTAGGTCAAATTAATTACTCTAATTAATTCCTATATAATTAAGGAAATTATCTTTAATGTGAGATAGAAATATCTCTCTAAATCAAGGAATCAAACTCCACCAAATTTTTTGAAGCGATTCCTATAATCTTTTTGGGAAAAATAATCCTAACCAAATAAGGATTATTCTCCCACAACTCTAGCACACAAGGAGGCTATAAATACATAGTCATACAAGACATTTGAGGTAACGCTTTCTCTCCTAAAAAAAACTCTCTCTCTCTCTCCTTATTGTCGCCACTCTCGCTCTCCTCTCTCCAACATGGTTAAGTGCCACAACATACAGCTTCGGCTACTCGGCTCTCCCTATGAGAGAAAATTTCATCCATTTTAGCTATTGTCGTATCTTTTATCAAAGATCCAATTGAACTAACTTAGGCATCAGATAGCCTTTGACCAACATCCCCCGTGTGTGGTTTATTGACTCCTATATATTTCGCAAGAATTAAGGAATAGAGAGAATGAAGATCGAATGTTGAGGAATCAACCAGCGAATATTCTCCGTGAGAAATTTCCACAAACATTTTGGCGCTTTCATTGAGAGCGCAAGTTATACTCAATGCGTGCTCATGAAACAAAGGAATCTGTTTCCTCCTATTCATCACTCAACCAAAGTCTTCTAAATAACCATGGTTGGAAGCAGGTGCACGAGAAGCAAGAGCGCCACAACAAGTCAATCCGTGATGGATCTGTGCCGCCACTTTCCGCTATCGAGGCCATGGCCTAATATCCCAGCACCACCGTGGCGTACGCTCTCATGTAAACCTCTAACGAAACCCTAGCCCATGTGCAATTGGGCTCCACACAATTCTCTCCTCCTGATCCACAAAGCTAAGCATATCTCAATCTTAGAGTTGACCAGCTGACTCAAAGAATGGACGACCAAAACAACTTGGTTGGACAGCTCCTCAACTAGATTGACTTGGTCCAAGAACTTGGCCTTGGAGCACAAGTCAAAGATAGAAGGATGGACAAACGTACCCACAGACAGTTCGAGAGGTCACATGTAGGTCGAGCAAAGGCAAGTAGACAAGGAGAAGGATAAGAGCATGCTCAACACATTGGCATGTCGCAAGCATCTACGAGCCACGCTTAAAGCAGATTGAGTCTCCAATCGAGATAAAGTCCAAGGATCAATGCTTGGTTGGGCCCACAACCCAATGTTCACGCCCGACTAGGCCCTCAGAGAAGTGTTTACATGAGACTAGGCCCCCGAGAAGATCAGCCTTATGATCATTCCCATGAAGTATGAGAAGGTGGTATTACCACTCAAGGTCAATAAGAATAAAGAGAATGATGACCTTGAAATGAAGAAAAGTTCTAGTTGACACATGAGCCACGGTTAACATCCTTCTCGCCTTAGTGATGAAGAAATTGAAAAAAAGTTTAGATGAACTAATCCCAACTGAGACAACGGTCAGTGGCTTTGTGGGAGATACCATAAGATTAAAGGGAATCATCATACTCCAAGTCAAAGTAGGGAAAAAGGTCAGGAAGATAGCCTTCTTCATGTGGAAACAACAGCTTACTTTAGTGCGTTGTTGGGTTGAGATTGGATCCATAGAAGTATGTGTGTCCCTTCCTTGCTTCATCAAACGCTACAATTTTGGCATGAGGATGGGAGCGTGGAACTGGTTTAGGTCAACTCACGGCCTTTCATGGCTTCAGCCAACGTAGTGGAGGCCAAATTTTACGAGGATGTGTGCAGTGATATTCTATAGAGTGATAAGGTTCCAACTATTGAGAATGCATTTTTTATGGTCCATCATGAGGCTCAATGTCAGATTACTATGCTTGGATCCAGTACAAAGCCTAGGGCACTTGTTGTTGGGTTTGCTTCCAAAAACACTGCTCTGGTTTCTCGGCCTTCATGATCTAGCTCTACCTCTACTTAGCCTCGTCGCCTAACTTCTGCAGAAAAAGACAAACTAAAGTGTGATCACTATGGTGATCGAAGACATACTATAGACACATGCTGGGAGTTGCATGGGGTCATAGAGTGGGAAAAATCATGGAGGCTCTTGAAAAAGGAACAACTGGGTGGCAAAGCTCATGTGGTCGAAGCCACTAACCCTGCAGACATCTCTACTTGACACTGCCACCTGGCCGCCGCCTCTACTTCAGCCATGCCCACGACCTTGGGTACCCTACCATCTCTTGCACCTCTGTCGTCTCCAGGAACTTTGGCAAGGCTTTCCTTGCTCATGATGCACTCAATACAGGTTGGATTATTAACTCTGGTGCTACTGACCATATGACGTATAATTCTGATTTATTCTCTACTATTCTCTTGCCTCATCATGATCATGTTCTAACTGCTAATAATGCTACTGCTCCTGTCACAAGGGCTGGTTCTGTACTTTGGACACCTATTTTACCATTAGACAAAGTGTTACTGGTTTCATTTTTGTCTAGCAATCTATTATATGTGACACAAGTTACTGAGCAGTTAAATTGTGTTGTGCTTATGTATCCATCTATTATTTTACTATAGGATATCCAGACTCAGGAGATCTTTGGTCGTGGTACTAAAATAGTTGGGCTTTATTACGTGGATGATATGGCAACTAGTCAGGTTCTTTGTACTAGTACCACTGAAACTTCTCATCATTGCTGGATTCAGTTGCTACATTACCGTTTTTGTCATGTCTCCTTTGGTTATTTACAACATTTGTTTCTTGCTTTATTTAGTGGTGTCTCTAAGTCTGCCTTCCAATGTCAAACTTGTATTTTAGCTAAGAGTCATAGAGTATTCTACCCTCTAAGTTGTAATAAACGCCTAATGTTATTTGATATAGTTCATTTTAATGTTTGGGGTCCTTCCCCTATTTCTACTGCCTTGGTTATTTGCTGGTTTGTGTTATTTGTGGATTATTGCACTCATATGACGTGGTTATATGAGATGAAACATAAAAGTGGTGTGGTCACTATCTTTCCAGGTTTTTATCAGATGATTCAAACTCAATTTATCTTCCCTATCAAAGTTTTTTGATCCGATAAAATGGTGGACAATTTGTAGATTCAACTTTATCTCAGTTTTTCCATATTCAAGGTGTTCTCCATGAGACTACTTATCCTCATACACTACAACATAATGAGGTTGCTAAATGTAAAAGTGGGCATATCATTGCCGCTGTCCGTGCTTTACTGCTTGGTGTGTCAATTCCAAAGCAGTTCTGGATGAATAATGTTACCTATACAGTCTATCTTTTGAATTGTCTACCTTCATGAGTTCTATATTTCCAAATTCCTATGCAAGTACTAACCCATCATGTTTCGGTCTCTTCTATTCTAACTTTGTCTCCAAAATTATTTGGATGTGTTGCCTATATTTACCTCCATAAGAATCAGAGAAGCAAGTTGTACCTTTGTGCTCTTCACTATGTCTTTTTGGGTTTCTCTCCTCACCACAAAGGTTATCGGTGCTATCATCCTCCTACTTGACCTCTGTATGTCTTTATGGATGTTACCTTCATTGAGGATAAGATGTTCTTCTCCAAAACATCCAAGCATGTCCTTCAAGGGGAGACTAGTAGTGCATGACATGACTGACTAGATTTACATGGAGAAGTTGTTATGGATGGTTTGATACAAGGGGGAGCAACAGTGGAACCAGTTGAGCCTACTATGTTGGACAAAACTACTGATTTGGAAGAAACTCCTGCCTTGGCCAAAACCACTACTTTGGCCAAATTTGAACTTGCTAGTTTTATTGATGGTGCTAAGCCGATTCCTTCCCCTACTTCTCAAATAGTACCCAATCAAGCTCCTCTCGATATTCCTGAGGTAAGCACTTCTATCCTACTGCAGAAAATTCTTATATTTTACCACCTAGATGGAACCGTGGGGTTCCACCTGATTGTTACTCACCAAAAGGCAAAGCAAGATATGCTATTGCCCATTACGTGTCTCATCACAAGTTATCTCCTGAGTGCAAGGTGTTTGTGACCATAATGGATAGTATTAAAATTTCAACATGTGTTGAGGAGGCAATTAGCAATCCAAAGTGGGATGAAACCATGAATATTGATATAAAGGAGTTGCAGAAAATAATACATGGGATATTGTTGATCTGCCAAAGGGAACGAAGCCTGTGGGATGTAGATGGGTGTTCACAGTGAAATATAATGCATATGGTACTATCAAAAGGTACAAGGCAAGATTCGTAGCTATAGTGTTCACTTAGATGTATGGAGTTGATTATCATGATACTTTTGCACCTATGGCTAAGATGAATACAGTCAGAGTGTTGTTGTCTTTACCAAATGTCAATACTGATCATACTCTATTTATTAAACATAAGGTTGGTAAGGTGAGTCTGTTGATTATTTATGTTGATGATATGATTTTGACTAGTGATGATAATGTAGAAATCAAGGAGTTGCAAAACCGTTTAGCATTTGAATTTGCAATGAAAGATTTGGGCAGTCTAAAATATTTTCTAAGAGTGGAAGTCACTTGATCTAATATGACTTATTTCTTTCACAAAGGAAGTATGTCGTGGACTTGCTAGCAGATACTGAGATACTTGACTGTAAACCAACTGAGACAGCTATTTTGGAGAATCATAAACTTGAGATACCAGAAGTTGGTTGGGAGATTTATCTATTTGTCACTGACATGCCCCGACATTGCCTATGCGGTAAGTGCTACTAGCCAATTTATGCATTCACCTAGTGAGGATCATATGGCTCCTGGTAGAGGTTTATTATTTAAAAAAACATGGTCACTTGGATCTAAAAGGTTACACTAATGCAGATTATGCAGGAAATGTCACAGATAGATGTTCTACATAAAGTTACTTCACCTTTTGTTGGTGGTAACCTGATTATATGGCATAGCAAGAAACAAATATTATATCACGATCTTTTGTAGAGTCCGAGAATAGAGGGATTGCCCAAGGGGTTTGTGAAATACTATGGTTGAGGGTTACTAAAATTGGGTTTAGGCCAAACACTGCTACAAAGCTCCACTATGACAGTCAGTCTGCATTTGAAATTGCTAATAATCCGGTGCAACATGATCGAACTAGGCATGTAGGAGTTGATCGGCATTTCATTAAGGAGAAGATAAAGCACAAGTTAATTACTATACCTTTTGTGTCTTGATCGGCATTTCATTAGGATAGCTCACGTCAACACTCTTCCTCAAGTTGGTGCATATACGTCACTAATGCCCAACTTGGTAAGTGAGTCATAAAACACTCGTCCACAAATAGCTTTTGTTAAGACATCCGCTAATTGATCTTCTGATTTTACAAAAGGTAGACAAATGATCATGTTCTCAATTTTTTCTTTGATGAAATGTCTATCCATCTCAACATGTTGAGTTCGATCATGTTGAACTGGATTATGAGCAATATCGATAGCTGACTTGTTATCACAATGTAACTCCATTGGCTTATCTTGTTTGGATGCTGAGATTATTTCTTTTCTATTAATATCATTTGAGTATCAACCAGTAGTACGAAAGCTATGCTTACTACTATCTTTCTCAACTCACTTGACAAGTTGGGTATGCGTGACATCTTTGCTCTAACTTGAGAGGGAGTGTTGGCGAGATCCTAATTTTATTGGGAGATTTATTTCCTATTCTATATTATGATTTTATTTATTTCTCTTTTGTACAAATCTTGTGTAATTAGGAGTTTATTTGTTTCCTTGTATAACCCTACTACGGTTTACACACTTGTATTATAAATACATCTTTTGGAGAATGAAAATATATCAGAAAATATTATACCCTATATTGTTTGACTTGCATGTATTACACACTTGATTTCTGAACTTGCATGTCGATTTTTGAGCAAATAACCTCATAATTTAGTCCGGTAATTCTACTCTCTTTCAACCTCTCGTTGATAAGAATGGTGGCTTCGATTCATCCGAATTCAAATCAAAGAGAGATAGGGGGAAAAGACAAAAAGGGAAGAGGCAGAGAGAGGAGAGGCAGAGAGCTCTCTCTCTGGTGGTATTTCTTTAAGAGGTTTGGATGGGCGGAGAAGATGCACAGAGAGAGAGAGAGAGAGAGAGAGAGAGAGAGAGAGAGAGGAGAGAGCTCATACGATTGCAAAGAGAAGGAGAGAGAGAGTTGGGTTGGGGCGAAATGGAAGTTGGACGCATGCACGCATCATGTGCATATTAATTGATGGAATTAACAAATTGGCCTTGATTTGCTGACAACCTAAAGTAAAGTATAATGACCAAAATTGGAAAATTAAAAGTTTGGTGACCAAAATTGAAAAATTAAAAGTTTGGTGACCAAAATTAAGTTCAACCCTAACCCGAGTGACCAAAAATGTAATTACCCCAACAAAAAAACTTCTAGCAAGACAATGTTCCCTAAAGGTTCTAGCAAGAATATGTTGGTGTAGCATTTAGCTGCTGAGTGTGTCTATAAATAGATCTAGATCAAAAAGTAAAATGATTAAAATCCTTTGAAGTTGCAACAAATACTTACTGGAAGATTTTTGTTTTTTTTGTTTTTTGTTTCTTTATGTTTTCACCACTTCTTTTCCTTGGGATTCAGGATTCTGAAGATTGAATTTTGTTGTAAGAAAGCTGAAGAAAAGAAAAGATTGATTTTTCGTGCGAAACAAGTTTCTTCATAGTGAACTGGAAGATGAAGTTTATCTGAGTGTACAAAAAAGGTTGGCCTACACAGGTGCTTTTCATACGAATGTTGTCAACAGAACTTCGCACAATTTGAAGGGTTGTCCAAGAAGAGTTATATGCATGCGTAAAAGCAGTTATAGTTCCATGGTTGAAGAAAACAGAGCCTGATTTTCTCTGAATTTTATCCTTTCGTTCAAGACCTACCTACTGTGAATTTAGAACAGATTGAGATACGTTAATTAAATTAAACTATTTACATGCTTTTCCACAACACTTCCCGAACCACCCGAAGAAGACTATTTTACAATGAGATGAACGATTCTGTTCGGAAGTTCCATTTTAAAAATTTACATGATAAAACTTGAAAAGTGATAACACATTTGTCACCTAACTTGGGGTGAGTGGTTCTTGTCCTGCATAAAGACTAGGACAGATTGTCTGATGAGGAACGATACATCTCATCAGCATAAGCGGAGGGTACATAAACTGCATTGAAAAGTGAACTATGGCTCCGGCCGTAAAACAAGTATACCACTGCTCCTATGGCAAACCATACAGAGATGCGGATCCATGTGGCAGCTCTGTGAGTTAAACAGGAAACAAATAACCAGTGAATATAACATACTTGGAAAGTTATAGATAAATATATTCAGATATTGTGTTTGAACGTGAACTTGATTATTTGTGTGTTTAGAGGGGAAGGGAGCACTCACCCAAGATCAATTAGCAAGTAGGTATTTATGAGAATGCAAGCAGCAGGTAAGAATGGAACAAATGGACAAGTGAAACCTGGAGAGGGGGAAAAAAACGTTTGTTACTTCAGCAGTTATTGAGAAATATCTATGGCTTTCGCCTACACGTACAACCACACCAGACTTCTTAATTCATCAACTGCATTTTACCCCTCCCAACTAATTCTAAAGATTGGGTTTAACTTTTGAAGGTTGCAATGTAGTAACATAAGGTTACGGATTACTAAACTACATTGAGTTTAATAAATAGTTTGCTTAAATTCCGAGGATGAAGTCCATTCTCAGCACTGGCAGAAAACTTAGAGACCAAAATTTCTAGTGTATGGACCCATCAACACTGACTAATGATAGAAATTACTTGTACCTCCAGTGTGTCCAAAGCTGTGCCTTCCGTCATCTTGATCTGTACAGGTCAGCACAATTAAGCAGCACAACAGGAGAGCTCCACATACTCCACACACAGTGAAGCGAAGAATGCTGGCACAATCAATAAGTTGGGACAAAGTTATTATGCATTAAACTAAATCCGATGAAATTGTAAGATATGCATGTGCGAATCTCTGATCTCATCCCTATTCACATATGATTTACAGAGAAAAAACTGCATATGTTTATTATGGAATACACCTAATGCATAAAGTGCCCAGATATTTAATAGAATGCTGGTCAAATCTAATGTTAAGAGTTTTTCAAAATAGATTTCCTCTTGTTGGATTCTGGATTTGTGAAATTCAGGCTTGTTTTCTCTGTACTAATAAGCTAAGCCCAGTGTAATGTTGTCTTGTAAACTATATGTGTGTGCTAAGAAGCATTTCGGCTGCATGGACAAATGCCAGATAAGCAAATTTTCATGGATTGAATCGAACTATGAAGGAAATGGAGATTCCAGGTGATATTTGACATTTGGACTAATCTTTTCTTTTACCACGTAGGTTACAATATGCACGTAACATGCCTAGGATTATCAAACATTAAACATTGTACAATTAACAAAAAAATTAACAATGATGAAAAGGAATCACCATAAAGTTTGATGGGAATGTGCACCCAATACAGTACACTTTTGATGAGTACATTGGTACAACCCCACACAGATATAACTTATAACTATATTGGCACAACCCCATCCTGGAACTTGCAAACTAACAAACCAATGGGGAATGGGGATGAGAGTTTTTGAGCCAGGATCTATGGAAACCAGTGATCCAATATGATTTTATAGCACAACATATCCAAAAATCTTAAGTTGTGAGGAATGGGCCCACCATATAGATCAATCTAACCAAAGTTTCTTGTCAAAAAAACCAAAAAACCTATCTAGAGTCAAAATTCTGGTCAAATACAAAAAGGCCATTAATCAAAATTCAACATGCTTAAAATGTACTTTGGAAAAATGACAAACCTGGAAAGGCCTTGAGCTGAAGCTGCAAATGCAAAGATAAAGACCCCTATACAGAGAAAAGTTATGGTCCACGCAGAAATTTTCCGTCTTGTTTGTTCATTTTGATTCTCTGTATGATTATTATGAGTCAAAAAGAGGAACATCATGGTCCTAATATGTTGTAGATGAAAAATTGAGAAAAAGTTTGCACTTTTAAAAGCAGAAAGAATTATGAATGGACTATCATGAAACTATTCAACCTTATCTCAAAATGAAAACAAGCCTAAGGTGCACCCTAGGTAGAAATTTCAACCATACATACCAGGTACCATTATGTAAAAATACACACTAGGTACAATATTATGAAAAGAAAAACCAAAGATCATAATAGCCAAACCTGTGTCCTCCCCGCAACCCAACAGAAAAGTTCTAATTTGGAATTTGAGTTCGAAGTATATATATATATATATATATATATATATATATATGTATTATTGTTTAATGTTTCATCTTGCAAGGGAAAGTCAAGACATAATGAGTTCAGAAATGGTGAAGAAGAACATGTTTCATCTTGTTTAATGTTTCATCTTAAAGATCACAATAAGTTGAAAAACATGGATCCTACACCAATTGTCCAGGATAAAAACTTAGTCAATTTAAATTGAAGCAATCTTCATTTTACATGGGATGAGATCTTAGTGGCTAGTGCAAATGAGACTATCCTAACTTTAAGAGAATATGACCAATTTGGTCCCTTAGTTCGGGTGTTTTTAGGTTTCTGTAGTTTTAATTATTTTCAATCAGGTTGTCATAGGCTTCATTTACATTCAAGGGAAAATTAAAGAATCCGTCAATTAGTTAGACAGAAATGTAGTGCGCCTCAGGTGCAAGTGGGAGGTTAAGGCGGGGACCAGATTGAGAATGAACTAACTATATTGAAATGATAAAAATAAAAATAAAAAATCGTCTAACTAATTGACGGTTCTTAAATTTTCCTTGATTGTATAAGAAAATTAACTAGAACCTGATTGAAAAAATTAAAACTACACAAATCTGATTGAAAAAGCACCCAAACTACAGTGATCAGTCATTTTCCTTATTCTTAGTCCCCCATGTTTAGTGAGGGTCTCTGTCCACTCCAAAACAAAAGCATCATGATTTAAGTACATTTCAAGTCAAATATTTGTTTTCCCATACTTCAAATAATTTAAGACAATATTACCCTGTGATATGCTTTTCTGAATCAGAGGATAGCCAAGTGATGCCTCCCCAATTTCATGTAAATATCGACTATTATTCGCAGATGAGCCAGAAGGATTTTGAAGGTTTTTGCTGTCACTTTCCTGAATATCAGGACCAAACCGAAATGATGCTGACTTAATAGACTCTTGAAGTGATGATGAAAGTGGCACCTCATCTGGTGGAACATATCTGAGTATCAAAACTGAAACTGCAGCAGTTGTAAATGCAAATAGTGTACCAACACTAACCTGTATCCACAGAATATATACATACATGTAAGAGTGAAAACAAGAAAACAATAAAGATTCATCTCTCTATACATCAATATCTTTAAATTCATTATTTATTTAGACAATGTGATCCTCCTTAAAATCTCCAGTCCCAAACTTTGGTTAACTTACCATTCCCGCCAATTGTGAAACATCCATAAAGAATGCCAGAACTGCTGCAAAGATACCAGTTGTAACCGTGCTCTTCACAGGAACTTGGGTGTTTTTATTAATGTCTGAAAAAAATGACGGCAACAATCCATCTCTAGCCATTGCCATCAGTATCCGTGGCTGGAAAATCAAACACATGAGATATTTCCAATTATTAGGTGGAACAGATCTCTGATTTGCGATAATAAGTGCCTCCAAATAAATGGAAACTAAGGTAATCATTAAGAAGCATAGCAGATATAAAAACCTATTGATGATACACCACCATTAAGGTTTTGGTGGCACAAACTTATAGTAGGCCATTGAACAGATCCATTATCTTCCCCAAAATACCTTTTCCACTAAAGATAGATTAGTCTATGATATGCTGCTGAATAGTTAAAAATAAACGACAGTTTTTAGATTATTTTTGCAATGGGTTTGTTTTTGATGTTTTGTTATCTTTAGAATCCGGTTAACACTTATATAATGTTCAGCAATAATCATCTCCTGTTAAAGGTAGTTCTACTTGTCACATAATGTTTAAAATAGCATTCTGGATCACATAACTCCATTTCCTGCCAAATACATCCAAGCAAACAGAGACCAAATATTATGCACATGCAAAAGAAAAACATATATCTACGTCAGATCAATATATTGGAGTTTCAGGGTGTGGAGATACTGATATTAATATGGGAGTATAATGTGTTGTCACTTTGACACATAAAATATTAAACCCAGTTGATACGTTGTAACAGCAACTAGCAAAAGATTAATTAAATACTATCAATTTTCTTAGTAAAATCAGTGCGCACAAATTCACGCTAGGGCTGATGTCTCACTCTATCTAGTTCTATCATCTCTTATCTTATAACATGGTATGACCGTATGATAACAGGAATACTTAATCTGAAGGCTGACTGTACCAATATATAATAAAAACTAAGGCACAGCATTTGTCTGGGTGCAAATCAGACTCAGAATCTATTAGTAAGGACAAAGCCATGGAATGAGCCAATTCGTGAAAGAAATTCTATCAGTGCTACCTCCTAAATTTTGACTGGTAACCTAAAGATTTTTTGGACTTAAAAAAAGTCTTGTAGTCCTTTCTCAGTATGGGAATGCAATGCAAACAAAACAGCAAACTCTTCAGGCATTGACACAGAATTTTCAAGAAGAATTCTTTAAAACTGTCAGGAAAGTCCAAAAGAATTGACCAATATGTAATTGAATAAGCAGGAGTAAATGAAAAAACTTCATAAAACTCCAGTCTGCATTAGTAGAACTCCACTGTAAAGAGGCTCATAACTATGCTAAATAAAAAAATATACAAAATAATGAAGGTACTATTTACACACCTGGGCAAGAAGCGAACCCAACAAACTTGCAAAGAGAGCAGTAATTGCTCCAGTTGTTATAATATACCTGAAATATATGCATATGAATCCTAAAATAATTCATTTTAAATGGAAGGCATATCACGATCCTGGAGAACAGAGTAACAACAGAACCAGGAAGCAAATATGCTTACACTGCCCATTGTAGCCCATAGCTCGCAAATACTGAGGAGATGGGAGTGTCTGGATCTAAGGCATAGTATGGTACTAAGCCTGTAATAACAAAAGATACAAACATATACAAGATGCAACATATAAACAATGCTATTCCAATACCGAGGGGCAAATCTCGTTGAGGATTCTTCACCTGTCATAAATAATATGTTCTTAAATTCTTGAACAGGAGCCCAACAATAACATTTTTATACAATTTTATTTGACCATTAAATGATGCATCACGATAATCTGCTACACAAAATTCTTACCTCCTCAACTGTGCTGGTAACTGAATCAAAACCAATATATGAAAAGAAGACCACAGCAGACCCAGCAAACATCCCATTTATTCCAAAGGGAAAGTACCTAAAAAATTAAAGTGCAATGTGAGGTAGACCAGTAGTCTAGTGAGATTATCATATAACAAAGTGTAGACAAGAAGACCCCCATTACCCGCTGGGAAGTTCATATCCAACCCATCCAGTTTTGAAACCCAAATATCCACCGGCTATTATGATGAAAAGCATGACAGACACGTTTACTGATGTAACAATCATTTGTACCAATGAACTCTGAGAAATTGAATTATTTGCTTTAGTAAGAAATGCAACAAAGAAAAAGAAAACTTGAATAGATGAAAAAGATTGAATGATTGTTTAGGAAAAAAAATACCTCCTTTATCCCTGTGCACAAGAGAAAAGTGACGATAAGAACTAATACCGCTGCACACGGATCAACCACAATACCAAACACAGGGATGGTATGAGGGCCCAAGATTGCAGGCAACTTATCCACACCTCCAAAAAACAAGGCCTGAAGAAAGAAACAGAAGAACCATAAAGTATCTATTAACACTGAGGATCTCCCCCATTGTTTTCTATAAAAACTACTAAATTTGAAGAGACAAATTACTTAAAAATAATCAATGACAACTTGTAAGAATGACGATGAATTAAAACAGATGGAGACTTCTCTGCTGCTAACATCACATACCTCTGCCCTCCTTTATTCTTTAGTAGAATATTTTTTTTAAAGTTGTACTAACACTCTAACTCATTGATGGAAAGATATGGTTATTTCACTCTAACCCAATCAGAGATATTGTAACTCATAGAAAAAGTACATTTCTGTTCCAATTGTTCTATAAAAAAAAGTCAGTTTGAGTGAGACAAGTGTTTTCTTGATGGAAAGCAGCTGGAGAAGTCTTATAGACCTTGGAAGGCTGAGGGATGACATCTTTTTCAACACAACAAGAACCGATTATAACAAAAAGGAGGAAGTTTTGAGCAGCACAGGGCTAATACAATAACTTAAGTATTTTAGGCATTCCACAGTCATGTGCCAAGATATATTGTCAGAAAGAAGGCTTGTTTTACAAATATTGCAAAGCGAAAAGCAAAACTGGTCAAATGATACTCACAACTGATCCTCACAGGTACATATTATTTATCATTATTCTTTTCAATGCATTCTACACGTACATATTTTTTAATGCATTCTAACATTCTAACATTCTAACACAACAACACACATGCACACACACACGCACACACACACACACACATATATATATACCAGATTTGCAAAATAAGCACAATTGCATATGATGATGCCAAGCGAAGACACAAAAATACACTACCAGATTTGGGGTTATGCCACGAGCAACAGCTGCACCACCAATAGTATATTCTAGAATCAGAGCCCAACCTACCAACCAAGCAACACTAAGGCAACCACAACATGTTATTGTGTTAGTCACTAAGAGAAGGTTTCATACACATAAATAAAAAGAAAAATTGTCATGAATTACAAAAATTAAGAACTTAGCAATTTGCTGGATAGTTTAACCATTTTCTCAAAATTACAAAATTATTTCTAATAAAGAAATTTCCTTTTCACTTAAGTCAGAAAATTTTCAACCAGTATGCCTTGAACTGATCTACTAACAAGTTATTTTACGATTTGCCTACATCAAGAAGTGGATTCATCAAACAAATTAAAGTGCACTGAGGTTGAGACTTCTGTTGACATTCAAATGATTAAAAAGATTCTATAGTACCCTTCTCCAACGCATATGTAGGAATAATGATAGGCACTTCCAGCAGATGGGCAACGACATGCAAGCTCCGCATAACAAAATGCTGAGAGTGCAGCAGCTATCCCAGCAATTAAAAATGAAATAGTAAGTGCAGGTCCTGCATGCTCTCTAGCAACTGTGCCAACAAGAACATATACTCCGGCACCTATAGTAGCTCCAACTCCTGATTGAAAGGAAGTTTTAAAAGAATGATCTCTATGCTTGAATTACCTCTATGATTGTAGGGAAATGAAAACCACAGGGAAAAATAAAAGGGCATAGGTTTTAAGCATAAGTTGGAACAGATCAATGTAATAATGAAAATCAGAGAAATAATATATATCTCACTTAAACATCAAAGAGCATCGTATTCCAGATAGGTTTTATCTAAAGGCCTAAGGCCCCGTTTGGTACACCGGACTGTCTTGGTATGGACTATGCTTAGGGACTGTCCTGGATTGGCTTGGCTTGGTCTAAGCTGGATAAGACTTGTCCTGCGTTTGGTGTTATGTCGGACTAAGAAGCTGGATAATGAAAAGAGTACTATCCTGTGTTTGGTGTAGACAAAGACATTGCAAAAATGATCCTAGTATTTCTTGATGATAAATAGTTCTAAACAACCAATGAAACAAACAATGAACCTATCATGAGGCAGAACGCTTTCACATGGTTTTTGTTTTATATTTAATACAAGAAAATTCATTTAATACAGGGAGGAATAGCCTAAGAGAAATTTTTTCCAAGCAATTGCAAAAGACCAAATGCAGCAAACCCATTATACATTTGAAAAACAAAGAGAAATTGCTAGCAAACCATTCAACAGTGACTGCAGGAACAAAATACTTTCACTTTAAAGAGAACAGCACAAGAAAACATAACTGAATTAGCCACATTAGCCGATACCATAAACTTAAATGAACTTAGAACAAGCAAATAAGAAAAACAAAGCAAAACCCATTTCAAAACAACACGTGAGAAACAAGTTAATGTAATTACCAATGGCAATGAGGTCAGTGACAGATAATTTCCTAGCCAACTGATGATGCCCTTCGCTCCTCACATGAACTGAATCAACTTGCTTCCTCTGAATCAAGCTTCTAAACCCCCAAAAACACTTCCTTCCACCACCAACATTACCAGAGCTTTGCATTTCAACAAGCACACCCACAAACCAAATACACAAATACTCTGTTTCTTCTATGTCAGAATTACTATATCATTGAAACAGAGAAAGAAAAAGGAAATCAATCTGGGTCTTTTAAACAATTTCGTGATAAGAGAGAATGATGGCACTGGGTTTGGATTGTTGGGTCCAAGACAACGACTCTTTGTGATAGTTGATAATAGTGATTGAAAAGTAAGAATAGATATTACTGCAACGCAGAGTTGTAAAGTGATTTCTTTGGTGAATGCTTCTATTAGCTTTTGGTAGGAATAGGAAGTCCAAAGCAAGTGAAAGAGACAGAGAAAGAGAAACAAAGTTATTCGCATTTTTGGAAGGGTAGCCAAAGTTCCAATCTTCAACGGACCTGGGACAAAAGCAATCTCCCAGGGAACCAGTCAAAAATTATATATATATATATATATAGATACAAAATCTTATGCTCTAATTATTTATTTACAGAAATGAAAAATGGAAAATCCAGTTTACTCACTGAAAGAAAAAAGAAAAGAAATCCAATCCAATACAAAATTTACCCGCTTTTTATTCGGCCACCGAGCGAAAAGTTGGCGTCAAAATATCAAATGCCCTGTAAAAATCTATTGATTTTTTATATTTTTAATGAAAGATTAGAGAAAGATTTTGGCAAAAAAACAGACAAGAGAAAGATGAGATAAATGGGAGAGATAGAATCATAGAAGGAACATGACAAACGATTGAGAATCGATAAGACTGAAACTAAAATCTAAACGCCATTTAAAGCAATTTTTAGTTTTTCCCTTCATTATTAGAACCAAAATCCCTTGGCTCAGGCTTGTGTCAATTTGTTATTTTCTATTTTTGTTTTTTTAGTATTGAAAGGGAGAAAATGATGCTTGTATTTCATGAAAATAGGACTCTTTTATTTATTTATTTAATTTCTTGCATTTTAAAATAAAAGGATAAAAAAATAAGTATAGTTGTTTTTTGAATGTGCACCACGGACATATTTGAAATGCTTAAATATCAAAATAGACCCTGTGTTGCAAAGGACCTACTAATGTAGTGGTTTAGAGTATTTACTCTCTTAAGCAAAGTCCTGGGTTCGAATCCTAGCATCCGTGTTTTGTGCGTGAGTTTAGTATGCTATCGCCCCTCTCAATAAGAAAGGTCTCAAAAAAATAGACCCTGTGTTTTAACAATTTGGCCAATTTAGTCTCAACATTTTAATTTGGTCGATTTAGTCCTTGTGTTTTACTCCGTTAGCTAATGTTGTCCATTCCGTTAAATTATTGTTAAAAAAGTTCACTAAAGTTTTAAAAATTAATATATATAAAAACTGTAATTGTTTTGAATAAATAAAGAAATTACAAGTTCCCTTTAATGATAAACAAAATAAAGGCCTGCAAGCCACAAATTCTCCGATTGATCACCACCGATTCAAACCCTCTAATAAAAAACTTATCCAATTTGCATCAACGCCGCCAGTCTCTTCCACATGCCCATAATACAATCCATGGGGTGGATGAAAACATTAGCAAGAGCAAAAGGGTCCTGACAGCCATGAAAAGAAGGATGAACCGACCAAATGAGTAAAACACAGTTACACAGGGACTATTTTAACATTTAAACCACCCTTTAAATTCAAAAGGCAACTATACTTATTTTTTGGTGGCTAGGATTGTTTTGGCTTGAAATCCCCTTTAAATTCCATCAAAATCCACCAAACTCTATTACTTGATGTATGTCCTTCAAAGTCTATGACATTTTGAATACATCATGTCTTTAAAAATTTGGATTGAATACACCCATATTTGCATGGACTTTATAAAATTCCATTAAAGTCTAAATTGAATACACCGGAACTTTTATACTCCTTTAGAGCAAGTCCAGTGCCCAACCCAAACTGGGTGAAAGGCTGCTAGGGCGAGCCCGAGATGGCTCCAGCGCAGGGCCTGTAGCCCGGTTTCATGGTGGGTCTCACGAGCCTGAGGAAGTCAAAGGGCAAGTCTTGCCCGGGTTGAAGCCCGAGTCTGTTGATGTCAGCGCTGGCATCACGCTGACGCCAGGGCAAGGTGAATCAAATTTTTTTTACCGTTGGCGCGTGAATTACACGCGCCAACAGTAAAAAAATTTGATTCACGCGCCAACGGTAAAAAAATCTGACGCCAGCGCTAACGTCACCACCTGACAGCCTCCAACGGGCGTTTGCCACGTGGCCCTACAGGGGCGCTCGGATGGCTTTTTTCCAGAAATTCGACGGTCCTCGTTTTTTGGCTAAAAAAATTGCAAAAAAATTTGAAAAAATTCTGAAATTTTTTTAAAAAATACCCAAAAATTCTGTATTTTTTCTCTATAAATACCTAACCATTTTATTTACTTTCCACACTAAATCTTCATACAATTTCTTCTCCATCCAATATTTTTTACTCTCCACTCACATTATTCAATTTCCACACCAATTCTTCATACAAACTTTTCTCCTTCCAATATTTTTTATCTCCACTCACATTTTTCACTTCCACACCAATTCTCTATACAAACTCTTCTCCTTCCAATATTTTTTACTCTCCACTCACATTTTTCTACTACTTCCATTTGTATAAAAAAACAAATGGCATCTTCTGTTGAAGTCGGAGGCTCGTGGTCAACGAATGAAGATATTGCGTTGTGTCAATCTTGGGTGAACATTAGTCATGACCCTATCACGGGCAATGAGATGAAGTTTCATCACATGTGGAGCAAAATTCATGGAGAATTTTGTCAAAGATCGGGTTCTATTCGGACCGAAATGGCCTTGTCTAGTAGATGGAAACTTCTAAATAAAGAGTTAGGGAAATGGAGAAATGCCTTGACAAAAGCAAAGGCGAACATTCAAAGCGGTCAAAATTTGACCGATGAGGTAAAATATTTATAATTGCCATTTTAATCAATTCAATGTCACTTTTTTTTTATTGCATATTCTATTTGTTTTTCTTGCATAATTTTTTTTTCTTGGTGCACCTTTAATTTGTCTATATTTTCTTGCATAATCAATTTTATTTTTGCATTTCAAAATAGTTTATATTTTCTTGCATAATAATTTTTGTTTCTTGCACTTCCAATTATTTATTTTTAATAGATGATACAAGCACAAATGTGGTTCGGTGCCATGGGGCAAGGCAAAAAAAGTTTCGTGCATTTTCATTGTTGGGAAATTGTGAAGGATTGTTCGAGATTCAAAATTATTCCCACCGGTCCGCCGGTTGTGATGAATGAGACACCACTCCACGATTCGACATCAACCGATTCTCCATTGGACTCCCCAATGGAAACGGAGTCACCATTTGTGCCACGTCCGCCGAGACCTATTGGGAGAAAGGCGCAAAGGCCAAGAGAGGGGGCACTTCGACCAATGAATGTGTACAATTATTGGAGCAAATAGCTAAGAGCACCTCACTAAGAATGGAGAGAGACTTGAAAAGAGATGAAATGGACGTGGCACGAGAGGAAGCATTTGTTATTCAACAGCAAAAGGCACAAGAAAAAGACATAGAGGATAGAGAGATGAAAATCATGGCCATGGATACGAGCCATATGTCTCCCGAAACAAAGGCCTATTGGAAGCTACGACGAAGAGATGTGATGAGAAGAAAACTTTTCCATGACGACGGACCTAGCAATACGGATTGGTTAAATGATGAAAACCATTAGGTTGTATTGAAACACCTTTGCCATATGTTGTATTGTTGTATTATCCTTTAATTTGTTGTATTGTTTCCTTTTTATTCAATAAAAAAAGCATTAAATAAAATGACTATTTATTCAAAACATTTGAGCATCAAAACAAATATTAATTAAAAAAAACCTTCATTTATTGCAAACAACACACAAAACAAACCATACATAAAAGCATAATAATAATAAAAAGCATAATTCCAAAAAACACCACACACAAATAAAGCATAATTAAAAACAAAGCATAATTCCAAACAAAGCACTAATCTTGACTTCATCCATTGTGATTGCCTTTCATCTCCCACAAGTGCTCGACCAAGTCACCTTGACGTATCTCGTGAACATATGAAGATTGCATTTCTTGATACCGATCAATCATGGGGTTGTTGAATTGACCATCCCGAAGTAACGGTTCGGGCTCCAGTGGTAGTCCATTTGGTCCAATCGGCCTTTCATATATTCTTGTCAACGATGTGTTCATTGGATCGGGTTCAAACACCTCTAGAGCGTCATAGTCATACTCATCCTCCACAATCATGTTGTGGAGGATGATGCAAGTCATCATAATACTCCGCAACACCTCCTCATCTAGCATCCGAGCAGCACCTCTAATAATTGCCCAACGAGCTTGCAAGATACCGAAACACCTCTCCACGTCTTTCCTGTAACCTTCTTGAAAGGAAGCAAAGTTTCTTTCCTTCTCGGATTGGGGATTCGGAATTGTTTTCACGAATATCGTCCACCTAGGATAAATTCCGTCGGCAAGGTAGTACGCACCAGAGTAAACGGTATTGTTGATTTGGTACTTGACCTGGGGGGAATGACCTCGCAATACCTCGTCGAACACTGGGGATTGACCAAGGACATTGAGGTCATTCTGAGATCCGGCAACCCCGAAGAAGGCATGCCAAACCCAACAGTCGAATGAAGCTACGGCCTCCAAAATTATACTTTTTTGGCCCTTCCGATTCCCGTACTCTCCTTGCCAAGCAGTAGGACAGTTCTTCCACTGCCAGTGCATGCAATTGATGCTTCCAATCATTCCTGGGAAACCTCGAGCCTCGCCTTTTTGTAGAAGCCGTTGCAGGTCTCTTGGCGTGGGTTTGCGAAGGTACTCCCTCGTGTACAAATTTTCCACTGCATCACAGAATCTCACCAAGTACTCTAGGATAGTAGATTTTCCCATCCTTGCAATCTCATCCACCTGCTCTGCAGATGCCCCATAAGCAAGCATCCGCAAAGTAGCTGTAAGTTTTTGCTCCGGGATAAGACCCAAAGCTCCAACAGCATCATGCTTTTGAATGAAGTGTGTGTCGTAATTACAAATATCATGCATGATTTTTTGGAACAAATGTGGCTGCATTCTATATCTTTCTCGAAACTTAGAAGCAGGATATAACGAATTTGGGATAAAATAATCCTCCATGAGATTCTTACCCCGAGACTCCCTACGTCTGTTCACATTCGGGGCACGACGACGACGGTGTTGCCTTGATTGATCCATCATACACACCGCTGCTGCAAGCATTTGTTCCTCTTCTTCATCGGCGTCCCGATCTTCTTGAGCACGTCTACGCCGGATTTCTTCCCTTTGTTTCTGTTGCCTCTCCAACACCCTCGACAAGTTTGACATTGAGAGTAGAATGTGTTTTCTAAAATCTGAGAAATGAAGGAATAGATAAGAGATTGTGTGAGAGGTATGAGTTGATGGTGTAGTTTTATAGAGGGATTTAGAAGATAGAGATGACACGTGGCACAATTTTAGAGGATGAAAATCTTATCTAAAATCTGAGATTATAATTTTTTTAAAATATCTGAAAATCTTATCTGACATGGGACACGTGGCACAATTTTAGAGGGTGAAAATCTTATCTGAAATATGAGATTATAATTTTTTTTAAATATCTGAAAATCGTATATGATATGGGACACGTGACACAATTTTAGAGGGTGAAAATCTTATCCGAAAATTTAATTACAAAAGATTATCAAAATTAATGGTTTAAAGTATAAAAAAAATAGGAAATAAAGTACAATGAATAGTAATTGCCTTAGACTTGCCCTAGACTTTGCCCTCATGGGTGGAACCACAAATGCAAAGGCTGACACTATTCACATGAATAGTGGCAGCCCTTGCTTGCCCTTACCTTAGACTTAGCCCTTGTGGGTGGAGATGCTCTTAAAATCCTGAAAATACCCCTAGATTTTTAAAGTCGTTTAGAATCCCTTAAAAAGTCCAAATTGAATACATAAGTTTAGAAGTGCAAAAACTTAGGAGGTTGGGCAACAATTGAAACCATTCGACTTGCTTGGGTTGCAAGAATGGCATCCTACCTAAGATCGAAACCAACTCAGCCTTGATTCATTATCTTTCCTCTTCCTTTGATCCACTAATCTGTTTGCCGTCCAATGTCCCTTGTTTTGTAACACCAAACAAGCTACGTCCCAAATTTGACCTCTTTGCCAACTGATAGGTTTTGCTTAAACCTATTCTGTTGTTACATTGCTGGTTTTAGCATCTTGTCCCCATCCGAGGACTATTAGATAATTCATTAATAAGCGTCTCTCGTATCGTTGAGGTTCATCAATTTGTTGGTGTGTTGGTGTGCATTTGGTTGATTGCATCAAAATCAAGCCTAGTTCTCTTTTTCTTCCATAACAACCCGAGAACTAAAATTTGTTCATGCCAATGTTTGCACTTGAGACATATATACCTCAGTCCACTGCATCACATTTCATCACTGATTCAACATACAATAGAATACAGATTTCAAAATACGAGTTTTTGTTTTGGGTTCTTTTTCCCTCTTTGTACAATCCTATCACAGTTTTCTATTCCCTTTCATTCATTCCATATGTGTAATGAAAACACCAATTCAACACATTTACCATATCAACCTTCTTGCCCAGGACTCATACCTCTTGCATCACCACCATCAGAAGACTGGACCCAGAGGCTTTGACCTCTCTCTCCTACATCTTCCCAGTTATGTCTACGCCTATCAGTTGTATCCCCACCATCAGAAAACTGGGCCCAAACGCTTCGACTCTTTCCGCCTCCACTGAGTTCCTCCTCAGTTCCTGCAACTGTCTTCAAAAGCTCTGACTGCAACAGTGGGCAGTTCTCCTTGAGCAACTCAAAACCATCTGTTTCCATGACAGCTGCATAAAAAATAATAATTAAGAATGTGGTTATAGTAATTGTAAACAGAGGACTATAGCATGTAAAAGTAAGGTAAACTTTAGATTCCTTTGCTAATTCCAGATTTGGAACTTCACAACCTCCTGAAGAGAAGAATAATTTTGACATTAATTTATGCAGTTGAGATTTGAATTACTAAATTCATAGATTACAGTTAGACAAAAAAACAAAGAAATTATTGATTTATTGTATTGAATGGGCAGAAAGGAAGGGAGTGCCGATGTCTATAAATAAGGAATCATTGCAGAGAACTAAATCACCTGTTTTGGCATGCAATATCAACAAAATACACATGAGTTTACCCCCAAAAAAAGTAGACAGACACTACTCATAAAGGCAAAATGCTAAAAATTGAATAATCAGGCAGTTCCCCCCAACCCTCTCATCCTTGTGGAGTGCAGCCTTAAAGATTAGATGAAGCATGATGCATATACAAGTAAACAAAATTTCTCCCGAATAATAAGGGACATATGAACCTACTCAAGTCAAAAATCACAAAATTTAGTGAGCATCAGATAATATTTTTTTTATGAATAAGTCAATGAGGCAGCAAAGAGACACGTGAAGAAACTCATAAGTTCAAAAATTTAGAATCAGGAAATTCCTTATAAGCCTCTCATCCCTGTTGGCCACGGGCATAAATATTGGATCAATCATGCAGTATAACTCTCTCTCTCTCTCTTCCCCCCCCCAAAAAAAAAGAAAACTTGTTCGATGCCCCCAGATTTGCAAATTATTTCTCTATTCTGTCATTACTCTGCAAATTGATATTTTGTTCCACACATTTGAATTCATTGAGAAGCTAACTGAGCAAAAAGGAATTCAACTACAAACTAAACTCTTTTTCCAGGTGGTCTCAGACAGTAGGTAAGGATTATCACCCAACTCCACTTTGGCAATGCCCAGGAAAAACCTGCTTCCCTGAACAGATTGGACCACAGCTTTGCATCCACAAAACAATGAAGAAAGACATGATTGGCACTTATTCCCTTTTCCCCAGATATAACACACCAGCTTGGAGACAAGCATGCATTCGTTCACTTAAAGTCCTGGACATGACTTCAAGTCCCGTAAGACATGAGGACAACATCCAAATGGATTGTGCAGGAAGCATGTACGAACTAGCTAACCATACCAACAACACATTTAATAATGAGGTCTAGCAATAGATGAAGATGCTGGTATATTTATCAAGAACTAGAGCACCAACTTGGCAGATGACTAGGTATTTAAATTCATGGGAAGAGAGGGTGGCCTACATCAAATCCTTATCTTCAGAAACTAGTCCAAGATTTGTCTTCGCTTGAGAAATACCAGCTGAGGGAAGCGGAGGAGCGTTGGGGGTGGGGGAGGTTGGGAGGTATGGTGGGGCTGGGTTAATTTTTGTTCCAACTTTTAATTTTATGTTATTTTATTCTTTTATATATAGGATTTAAAATTTTTTAATTAATTTAAAAATAGAACTTTTTTTTATTAACTGGAGGCCACATCAGCTGAAAAAATGGGACCTATGTTGCCACGTCAACATTTAACGGACTTGTTAACAGTAAGAGTAGCAGATGTACCTATATGTACGTTTTTCATGAGTTTGTGTATGAATTTGTAGAGTCCTACAGGTTTGGGTTCCAATTTGAAATGACTATCAAAGTTTGTAGGGTTTATGCAGTTAACCCTAACAAATAATTTACTATGTATTTTAGGTTCATTATCTTTGAGTCTTTCTATGTAAAACGATTAATGTTTTAGGTTGCATGATTCTATCTTTCCACATTTTTAGGTGTATTAATTTGGGTCTTTTAAATGATTCTGTATAAATGACTACAAAAGGAACTACTTTGTAGGATTTGAAAGTAAGTTAACGGTGAAAGAAATTAAAGCTCTCACTCATATGTGAAGAGTATTTATCGGGTGAGTGCTAATGGCTGGGATGCTAATGTTTTTTCTAGTGGCTCTTGTCACAAACTGTGGAAGGGCATCTCTAGTGGTTATCCTGCGTTTCTTCAAGGCTGTGAGTTTGTGGTGGGTGGAGGAGATAGGGTGAGATTTTGGGAGGATGATTGGTGTAGGGGAGGTGTGCTCAAAGAGGTTTTCCCCGGACTCTTCATTCTGTCCAGTAAGCAGCTTCCAGTATTTCTTCTGTTGTGAGTTCCGGGGTGTATCCCCACAATTGGGATTTCGGATTTAGAAGGCACCTTACTGTGGGGGAGATTGATGAGGTGACTAGGTTACTGGTTACCCTGGATGGCGTTAGATTGATTCCCTCTAGGAGGGACAACAGGTGTAAGTTGGATCACTCTGGGTTATACTCATGCCACTCTTTTTGTTCCTTCATTCTCCCAATGGTTCTGCAGAGGAGTTCCCTCCTTATCCTCAAATTGGAAGGCTAAGAACCCCCCAAAGGTTAAAATTCTTCTATGGCAGGTTGCCATTGGAAAAGTAAATACTTGTGACACTTTGCAGAGGCATTGCCCCTTTATGTGCTTATCCCCTCACTGGTGCACTCTTTGCAATATGGACAGGGAAAGCGCGGATCATCTGTTCATTCACTGTCCCTACTCCTTAAAGGTGTGGTGGTTACTTCTGCGGGAAGTTAATGCTGCTTGGGTTATTCCTAAAGGCTGCTTTCAGCTGTTATCCTACAAGATTGATGCACTGGGTAGGGGGAAGAAAGCTAAAGTTCTGTGGGGTTGCTTGGTGCATGCAGTGTTTTGGAACTTATGGTTGGAGTGTAACAAAAGAATTTTTTAGGACTACCAAGGGTGTGGGGATGGCTGAGATGTGGTATAGAGTGAAGTTTTGGGCGGCTTTATGGGCTTCGGTTACTCCTGTTTTTAAGGATTTGGCTCTCTTCTATTATGCAAGATTTGTTAGCGGTTGTGAAGTGGTGTGTTGCTCTTTTCTTTTTCATGGGTGGCCTTTTTGTTTGCTTTTGTCCTCTTTTCCTCTGTTTGTTTTGGTCTTGAGGTTGCTGTTTACTTTTGTTTTGGTCCTGTGGATTCCTAATCCACTTGCTTGTTTCTTTGTTTATCTCTTCGAATTTATAAAGTTTCTATTCAAAAAAATATGTGAAGCATGAGTTAACTAGGAGTGATTCCCAGACACTTTTAGTGTGATTCCAAAGGCTGGTGTGACATGGAACTTTTTTAATTTCTGTACTGGAGTAATTCCAATACACCTCTGGTGGGAAACAAAAGAAAACCTCATTTTGAAACTCTTTGATTTTACTCAAAAGGAACTTGGAAAGCCAAAGGTTACATCAATGGTAAGTAAAAAATCCTCCCTGTCTTTTCTGTACCAGAAAAAAAAAGTGAAATCAAGAGTCTAGTACTACTTTTTGATGAGGTTGGAGCAGTTTTGGCTAATACTTGTAAGAGGATGGGAACCCTAAAGTACTAACAAAAGAGTTAAATCACAGTCCTCAAAATCAATATAATCCTATTTGTAACTTGTAAGAGTATATAACCCAAAAAGAGGCAAAAGTCCGAACTTTTTGCATCTGCCAGAGTCCAATTACAGTATCTAGCAGTATTACTATTCGTGAACAGTTTTTTCGGAACCTTTTTTAGGACCATGGGGACACAACCCAAGAACACGAAGTATACAAGACCTAATTAAGAGAAGAAACAAATGCAGAAAATAAAAAGAAACAATATCCTCAAGGACCACTCAAATAGACATCTTAACAGTCAACCTCCCAAGTCATGAGTAAGAAGCACCACATAAATAAGTTGTGAGAACAAGCTTCTAAAGAAAAAGAACTAATTTCTGAGAAGTCCTACCTTAAAGACCTTGGGTTCCATATCCACAACAACTATTTCATGATTATCCTCTTCCATTCCATTCAGAAATTCTCTTTTGAGACGGAGATATAAGCCACCTATTCTATTTAAGTATAAATATTTGCTTAGACTGATCTGTAGACGGAGCAGAAAACCATCTCGCTTAAAAGTCTACTTACCTCTAATACAACTGCAAGTGGTAAAGCTGAACCCCTGAAGGGGACTTAAAAGGAAAAAATAGCAAACCAATGGCATTTGAAAGTGTATATGCTAAACAGAACTGCTTATTCTAATACATTAATAGAAAACATGCAAAAACAAAAGGGACATACGTACCCACTAGATTTTCAGCAGCAAATTTCAGGCAAACGGATTTTAGATCCATAGCAGAAAAACGATCAGCCAAGGCCAGAATATTGGCAACAGAATTGACAGATATATCCTTGCAGAGAACAGATTCACACATCAGGGCAAGCCTAGCTAAGCCATATTTGTCTGCTGCAGCTAGCAACTTTGCAGCTAATTTGTCCGATAAAGATGGCATGCAAGATGAACTTGTTACTGAGAACTCTTCATCTTCAATAAGATTGTCTGTATAAATGAAGTGCAGCAAAGCCTGCTCGGCAAATATGAAATAAATTACAAAGAAAACCAGGATAAATTGGTAAATTACATCAACTTAAATAAATCTTAGTTATTTATTCTCGAAAGGCTTTATTTTAAAGAAAAAGAACTAATTTCTGAGAAGTGCTACCTTAAAGACCTTGGGTTCCATATCCACAACAACTATTTCATGATTATCCTCTTCCATTCCATTCAGAAATTCACTTTCAAACTCGGGAGACCGAGCAGCCAATACTAGCTTGTGAGCATGAAACTTTACGCCACGCACATTGAAAGTTACATCTGAACCTTCCTCATTCTCCAATAACATACCAAAATGAGCTCCAATATCAGACTCAGGGACATCTATGGAGTGCAATCTTGAACTGTCTATTGCAGAAACCACAACACCAACAGTGCAATTAAGCTTCAAGCAATCGTCCTTAAGGAATGTTGATGACTCAAGCATAGTACGTCTGAAAAAACGTTTGTAGCCCCTAAATGAAACATATGCAAATAAGCTTTTTGAAGGGGAAAAAACATATACAAGAAACGAGTTTAAGGAATCTTATGAAAAATCCTTTAGATAATTTCTGGAAGTCTTGCATGTTTTAGATAACAGTGATGATGAACAAATAAATGACAATGCAGATGTTACACGCATTCTCCAAAAAGTGCACAGTAGAGTGAAGGAATATTGCAAATATGCATTCAGATGTCTAAAATACTACAATATTTAAATATATAGAGGCCAGAAAATTCCATGTTAAGCCACAATGTGGAACTAGAAAACCTATGATGCATGCAAGGTTAAAAAATTGTCTATGACACTGGAAATAATGATAGTCAAAATCAATGGAATATTGGTGAAAATATCTATATAAATCATGAGAATATGGAAATTTTGAAGTAAAACTTTCAGGAAACGTGAAACTATTCAATAATGCACCTATTAAATATGGTATTTAATAGGTGCATTATTGATGGAGGAGATAACAAACTTGTTGAGGCTGCTGGAGCAGGTGAGATTATTTCCATACAAAGAAGATGCAAGAAGATGGTCTTTAGAGCCTTCAGGGCAATTTTCTTGTAAATCCTACTTAAATCAATTGAGAAACATACCAGGAAGTCCACCTTTTCTCCCTCAAAGTCTGATTTGGAAATCTAAGGTTCCTCCCAAGGTTAGGGTTTTGGCTTAGTTGCTGGTACAAGGGAAGGTTAACACCTGTGATTACTCCAAAGACGTAGGCCAGCATCATCTTCTTTACCACATTGGTGTATTTTATGCAAGAATTCGGGGGAGAGTGTGGATCATGGTTTCTTAGCTTGCCCTTTCCGCTGGAGGATATGGTTCTTTTTATTTAATGAGATTAATATTTGTTGCGTTGTGCCAAAAGACTGTTTCTCTTTGTTGGGTGAGAAGTTTAAAATATTGGGTGGTGGAAAAAAAAGGCTAAATTATATGGGAGGTGCATGGTGATGGCTATCATTTGGGTTATCTAGTCAGAAAGGAATCAGTGGGATCTTTGAAGATGTTAAGGAGATGGAAATGGAGGAGGTGTGGGAGAAGGTCAAGTATTGGGCAGCGATTTGGGCATCCGTTTCGCCTGTTTTTCAGAATACATCTCTATCTGATATCATTTTAGATTGGAAAGTTGTGGTGTCTTGATTATTTTTGGTTTCTTAGATGTAATTTGTCGAATTAATGTTCTTTCCTCTTCTATTCCTGGTGGAATACTTGTCTACTTTACTGTACAGAATCTCTTATGAAATAAAATTTCATCTTTTCATTTTTTTAAGAAAAGCACCAATTAAATATGTAAACTTAATAACTAATCTATCTACAACAAATTTTCGACCAAAAAAAATCTATCTACAACAAATATATGGCATGTAAAGTGAAAGAAATCCGTGTTGTGGACTTCAAACAGAACATAATTACCTAAGTTAGCTAATTGGTGGACTTATCAAATATGACATAATTATAATATTTACTAATTTATCCATACTAAAGGCAGCAAGCATGTAATGTATGTGCAATATAATGGAAGTTGTTGTAGTGTGGTGAAAGTTATAATACAAAGAGAGAAAGAGTGAGATGTGAGAGATAATATGGGGTGAGATACTTCAGCTGTTTTTTTCTAAAACAGAAATATTTTAATTTTTGATTCTGTACTATTTTATCCTCTTTAATGTGGTTTTCCTTCAATGGTTTTCTTAAACAAAGGATTATTTTTAAAATTTCACCAAACTTGGAGTTCTACCTTATGATTATCGTATAGAATTATAGATACTTATTAAACGAAATTAAACTTGTATAAAATTAATTGGTATAAACAAAATTAATCATTACAATCAATGTGTAAAATATCCATTGATATACGGAGCTTCCATCAAAATTCCATGTTTTGATGCCACTGATATCAATAAGTGGTGGAATGAGATCACCCACATCTTGATATATGTGACTGAGATGTCGATGGATTTAAGCACATTGTGTGAACTTTTAAGATATTCTCAATAGTTTCTGTTCTGGATACTATTCTAGCTATGGCTTAGTGAATAGCCTTTCAAAAGAGCCACCCTTAATAAGCAAATTTGGTAGTAGGAATGCTAGCCATGTACTCTAATCTTGACTTAATTTGTAAATAAATTGTCAAGGTTTGTGTGGCGTAAATAAAAAATAGCAATTGCACACAATAGAATGCATCATGAAACTAATAAGTTTTTGCACATTGATTCAAGTTTGGAGAACCTAATGTGTCTGGACGTTATTACCGTGCGGACACCATTGTAAACAGGGAGGAAAGCAAGGAGAGGTGGTAGAAAATACATGGCGTCCGCACGGTAATAACGTATGGTCATCCACATAGGAGAAACTCTGTATATATATAATCATGGATGTAGTAGTATTATATGAAATTTACTAATTTAATTTATGCATTATTGATTTGTTTAGCATTGCCTTAAGTTTCAAGCAAAATATCTTCCCTCCAAAATTTTATACAAAACCTTAATGTTGTCAAATTAATTTCCATTGTTACCCTAGATTTTACCAATATGTCAATCAAAATAGACACTTCCACTAATATTTTTATCAATATGATTACGAACTGCTGGTAGTGACGTTTTGATTCCTGATTTTAATTATCATAGTAGCTAGAAAAACCTTTAAATTAAATGTAAAATCCTGAATCCAATTAATGAAAAATTAGTGAAAATTTATTTGTAATTCTAATGATAATAAGAATATTGAATGAAATAGAATTGCCCTTTCAGTCATTCCATAATCATTACCTTCTTCCTTTAGTGAAGCATGTAAGATAGGTGAACCTCATTAGCCTAAAAACTATCAAGGCCTGACGTGTGACTTTACCTTAATTGAATAATACAAGCCTGCTACCCTCAATCTTCCCCATTGCATACACCAGATTTGTTAATTACATTAAAATTTTGTATTCTGATATTAGGTTCTCGATTGATTACACAACTTATCTCCTCTCCAATTTCCTTGTTTAGAAGATCAAGCCCCTCTCACTTCCTAAACCCTTTGACTCTTTCATTTGCGACGGAACAATGGCAGCGAAGAAAATTGAGAAACAGCCAATCAATCCTCCTATTTCTTCAATTTATGAAAAAATTGCTCAACTATTTTACATTTCACTTATATCACTTAAAGCACCATGCCCGCTGCCGCCTATGTAAAACTCTTTTACCAACCTTCCCCCTACTCTTATAAATCATTAAATAAGAACCAATTAAGTACCCTGCCCCATTTGTTACCTAAAGAGGAAAAGAAATTGAAGCCTCACTCCAATGTGTCAGAGGAGATGTACTGTGTAGCACTAGGTGATTGTACCCATATGTGGTGAGCTGGCAGTTGGTTGTATTAATTAGGAATTGGTTGTGTTGGATTTGTTTTCAACAATATTATTTTGTGAAGCTATTAAAGTGGAGGTTATGGACACTTGTATTATTTAAAGGCTGAAGTGCGGCACATTTTGCCCAAGTCTTAAATCATTCACAATCCTTCTACTGATTTCAATTTTTAATATATCTTCTTCAACTTCTACCTACCAAATAAGTATGAACAGCATCATTAAAAGCTACAAAAAACTTGTTCTGGTCCATATCCACACACACACACACACAAAAACAAAAAAAAAAAAAAAAAAAAAAAAAAAAAACAAACTCAAATCAGATGAAGTGTGCTCTACATGCATTATTTTACCTAGACACACATTCCACCCATCCAACTACTACATACTAAAAAATACAATCACAAATTCACCTTTTCAGCTCATTGTCACCAAATCCATCTCACCCTGCATATACTATAGGGAACACGGGGTTCAAAGACTAAATTCATATGATTTGTAAGTTGCAATACCAATTCAATTATTTCGAAGCGTATGTGAGCACATTAGTTCTAAGTCCTAACCTACTTCAAGATGCAAAGTTTGGATGTCTTTGAATTCTCCTTCTCAACAGTTGATACTTTCAGGAAGTGGTCTAGTAGAATAATTAAAAAGTCTCAATGGTGTGGGCTGGATAAACCGGTGTAATAATGAGCCTACTAGTAATGCTGTTCCTTTGGAGGTTTTGACATGAAGGGAACTAGAGTGTCCAGTCTTTGGATCTTATAGTATAGGGGATGAACAAGACCGCTAAAGAAAATAAAACAATATATGGTATGGTTCTATCATTCCGTATCAGGTGGTCCTCCCCCTAGTACAGTTTGCAAAAGCTTCAGAATTTTTCTCTTATGGAGATCTCCAAATCGATGAAAGTTGGACTTGCAAAGATAGGATGAGGGTTCTAGAGCTGAGCTGAGTTTAAATTAGCAATTGCTACATTTATGTAACAAAATGCTTAAATTCCTCTATTTCTTGTAAGTAATAACATCCAACAATCACTACTATCAGAAACAAGCTTCATATTTAAAAATTCCAAGAAACAAAATATTCAATCTCCAAAAATTCCAAACAAAACCCAGAACCAATCGAATTATGAACAAAAAGAAAAGCAAAAATTCAAAACTAAACCATAAAAAACTACCCAAAAAAAAATACATTTGATACTCACCACATGCTACCTCTATACTTGAGCGTGTAGGGCCCGCTTTCCAGAGAGCGATCGAAATGGCTATGGACCTTGTGCTTGCCATGAGTACCCTGATCAACCAGAGTGAGCTCGAAGAGCGCTCGCACGTCGGTACCTTCGCTAGCTAGAGCAATGAAGACGGAGACATAGGCGGAGTTATCCTCCGGGTTCTTCCCGTCTGGGTAGAAATAGATGGCCCATTGGAAGCCTCCGACGGTGAAAGTCTCACTGGCAATGTGTTTACCGACGCCAATTCCTTTGGCCAACGAATAGCCTTTGATGACGAAGTTATGGGAGCCGTTGACGGTCTCCGTGACGAAGCGCGAGCTGGAGGGAGAGACCAGAGGGCTCTTGTGTCTGTGTGAGAACATTTGGGGTTAGGGAAGAAGAAGAATAAGAAGAATAGGGTTTGCAATTTGAAGGTCAAGTTAGGTCAGTTTGGAGATGGAAGACATCAATTTGTTCGATCGACTTTTGCAGAGAAGAAATTTGATGGTTTTTGTTGTTTGCTGGTATATGATTTTCTTTTCATTTGCAGGTCTGTTTTCTCGAAAGAGCGAATTTTCAGGTGAGAGAAAGGGATATGAATTCGCCTATTTCCCAGGGACCTGAAAATGAAATATATTGTCTTGAATGCCCCTGGAATCTAAATTTATTGCCATCTGGGGCTTGCATTGAGGGATTTGGTTTTTCTTTTCAATTGCTGTTGCCCCTATTATATTATGTCTTTCGTTCTTTTTCCATTATTCTTGTTCTCATATTTCATTTGAGTTCCACTTGTACGCTCGCTAAGTGTAAATCATTTGAGAAAGCCTCCTCTCAATTTACTACTCTAAGAGCATCTCCAGCGCCAGACTCAAATCGGGGGAAAGGCCCCCCTGGCAAGCCCAAGCGCCCTCTAGTGCGGGAGAAGAAGCCCGGGGAAGAGCTGGGTCTCACTAGCCCGGGCAAGCCCAAGGACAAGTTCCGCCTGGGCTTCAACTCGAGGGCTGTGACTTCAGCGTTGACGTCACAGCACAGTAATTCAAATTTTTTTTTTTACTGTTGGAGCATAAATTTCACACGCCAACAGTAAAAAAAATTTGATTTTGGCTTGCTGACGTCAGCGTGACGTCACTGCTGACAGGCCCCAATGGGAATATGCCACATGGCGCTTCCTGGACGCTCCGATGCAATTTTTTCCAGAAATTTGACGACCTTGATTATTTTGGCTTAAAAAATTGCAAAAAAAATCCAAAAAAATTCAAATTTAAAAAAAAATACCAAAAAAAATCTAAATTTTTTCCATATAAATACCTAACAATTTTATTCACTTTCCACACCAAATCTTCATACAAATTCATTTCCTTCCAATATTTTTCACTTTCCACACCAAATTTTCTACTACAAAATTTCATTTGTGCAAAAATACAAATGTCATCTTCCATCGAAGCCGGAGGGTTGTGGACAAATGTTCGAAGAGGTCAAAATCTTGGCAACGAGGTAAAAAAAAATTTAATTTCCGTTTTATTCAATTTAATGTCTTTTATATATATATATATATATATATTTCTTGCATTTCCAATTTCTTTTTTTTAATAGATTAGTCAAGACAAAACAAAAAAGAGGAAAACCATTACACATGGCTCCTCAAGTGAACAATGCTCGCAGTCAGTTCCAGTGGTGCGTTCCGTGTCAGAAATAATGACACCATTACGTCCTCCGAAGGAAAATACTCCCCCATGTCGTGATCAAGTGGAACCGCCTCCGCCAATGATGGAGTTGTCCTTGTATTCCATTGTGTCGGACTATGAGGACCAAGAATATTTCAGTTGTATGATGAGTGAGTAAGTATTTTAATTGTATGATGAGTGAGATGTGAATTTTATAATAAATATGGATACGTGGTAACCAAAAATTTTATCCGAAAAATGTTATCTTAAATTTTAAGTGAAAATCTTATAATAAATAGTGACACGTGACAATCGAAAATATAATCTAAAAAGCTTATCAAAATTATATAAAGTAAATAAATAAAAAAAAAAAAAAAAAAAAAAAAAAAAAAAAAGTACAATGAATAGTATTTGCCTTAGACTTGCCCTAGACTTAGCTCTCATGGGTGGAACCACAAATGGAAAGGCTGATACTATTAACATGAATAGTGGCAGCCCTTGCCCTAGACTTAGCCCTTGTGGGTGGAGATGCTCTAAGTACCCAAATTTGCATAAAGTTTTACAATTGTTTTCTTGTTTATTATCTTGTTTTTAAAGATGAGGATAACTTTTTCGATTCAGTTTGAGACGTTGTCTTCTCATTAAGTTGCACCTACAAACAAATTATTGATAGGATGGATAGCTTGATCATGTCAAAGAGGCGCCACGTCCATCATCACCTCCGGTCACGGTCTCACTATGCATGCCAACCTCCGAGGTGCCCATCTCCACCTTACTCAAAATCGAACCCTTCTTATCCTAGCTGGGGGTACCATCGTCTCCATTGCCACATGTTTCAAGCTCATCTCATGCAAGAGCATCCTCTAAGATCATCTAGTCAAGAATGGGATAGCACTTTTTCATGACTTTCATGTAGCATTGGAAGCCATCATCTGTGTAAACTGACATGATCGTCATATTGTCCACACCTCTGTTTGTCTTCATGGAATCATCTCCATCAAGTACGATGGTTTGTTGTGAAAGTAGTGTGGTGGGGGGAACAACCTGGAAGAGACCAAGTCACCCTCCACTGGCATGGAAGACTATCCAACCTTACTCCCACCATCGCCCTTTCTTTATTCAGCATTTATTGGTTCACGAAGAGCTCTCTTTAGGGACTCAGCAAGCTTGGATCCTATATTCCTCACCTTCTTCTGTGGTGACATAATTCCTAGAACCCAAATTAAGCAAACTTCTATAACAATAAAAAGCAAGAAGAACCTCAAATCTTTTCTTTGGAGATGCACGTTTGAACTCTCCAAGCCTGGTTGGAGTAATCAGTTTTGTGCTCAACTTCTCGAGGTTGTTCTTCTCAGCTTAGACTCTCACAAAGACTCTCACAATCTACTCCAATTTCCAACCTCAAAGGGAAGGTCTTGCCCACCTATTTGCAAAACCACACATACATCGTGTATTAGATCTTCGACCAATTACACTAAGGTGGATACAACATAAAAGTTTGACCTCATGACATACAAATACACCACCAATATTCATAAACTCACAAATGTACCACCACCCCCTGTTGCTGAGTTTTTTTGTAAAACAATATTAGTAGGCAAACTGAGCAAAGCTGGGCTCACTAAGCTCTAACTGCCTCCATGATACATACATGCTCAACTACGCAATATAGACATTGGGATTAATTTGCATGGGAACTAAGCCTAAAAGAATAAGGAACTTATGAGCGTATGCATGAAGTGACACCCTCAACCCACACTAAAAAAATCCATGGTGCATTAAGATCGACCTAACTAGTGGCTAGCTAGCCTCTCATCCTCTCTAGGTAATGTTAATATTTTCTTTGTCATCGCTTCATCTGCCGTATCTACTTTATCGTTAACTAGACCATCATCTCCTCCTACTAACTCAGCCTCCTCATTCTCATCACCAAGGATTGAAATATCGGGCGATACACCGATATATCTGCCGATATATCGGTATTTTCAATTGTCGACACCGATACTAGGAGGTAAGGCCATATCTTTCCCTGTATCGACGATATATCCCCGGTAAGTGCGATATCTCCGATATTTTGCCGATATCCCCGATATTTCCCGATACCCATAACAGAACCCAAAAAAAAATTCAAAAGTTAAGGCAATTGAAGCAAATTGAAACACAAAAATAGCTAATCTTTGCCCAGAACCCTATAATTTATTAATATGAAGAATCTATGCATAGTCCACTGCCCACATACCTCCAATCCATCTGAAGAGGAACACGACGATCAGTTTTGGATCTATAAGCATAGGAACTAGACCTAGTACTAACTCAAATGAATCTTATGATGACTATGGTTATGTCATGTCTGATTATAGTGGAACTAGTTATGAAGCTCAAGATGATAAAACATATTATGGACCTACTAGTTGGTTAATCCTAACTATCCCATATATGGGAGGACAATAGGGGTCTTAAGAGAGACCCATGTTCAAACATAGTTTACAAACTGCTCGGGTTACATGACCTGGTATGACTATTGTATGAATCTAGATGGTTGTTCCTCATTATTTGAACCTCATAGGAGCTCTTCATTTATGTAGATGGACACTTATCTAAATTGTAATCCAATGTTTAAACAAACTATGGATTTATGCATTGTTTATTCATTCTAATTAACATTTTATTTTCAAATTTTTCATTAACGCACATTACATACCACTTATATTTCATCATATGTATATCTTATTATTAGTAAATTTTGAGTTTTATTTGTTCAATACATTCTTTGATAATGTACATAACATCTATGAATGTTTTACACCAAAATTATGTGTTTCAATGCCTATATCTGTCATTTTTGTTGATTTTTTCCCGATACCTAAAACGATAACGATATATCCCCCGAAATATCCGTAAATTGGAGGCCCAATATTATCTGCACGGCCGATATTTTAATCCTTGCTCATCACCCATCTCACCTCTCATCTTTTGGGTCCTAGTCCCTAACGAAATCCTCCACACCTCAAGCTGTGAACTCTATGATTCCGATATTTATTTAGTATGTTATATGCTAGGTCGTGCTTCGAAATGGGGACTTACCCAACTTAAATGGCGAGGTTGCCTTCCTTTAGACCTCAACTCTGTCAATAAGTTGGGATAAGCTCTTCTACTTCTCATTCGCAGTTGACATGCACAAACATTTAATTCTATCATGACAGTACTTAAAGGCATACAAGACAGGGTTTATACCCAAAATAAATAAATAAATAAATAAAAACCAACAAGAAAAGGACACAAAGCTACTAATGGAGTGCCACAATTGTTTGCCCAATCAGAAGATCAGCTTCCTCAAAGGTATGCAACTTAAAGCAACATAATTTGTTATGCACTTTTCTCTCAAGCGCTTGATTGACTAAAGCATCAAAGGGTCTTTGCCGACACCACATTAGTGTCACCCCCATAAGCTCTTCCATTTTTTCAAGTTGTGGGACAACTTGATAGTCACACTGACCTAGTCTAGGCACATTGCCCAACTTCAATCTCGAAGCAGTCATCCCTAACTCCTGAACTCTAATTACCTCCACTGCATCCACCTCAAATATCGCCATATTTCTGGTCAACTCATGGCAAATCTCTTCAACGGCCTCCATAGCCTAAACAACTTGTAGAAAAAAATGTTCTTAACTCGTGGAAATTAAGCCGAATAAGAGTGAATCTTGTTACCACCGTACACATGAACTAAGAGACACCCTGCTTACCAATGTGCCTAACATAGAAAAGAAAGAAGACAAAAACTAGTGAAATCCTAGTCGCCATATTTTTTCCCCCAAAACCCTCTCAATATCATTTCTCTTTGTATTTCCACGGAATATAATGTCAAATTAATTGCTCCCTTTTCTACTAAAGAAATTAATTCAGTCATTGTACAAATTGGATTTCTTAAACCTCCGATTGCTTTCATGATATTTGTTTGGATTTATGCCATTATTAGTGGGCATATACCTTGTGGTGTATTTTTCTGTATCTGGAATAATCCTGTGTGATTACTGTGCTTCCACATTTGCATAAACCCTTTTTAGTTAGTTTATGCCACTGTGGCTGATGGTTTTGGTGCCTAAATTATGAATACAATTATCACTTACTCTATAAAAAAAAGTTACATCCCTCAATTTTGTCGGTTTGAGTGCTTGTATTGCTTATGTGCACGGGCAAAATTGTACTTCCTCCTTGCACTTAATAGAGACTTACTTTGTTAACTTTCAATAAAACTGTAATGAAAAAAATTTAAAAGTTAGAAATAAAAAATAAAAAAAGCTGAAGCCTATCTAAGGAACACACTGAGGCGGGGGGATGCCAGGCCAAAAGTGGAAGCGGATACATCCCTTTAGTATATGTATAGTAAATGGAGGCGGATAATAAGGAACAATGATAAAATTTCAGTTTATGACGATCCACACATTAAATTCTGGCTTCGCCCTAAACCCATCCGCTAGACTTCAACAGCCGCTCATCACAACCACCCCACAATCCGCACCCCATCATGCTCCTCTCTCTCTCTCTCTCTCACTCATAGTGAACATGAGCCACTAAACTTCAAGGGTAGGGTACGAACAATAATTTTCTCTAATTGTTTTAAGATGAAACAGATCTGACACATATCCAAAGCGTTAAAGGTTGAAAAACTACAAGAAAAATCTCTCTATTTTCCAAGTCCAAGAGCAAATAAGAAAATGTGTTAAATCCCTTTATGTTCGTCATGTCTACGAACTTATGGTAAGGGGGAAATGAAAAGGGGATTTGTGATGATGATGATGATGGCACGCACACAACACGTGCACTCAAACTGATGGAATTGAGATATGTGACTTAATTTATTAACAACGGCAAATTACATCACGAAATTGAGAAAATTGGAATTACGGTTAATTGAAATTGTTTTTTGGCCCAACTCAATGACCAAAAAGTTTTTTACCATTATTTTGAGATAGTAAATTGAGTAGTAGTTATCCAAAAGAGTGCATACATGGTGAAAAAAGAAAAAAGCCTCTCACTAGTAAGGACTTCATTGATCTATATATATATATACATCTCCTATGCTATCTTGAAATGTAGTTTCTTGTCGTTGGAAACCTCCTGAGGGGATTTGCTGAATTTAAATGTTGATGGGGCATGTTGTGTGGCTGATAGAAAGATGGGGTTGATAGCAGTAGTTTGAAATGCCAATGGAGAATTAAGGGGTGTCATGACTCATGGCTAAACCTATAATTTGTTGTCTTTCCCCTAAGGTTTTTGAAGTTTTGGCTATGATTGGTTGTCATATGGCAATAGATGCAAGATTCACAAGGCTAATCATTGAAAGTGATTCGTTAGAGCTGATTAAGGTTGTGAATTAAACTGAATTTGACATGAGCATGGAAGGAGAGTTGATGGAGGAAGTGAAAGAATTACTCTTTCGTTTCGCATTTGTATCCTCACAACATCAATCTCATTCATGTAATTTTGTAGCTAGTTTTGTGGCTAGCCAATTAGCCAACAGGGCCCCTAAATATTATATCATTTACATGAAATCATTATTTAAAAAAGGGCTAACATGAAAACACCTTTCTCAAGGTTTGAGGTCATTCTCAATATGGGCCCTCGAGTTTCAATTTCATCAATTTACACCCTATTGTTTTCAAATTTGACCAATTTACGCTTTCTGTTAAGTTGACTGTCAGAAAATCCATTAAGTGATGATGTGTCTTTTGTATGGCCCACTTTTTTGGCTTAGTTGAAATAAAATATTAATTATAAATTATAAATTGAATATTTTTTTTAAAAAGTAAAAATAAAACTAACCCCTCTCCCCAATCTGCCTACCTCCCAGCTAGCCCCACCACTTCCCCACCCTCCTTATACCTCCATCGTCACCTCAACCTAGCCACCATACCCCCCGGTGGCTCGCACCCTATCTCTCCCTTCTCCCTCTCCGGGGCTGGACTTTAGTGATGAAGCAGTCTTGCTTTATGTTCAAATGGCGGTGAAGGGTATTTTGCCCAATAAGTTCATATTTCCGTTTATGTTGAGCGCTTGCTCCAAGGTTGTGGCTTTCTGTGAACGAGTTTAGCAAAATAAAAAAAAAAAAAAAAAAAAAAAAAAAAAAAAAAAAAAAAAAAATTAACTTTTACTTAATAACCTAAAAATTAGAACTCTAACAACACTAACATAGTTCAGGCCATAGATACTACAATTACATTAGGGGTGGGTGCAGAGGTTGGTTCACACCTCAAGTTGGAACCGAAATTGACACTATTCATCTTGTCCAGTTTTGACGAAAAAAATTTATAAAACCGTCTAAATTGGTTTGCCTAAAACCTGTTTTGGTTCCCGATTTTTTCAGTTTTAGACCGAAATATGTTTAAATTTTTTTTAATTAAAAAAAATCCAACTAAAATTTTATTTTTTTGGGGCTTAAATAGCTAGTCCGGTTTTTTCACCACAAGAACTGGAACTAGAATCAGACCAAACTGATCTGGTTCGATTTTTGGTCAACTAAGTCAGATTTTTGGTTAACACGGGTTTTTCCCTTTTTTTCATCCTGGTTCAGCTCGGTCTTTCTGTTTTTCGGTTTGAATGCCCACCCCTACTACAATGTTTTTTAAATTTTGCCTAGCAGCCATAAGCCCCTGTAGGGTAGTTCTTTACAAGTTACAACTTTCACACTAAACTCTCTCTCTCTCTCTCTCTCTCTCTCTCTCTCTCTCATCATAAATATTGTAGAAAATTCATAATCAATGAGTCCATTCTCATAAGGTGAAGACAAATTGAGATAAATAATGATGAATTTTGTAGTTTAAATTTTGATAGCTTGATTGAATTAAATTTTGCAACTTTTGTGGTTTTGTGAGTCAATATCTAATAAAGTAACTTCTCATGCAAGATTCATCGACACTAAACTAACCCAAAATTGGCAAGATTCATGTTATATTTTTTGTATATTACTATCTTTTGGTGAGTTTAAGTTGTAAATTTACGCGATGGTGGTAGCTTCCCCCTCCCCCATGGCACCCTTGTTCGAACCCCAATGTAACCAAAAAAAAAAAAGTTGCGAACAATCAATATTTATGATCCAATTTGAATATTTTTGTTGAAAACCTCATTTCAGAGGCCCCATTGCTCATTTTGCACAAGGCCCTTAAAATCTTAGAGTTGCTTCTAAAATTTTTAGTCACCCTTGCAAACTATAGGGGTTCAAACCTGAGACAACTGGTCTGTAATTCAAGGTCTTTTTTTCACTAGCTTAAACCCCATTGGCATCTCTACATGCTAATTGAAGACATCGTCCCTTCACAAACTTAATGATGACCATCAAATAAAGCACTAGTACTATGAAATAGATTTTGATTTTCTTCTTCAAGAAGTATCAAGATTACAAAAGTGAATAGATTATACGCATAGAAATCAATAGCATCACACTGAAGTCAAATTACACATTCTAACTGTTCCTTTTACATGTCATCAAAGCTATATTACTAGCTTAATGACGACCATCTTTTGATAATAAACTGCAATATTACGAATGAACCTTTTTTTCACTTTAATTCTCAAAATACCAATTTGAACTAATTAGGTAACCTAAGGTTTGCCAATGAACTGGATCTATTTGACACTTTATGGGAAATTTAAATTGGTGACAGAAAAGACAGCCTCAACTTTGTATTGCACATAAAATGATTGTGAATTAAATTGCTAGAAGAACACCAACAAAAGCTTTAAGTTTGAGGTTGATTAATTAGTTATCTTGCATTACCAAGTAGATGAGTTAATGCATCCACATGTACGTGCCAACTTTTTAACAATATGTAGCAATACTCGCAGTACCAAGTAGCTTTAGTACTCGCAGTAGTAGTGTTCTTCTCCATTCCCATTCCCCTAAACTGTGTTGTGGAAGATTGTAGCGGATCATCATCATCATTATCAATCAAGTGGAGGAGCAAATCATAATCAATCGAGATATCGAGCACATTGACTTGGGTATTTTCAATGTTATTCTCATTGAGGCCTTGTTGAGGTATAATGACTCTCATCAAATTCAACATATGCCGTTGTCCTCTCTTCGTTATAAACAACATATGATCCCAACACTTGTTTAGTGAATGCTTGCACATTGTCCAAATCTCTGCTTAGGGCATCACAATTAGCAGCACCACCATGAAATTTGCTAACGTCATCAATATGGTCTGCCCTAGCTAGTGAAGAGATTGTATTTGTTGGGTATGCAAGAGAGTAGTCTGCCTGAGATTCAGTGAGGCCGGTTGGCAAATATGAAACACTCCCACCAACTCCAATAACCTCAAGCATGGGAGTGTAATTCCCAATTAATTCCTCAAAGGTAGTCACCTGAGTTTCAACATCTCTTAACTTTCTTTTCCTCTTGTCATTCTTTCGAATCCAGCGCAGCACAAACTGATGATCATCACTGGTTGAGTTTTGTTTGGGCTTGACCAATGGCTAAAGGCTATACTCATGCATAATGCAGCAACAGTCTTGATCAGATTTAGGGCTTGGTACATCGAACTGTACTGACTAATTTCTATCAGATAGTATTAATCTATTCTGAAGAGTACTAACTGTTTATCCATAATATTATAAGGCGTTTGGTGTTGTTCTAGATAAATAGTCTGACTAAGTTGTATTGTGTTTTGTGTTGTTCTGGATAACATTGGATTAGACTATTGTTTTACAAAAAAATCTTTTGTTTGTGAGGTAAAATACCTCTAGGCCGAGCTAGGCTACACCACGGTGTTATTGGTCGAGCTGGGCCAAACCACGGTGTTAGTGGTCGAGTTGGGCTAGACCACAGTGTTAGTGGTTGGGCTGGGCTCGAGCCTGGTCACCATATATTTTTCCACCCTGACCTGTGTGGACTCGTGGGCCCATTTGAGCTCAGCCTTGGTGCACATGAGTTTGATTTATGTGGTGTTCACTCAAAGGACTTGTAATCCCAAGGAAGTTAGGATGTTTCGGGATAAATGGAGTCCTAGTTCGAGGAGGATTAGGTTGTTCTGGAGTCCTAGTTCAAGGAGAGCTGGTTTGCTCTAGAGTCCCACTCTGAGAAGGATTAGGTCGTCTGGGATGATATAAAAGGTTAAGGCCATCCTCCATAAAAGGTATGCAATTCTAAGCACTAGAACCTATTGTGCAATTTTACTCTCAAACACTTGACTGACTTAAGCATCAGAGGGTCCTTGGTCGGCACCACACTGGTGTCACCCACTGAAGCTATCTTGTTTCGTAGGTTCTGGAGGACGACTTGGTTGGTCACGCTGACCTCATTTGGAAGAATTGCCCGACCTTGATCTCGAAGAGGTCATCTTCTGTTGAACCAATTTTAGGCATCAACAGTTTGGCGCCGTCTGTGGGAATCGACATCTTGTTGATTTCCATCTATGTTTTTAGACAACAACCACTTGCTTGACACCATGAGTCAAGAGTCCAGCCACAACGAACCCGTCATCCCTGCTGCGCCTATCAAGGGGAGGAAGAAATCCAATCGCCTAACTAACATCGAGACCTACCTAAAGGAGATGAGGAAAGACATTAATGAACTCTGTAACTAGAACAAGGAGGTCGGAGGAGGAGCTGATAAGACCTACACAGGAAGCCAACGAAAGCTAGAAGAGTAGCGTCAAGGACATGGAGATAGTCAACAAGGTGGACCCCAACGCTGAGGCAAACTTCAACGTGAAGGACAGAACGATGAAGAGGGTGAGAGCCATCCTCGATCTCCTAATGGAACAGACCGTGAGAAGTTGCAAACTTTTGAGCCTAGCATTCGCAGCTCATTCTCTGGTTTCTCTCGCATGCCAACTGAAGGCCAGAGGGAATACCTTGACCTAAGGGATTTGCTTGAGGCAAAGAAAGCTCAGTACGTCTAATCGCGATTGTGAAGTTGATTGTGATCATGAAGTCAATCATGGTCGTGATTGTGAGGCCGATTGTGATCGGGAAGTGGATTAGTCTGAAGTCCGCCCTAATAGAGATGAGCAAGCTGGGGAAAGTAGAATTTTGGAGGCCATGAAGCGGATGCAAGATGAGATGGATCGAAAGCTGGAACTTAGCCTAACAGCCCTCGAGCGTGAACGGGGTCCAGGACCTCTCGACCTGGTCATGACAATTGACACCCTACCATTCATTAGGGACATCTTTGAATTCAATCTGCCTCAAAGAAGAGATACCCACCTAACTACTTCCTCAGCATCAGGCAGGGCCCTAAGGAGAAGTTGCGGGACTACATTAACCCTTTCAATCGAGAAGTAATTAGCATCCCTAGTTGCTCCAAGGATACGGCCTATACTGCCTTTCTAGCTGGGTTCCGAAGAGGACCTTTCCTGTTCCATGTCAACAAGTTTCCACCTAAGAGTTATGAGGACCTGGTGTCCGAGGTGTATCGCCATGCCATAGTTGAGGAGATGACATACGATACACAAGAAGGAAGGGACCCATCGCAACCTGGTGTAGGAGATAAACAGAGAGAAGATCGGAATGATGTACGCGAGAAGCCAGACTACAAGAAAGGAAGATTTGAGAATTCTAAATGAGGTGGGAGAGACCGAGATCAACCACAAAATCTATTTCGACCATGGTTCGACAACTACACCCCATTGAATACTAATCGAGAGGAGGTCTTCTTCCACGTCCAAACTGAGTTGCCGAAACCCCAACCTTCAAGGTTTTCCAAGGGGCGAAAGGATCCAAATCGATATTGCAGATATCACCGCGAGAACGGTCATATGACGGACCAATGTTATGAACTCCAAGATGAGAATGAAGCATTAATTAGGCGAGGTCGTCTAAGCCAATTTGTGGGTGAGAAGAAGCAAGCAGAGCAACATGACAACGCACTAGATAAGCAACCACGTGCTACGAAAGACATCAATGTTATCTCAGGTGGAGCAACTCTAGCTAGGGACTCCAACAAAGCACGAAATGAGTATAAGCGACGTACCCAAGGCGGACTTGAGGCCCTCTCTATTGGTCCAGGCTACTGGACTCCGAAGTCACCCAAGCTTTGGTACTCAACGATCACCTTTAACAAGGACGAGGAAAGAGATGTAATTCACCCACATGATGACCCATTCATAATCGAAGCTGAGATCGCAAATTGTTGTGTGAAACGGGTTTTCATTGACACATGCAGTTCGGTTAATATCCTCTTTAAATTAGCTTTCGAACAGATGGAGATATCATGAGAGGAGCTCAAGCCAGTGATCACTCCCTTGCTCGGATTCACTAGGGACAACATCAACTCCATTGGAAGCGTCACACTACCTCTGTCACTTGGGACAGCACCCTAATAGACAACGGTTTACACAGCTTTTCTAATAGTTGAATGCCTTTCTGCTTATAATGTCATTTTAGGTCGGCCAGCCTTATGCTATCTCCAAGCCTTCATTGTCAGCCACATGCTCTTGATGAAATTCCCAACCAAAGCTGGTGTGGGATATGTAAAGGGTGACCAACAAAAAGCTAGGGAGTGTTACGTCGTGGCGTCCAAGCAAAAAGGGAAGAAAAAGATGGAGATTTACGCTATCGAACGAGATGGGATAGATCGTGGGGTCGAGATCAACCCACGAGAAGGTACAAGTAAAAAACAAGCAATGCTAGGAGGGGACTTAGTAGACGAATGACATGATCAGGCTCAACTGTACAATGCCTTATACCAGCCATATGTAGTTCACTACTACAACTCTCATGTCAAACAACGAGCTTTCTAGGTTGGTGACCTAGTACTCCACAAGGTCATGCTTCCTACCTGCAAACCCGCAAATGGAAGCTCAGGACCAACCTGGAAAGGGCCTTACCGTGTCATTGACATTGTATGCCCTGGCACCTATCGACTAAGGGATCTCCGGGGAGCAAATTTGCCTTATCCTTGTAATGCATAGCATATAAAGAAGTATTACCAATGACTTCATCATCATCTACATGCTATCAGAGTTAAATCATCAGTTTGAGGTTTAGATTTTTCATTATATTGCTTTTCATTCGGTGTGGCTCATGGGAACTATCCTGTTATGATGGTTCATGAGGTATTTTTTAGTTTTTCAACTTAGTTAGCCAGCGTTCAAGCTCACTCTTGGTATGTTTTCAACTTTTCGATAGTGAATAAAATTTGGATTTCTTTTCCAATGTATTGTCTCTCCAAGCCTTAACAAGGGAACTCAAAGCGCCACATTCAAGCTCAGATGGACGAAAGGTCCGAGCTATATTTTTTATCAAGCTCATGTGGACGAAAGGTCCGAGCTATATTTCTATCAAGCTCATATAGACGAAAGGTCTAAGCTCAGTTTTTGCCAAGCTCAGATGGACGAAAGGTCTGAGCTATATTTCTATTGAGCTCATATAGACGAAAGGTCTAAGCTCAGTTTTCGCCAAGCTCAAATAGACGAAAGGTCCAAGCTATATTTCTATCGAGCTCATATAGACGAAAGGTCTAAGCTCAGTTTTTGCCAAGCTCATATGGACGAAAGGTCCGAGTTATATTTCTATCGAGCTCATATAGATGAAAGGTCTAAGCTCAGTTTTCGCCAAGCTCAGATGGACGAAAGGTCCGAGCTATATTTGTTATCAAGCTTATGTTGACGAAAGGTCTGAGCTATATTTCTATTGAGCTCATATAGACGAAAGATCTAAGCTCAGTTTTCACCAAGCTCAGATGGACGAAAGGTCCGAGCTATATTTGTAATCAAGCTCATGTGGACGAAAGGTCCGAGCTATATTTTTATCGAGCTCATATAGACGAAAGGTCTAACCTCAGTTATCGAGCTCATATAGATGAAAGGTCTAAACTCAGTTTTCGCCAAGCTCAGATGGACGAAAGGTCTGAGCTATATTTCTATCAAGCTCATATAGACGAAAGGTCTAAGCTTAGTTTTTGCCAAGCTTAGATGGATTAAGGTCCGAGCTATATTTCTATCAAACTCATATAGATGAAAGGTCTAAAGTCAATTTTGGTCTAAATGAAAGGTAAAATACCTCTAGGCCGAGCTAGGCTACACCACGGTGTTATTGGTCGAGCTGGGCCAAACCACGGTGTTAGTGGTCGAGTTGGGCTAGACCACGGTGTTAGTGGTCGGGCTGGGCTCGAGCCTGGTCACCATATATTTTTCCACCCAGACCCATGTATGAGTTTGATTTACTTGGTGTTCACTCAAAGGACTTCTAATCCCAAGGAAGTTGGGATGTTTCGGGATCACCAAGACGCCAATCTAAATGGAGTCCTAGTCCGAGGAGGATTAGGTTGTTCTGGAGTCCTAGTTCGAGGAGAGCTGGTTTGCTCTAGAGTCCCACTCCGAGAAGGATTAGGTCGTCTGGGAGAGCTGGCAAATGGGTTGTTTTTGCGAGTTACGGGTCGTGTTCGTGTCAACCCGTTATCTTAACGGGTTGACACGAACACGACCCGTTAGCTTAACGGGTCAGAAACACTAGACCCAAACACGACCCGCACAAATTCGCGAATAACACGACACGACCCGTTATGGCTAATGGGTCGTTTTTCACCCGTTTCACCCATTTTAAAAATAACAATATTTTTTAACAAATTATTAAATGAAAACACCTCAAATTAGATATATAATAAAAATAAAGCTGAAATCCTTTAAATAAGTCTTACACATTACACATTGGCAAATAAAACAACTCTTAGACAATGTGAGTTTCAAATTAATCTCAATTCAAACAAGTTTTAAATAAAATGTTAAGGAGGAAAGGAACAAATTTAGAGTCTCCACCATGAACCTAATCTCAAAACTTGAAGGTCCTCCATGTCCATGATCTCAAAATTGCAACTTTCACCAAATATGCAATCTCACTATAAGGAAACAAAAAACACAACAGCCAAATATGAGAAAAAAATAAAATTATGGAGGGATACAATATGAATAAAATATCAATTATTTATTATTACCTTTCATCAATCTTCAAGGGAAATACTATTGGAACATTGTCCTGATCTAGTCTCTTCACAAGTAAGATTGAAAATATCTTCAGTAAGACTTTCCACTTCGGCACTTCCTTCATCTATTGCTAAGCATTGAAAAAATAAAAATTACAAAGAATTCACATAATGGAAAAACATAAAAGAAAAAAAAAGCTACTAGTATTAAGTTATATAAATATTACCTCCATTTCCAAAAAGCCAATCTCGAGTGCACAAAAAAGCTTGAACAGTTTGAGGTAATAATGAACTACGATATTGATCTAATACTCTTCCGCCAATACTAAAAGCCAATTCCGATGCAACGGTAGAAATGGGAATTGTTAACACATCCCGAGCTAAATGTGAAAGTATTGGATAATGAAAATGCTCCATTTGCCACCAAGAAAGAACATCTATATCTTGCTTTCTATCTAGTCTTTCCTCATCCAAATCCTTATGCAATTCATTTTTCTTACATGAACTTGAACCATTTTTGTAACTATTATCAAAATCCTACACCATACAAAATCAAAACACAATTATTAGTTACATGCAAATATACAATATGAAACAATACATAAATAAAATAATAATAAATAATTTGAATTTACCTCAAGAATGGTGTCTCCACCTTCATTGTGACTAGTTGTCTCATTCGTTGGAAAACTTGCATTAAGAAGAGGAGATAAAGTTTCCGTGTACACATGAAAAAGGGAAGTCAATGTGTCTGTAACACCCTTGAATTCTCGAGAATCCTTACCATGAAGCTTAGTATAAGCCCACTCTACAAAATGCAACTTATAACGAGGATCCAAGATAATTGCAATTGCAAGAATTAAACTGTACTCTGACCAATACTTCTCAAACTTCATGCTCATATTAGTTCCTATCTTGTTCATGAAAATATCATCATCTTCAATGGCTGCCTTGATTTGGTGTTGGATTATGAAGATCTTAGGGAAGAATAAATTTGATGTGGGGTACTTTGTTCCAGAAAATAAGCATGTCACTTCATAAAAATACCCCAAAAACTTGGAAATCTTCTCTACTTTAATCCACTCTTGGGGAGAAGGGCAACTACTAAAATTGGAATCAATCAACCCTAAATTAATAAATGCACGATGATAGAAAAGTGCACTATCAAGCATGGTATAAGTTGAATTCCATCTAATAGGGACATCTTGTCTCAATCCTCTCTTACTACCCACAATCCCTACTTGTGCAACACAATCGTAGAATTTTTGTTTCCTTGCCTTGGATCCCTTTATATACTTGACACATTCCCGAATCTTTGTCACTGAAGAGTCAATTTCTTTAAGTCCATCTTGGACTATCAAGTTTGAAATGTGGGCACAACAACGGACATGAAAAAACTTACGACCCATCAATAGAAGAGATCTAAAGTTCAATTGATTCGTCAAAATATCAACAAAAGCTGTATTTGCAGAAGCATTATCAAGAGTAATAGAAAACAACTTCTTCTCAATCCCCCACTCAGTTAATAATGTATTGATTTTTTCAGATAATGCAACACCAGAATGTGGAGGAGGCATATGACAAAAGTTGATAATTCTTTTATGTAATCTCCAATCTTTATCAACAAAGTGGGTAGTAAGAGCAAGATAATCATCAGTACATAGAGAGGTCCATAAATCTGATGTTAAACAAATTCTTCCCTGAACTGAGCTTAACAAACTCTGAAGTTTTTGTCTTTCACTTTTAAACATCCTCAACACACATGCCTTAACAGTATTTCTACAAGGCAACTTAATATCCGGTGAGACATAAGCAAACAAAGCCCTAACTCCCTCATATTCAACAAAGCTAAAAGGCAAGTTATGTTTTATGATTGCCTCTATTAACAAGTTACGAAATCTGATATGATCAAATTTAGGGGAACGCAATCCAGATGATGACATAAGTAATTGTTTCACATCACCAAGTGGTTTCTTAACGCAATTTTTAGCATGATTCAACAAATTTCCAGTCCCACACCTACTATCACACACATAAATTGTCTCACAATTTTTACATTTAGCACGCCTTTTTTTATCTTCTCCAAGAGGCAATAAATCAAATGTTTCCCAAGCAGAAGATCTCAATTTTCTCTTACCAATATTGATGCCTCTAGGCTTTTTGCTTCTAGGGCTTGACTCTTTATATTCTACATTTGCAGCACTTGTATCCCCACCCATTGAAACATCAATAGACTCCTCATCTGTGAGTCTCATACATTCGGTACTCTCTGTAACATCCATGAGCTTCAAAAGAAAAAAAAATGGACATAAATTCAATATCAATTACAGTAATATAAAACTCACGGATGGAGTGTTTCAAGAATCAAAATAATAGCCTAGTGTGCAGCTAATCAATCATTATCATACCCATTGAATATCCAAAAAAACAAAAAAGAGAAGATAAAATACTTGTATAGAAAATTCATCATATCCACTAAGATATTTTATGATATCTCAATCTTGAGACATAAATTTAAATAATGGCAACATGCTGTCCCCTATAAACACCATTGAATGAGTTTATCACAATACACATATTTGTATAGCAATATTTCCAAGACAAAAGTAGAATAAATTCTTTGGTTTTCGAGTTGCAATTGTTAATTAGTTTTTTTAATTAGCAAGTCTTCATCTAAACCAATAAATAAATCAAACAAAGAACATAGTGCAGCAAGTTGATAAAATAGGCAGAAGCCACTAAACAATTAAGGACTGAATCGGTTGTTTTTTTATTCTATTCCCCAATTTCTATGAAATAAAGGATGCTCATTGAATGAATCAATGAATCTTAACTTGAGCCTACTTTGCTAAGAGAAAGACAGAGAAGGGAAAGACAGATGGCAGAAAGCAATCCTTCCAACTCAATTTGGTACTGATATAATTCATAAATGAAAATTAAAACGCTTAAATACTTGAGATTTTCATACCTTTTCGGTGGAGAAGAGGAAAGATAGGTAGTTGATGTTGATGGTTTGGTTTGGATGTAGAGAAAACGTGAGAGTGTTTGTTTTTCTTGAGAGAAAGAGACAGAGAGCGGCGTGAGAAGGGTAACGAAACAGAAGCTTCAATTCAATCTAGGTTAATTTTATAACGAAAATTACAAAAATGCCCTTCCTCTTAACGGGTTAACGGGTGATTCACGAATAATACTGACACGACCCGTTAGCTTAACGGGTGAGTAACGGGTCCACCCGTTTTCAACACGACCCATTAAGCTCGACCCAAATACTGTTATTTTCGTGCGAATTCGTGTCGTGTTAACGGGTCGTGTCCAATATTGCCGGGTCTATCTGGGATGATATAAAAGGCTAAGGCCATCCTCCGTAAAAGGTATGCAATTCTAAGCATTATAACCTATTATGCAATTTTACTCTCAAACACTCGACTGACTTAAGCATAAGAGGGTCCTTGGCCGGCACCACACCGATGTCACCCACTGAAGCTATCTTGTTTCGCAGGTTCTGGAGGACGACTTGGTTGGTCACGCCGACCTCGTTTGGAAGAATTGCCCGATGTTGATCTCGAAGAGGTCATCTTTTGTTGAACCAATTTTAGGCATCAACATCTTTGATAATTTAAGTGGAAATATAGACAATATAATTTGGATATATATAATTTTTTTAAAAAGAATATATTGAAGCCCAACAAAAGCAGGCAAGAAGAGAATCAACAGCCAACAATAGAAACACGAAAATAACCAGAAAACAACCAACAAAGCACCAAAAGTAGGAAAGAAAAAAATACAGCAAGAAAACATAGAGCCGCCTGTATTGTTCTAATCCCAGACTTAGGATGATAATTTGATTATTGAGTTGGATACCTGGAGAAGATGAAATACATAAAGAAAAAAACGCAAGAAAAACTCAGCAGCATGTATTGAGTTGGATACACAGCCGCATGATGATTATTTGATTATTTGATTAATTGATTATTGAGTTGGATACACAGCCACATTGTTCGCACTAGAACTAAACAGATCGAAACAAAGCTAACTTATAGGTGACGTGGATGGTTTGGACTCGAGAAGCCTTCGGTCCGTGATGTCTTTCCTTGAGATGCAATGCTGGATTCGGTCTGGAGAAAGAAACGGCATGTGAAGCCTAAAACACCGGTGTGGCGCCGGCCGAAGACCCCCTGATGCCAAAGTTAGTGACTAAGAGCAATTCTTATCGATAGTGTGAAAGCACAAGTCAAGTAAACAGTCTTATATCTTGGCTGGGCCAAGGGGCTCTATTTATATAGAGCATTTGTAATGCTCTTAGTACTTAGTTTTGATGTGAGACTCATGGGAGTGTCTTTGACGGTCGACACGTTCCCTGACAGGTTCTGGCGGGAGTTCCGAGGTTATTTGTCAGAATCGGCTGGATGTGCTGACTAGTCGCTCGACATCGCATGCCGAAGGTTGGTGTGGGTGAGTCGGTCGATGTCAATTACCGACCTGATGACCACGTATGAATCGGTGGAGTATGCCGATTGACCTTTCAGCATGGCTCACTGAGCTGGTCTAAGCCTCATTTACTTTCCACGTGTTATGACGTGAGTGGCAGGTTAGATGTGATACAAATAGGAGTCCCCCAAGTTTCCGATCGATAATGGACTTCTTGGTTAAGGGCTTGCTTGTGTCCTTGAGCTCTGGCATTCTGACTCAGGTACGAGCATCCTCCGTTGTATGCCGATGGTGGTGATCATGTAGTCTTCCAAGTCCCCAAGCCAAGGGGAGGTTGAAGAGTGGAAGTAAACGGCAGCAGGAGCCGAACCGGTTGGTACAAGAGGTGAGTGAGAACTCAACCACTGTGCGCCTGCCGTTCGGCACGAGAGGTGATTGAGAACTCGACCACTGTGCTTCTGCCGTTCGACAAGAGAGGTGAGTAAGAACTCGACCACGGTGCGCCTGTCGTTCGGCACATGAGGTGAGTGAGAACTCAACCACAGTACACCTGCCGTTCGGCACGAAAAGTGAGTGAGAACTCGACCACGGTGCGCCTCCCGTTCGGCATGTGAGGTGAGTGAGAACTCAACCACGATGCACCTACCGTTCGGCAAGAGAGGTGAGTGAGAACTCAACCACTATGCGCCTGCCGGTCATTGGGGAAGTTGTGTGTCGAATTGAAAGTGTGAGAGAATGTGAAGTGCTTGCGCAAGTGGGAAGCGATGACGCTTGTGCTTTCTTGTGCATGTGTGACACGTGTCTGGAGGGTTGCGAGGGGTCGCGTCGCGTCGTTTCCCGATGCTAGGTTCGTCCTATAAATGGGCCAAAGAGACGGTGGGAGGGTTACTTGAGAATTTGAGAGCAAACGAGCTTGTGAGAGGCGATTTCCGGTGAGTGCACTGCAGTGGTAGAGGTGATTTTCTGCGAGAATTTTCAAGGTGAAGGCGATTTTCTGCGTGTTCGAACCATTGTGTAAACAAGATAAGGTTCCATGTTTTCATTTTATTTGAGGGAGAATCGGTATCAAAAAGCTCGACTGCAGGGCTTGGTAGTGCTGATTCCGAAGGAGCCAAAGGGGTAGGGGGTGCAGAGGTGTCTACCGATTCGGGGAGCACTTCGAGTGTCAAGGTGGTTGAGGTTAATAAATCTCAACCATCGACATCTGGTCGTCGAGTCGGGGCGATCGAGGCTGGTGCATCAATTGTCGATCCCAAGGAGGGTGTGCTGACTGTGGTTATTGGCCGACAAAGGGTGCCGGTGGCGAAGCCAAAGGGCATGGTGTTCGGCGTAGACTTCTTAGAGCCGAACACTTTGAATGAAGCTGAATTGGCCGTTGGAGTCTTTGAGCAATCCGGACGGTGAGGTGGTTTTCTTCACCGATGCCTTCAAACATGGGCTTCGGCTGCCGTTGAGGCATTCGATGCAGAAGATCCTAGCTCAAATTGGTTATGCTCTGGGGCAGTTTAATCTGAACTTCTGGATTACATTACTTGGAATGATTACGGCTTTCGGCATAGCCGAAGGGGAAGAGCCAAGCTATGAGAAGTTCGCCCACCTCTACAGCATGACGAGGGCGAAGAGTGCCGATCAAGGGGTGGGTGCAGTCAAATTGCCTTTCGGCAGGTCAGCGAGGGCACTTCGTTGTCTGGCTGCCGAGCTCTCAGAAGACCTGATGTCGGCGTCGGGTGCTGGTTTCCTGAGCTTAGGAATCGGCGCCGGGGGTGGTTGTGGAGAGGCACATCCTCACGGGCTTTCAAACAGTCGGTAGGCATATAGGGTGTCGTTCGGCAAAGCTCTTTTTTGTTGTTGTTGTTGTTCTTTTGTTGTTTTTTGCCGAAGCTAACCTGAGTTGTGTATTGTCGTATTGCAGTGTCCTTGAAATGGCCGATCACAACAAAGAGGGAAGTGGAAGTAATCGAGCGTGTTCAGTAGAAAATTGCTGAAGAAGAACGTGTCTTCAGGACTCTGCTTGACTTCGGCAATCTGTTCAAGGCGGGCTTGATCAGTGAGGCCGAGCACGCTAGAAGGTAGAAGGAAAAAGAAGAAGAGGAGAGGAGGAAAAGTAAGTAAATGTTGTTCGGCATGTCTTGTTCTATGTTTTCGTAGGCCGATTCGTTCCTAACTTGGTTCTATCTTGCGCAGTGGCTAGTGGTAGGGCAATGAACAAAGCTACAAGGAGGCGGCTGGAGTCGCGAGCCCCCTAGAAGAAAAAGGACGGTTCACAGAGTTCGAGGATGAAACCGTTGCGTCAGGCTGAGGGGGCTTTAACACTGGAGGTGATGGTGGCCGATCGTCGAAGGGAAAAATAGGTGGCTGAGGCCATTCGCGAGGGTGCCCTCGATGTGACCTCTCTGCTAAAGAGGTTAAAGGGGCCGAATGAGGATGCGGCCGTCCTCGTTCTCGATGACGAGGCATAGGCTGATGCCGAACCGGTGAACGTGGCCTGCCCCGGAAAGTTATGACGTTCGTGAACTGTTTCATCGATGGAGCTTAGATGGAGCTCTCGGAACTTGAGCAGGTATCGAGGAAGATAGTGCGCGAACAGGTCGGCCAAGCCTTCCGCCTTCAAGCTGTTGTAAGTGTTGGTGGTTATTTTTGCTGAAAGCATTTATTCGGTTGGTCATGTGCTAACCCTGTGTTGTTGCAGGCTAACATGGAGATGTGGCTCGGCATGAAACGTGCTATCAATGTTGCCGCGCACATTCAGAAAAAATATGAGGATAGCCGAGACAAGATTGTCGAGGCTGGGAAGCTAATCCAAGACGCAGATCGGCATGCTAAGGAAAATGCTGCGAGGATTGCAGAGCTATCCTCGAAGCTGGTCGAAGCTGAGAGGGCGGCGGTGGAGGCTGCAAAGGAAGCGGTCCTTCGATCTCGTGCAACGGAGGTAGAGGAGGTGAAGAAAAAGGCTGTTGTTGAGTACCGGAGCTCAGAAGCATTCACAATGCTTCTGGACAAGGAGGTGATGGAGCAATGCGAGGACCTGATATACTGATTCAAGCGCTTCAACACCGATAAAAAGCTGAACCTCAACTTCCTTCAGGGCCCGCCACCATTGCCCAGAAGGGTGACTGAAGAAACGGTGGAGGCGTACTTTGGTGAGGACGTGGACGCAAATTCTTCGAGTGGGTCGGATTCAAGTAGTGAGGAGGAAGAAAACACTCCTCCTGCCGAGCTGTTGACCGATCACGATGCTGAGGTGCCAGATCCTTCGGCCATCGCTGTTGAGACTGTGCCCACCGATCCTCTGACTCCTTGATACATTTATATATATATATATATATTTTTTGTAATATAAGTCATGTTTGAACAATTCGGCCGTTTTGGCCAATGTTGTTAAGACAATTGCCCATTTGTGGCTTCTTATTGTAGTTAATTTGCGATCGGTTTGGTATTTCCATCATAGTCACAAAAGTGCATGCTTGCCGTAGATAGTGTATGTGGGTCGGTATCGTTAAGGCAGAATTTAATGCATAGGATAGAAAAGTAAATAATGATGCCGAAGGAAAAAAGGGTCCACAATTTTAACCGAAGGTGGGTTTACTTGTAATAATATTTTAAATGATCAACATTCCAGGGGTGGCCAAGGGTTTGACGATCGGAACCACGTAATCGATAGATGTCGGGTCGGCAAATGCTGACTTCATAGGGTCCTTCCCATGACGGGCCAAGAGTGCCTTTGGTAGGGTCTCTCGTTCCTGGAGAGACTTTATGCAGAACCTAGTCCCCCACCTTGAACGATTGGTGTTTGACGCATGAGTCGTAATACTGAGCCGTTCGCTGTTTGTAGGTGGCGTTCCGAAGCTATACTTGTGATCGATGTTCATCGATGAGATCCAGATTTAAGGCGAGCTAGTGCCCATTTTGCTTGGGATCGTAAGATGCTGTTTGACATGTGGGTGCACGCACCTCCACCGGTACCACAGCTTCGATACCGAAGGCAAGTGAGAACAAGGTCTCGCCTGTTGACCTTCGGTATGAGGTATTGATGGCCCATAGTGCTTCCAGTAGTATTGCAGGCCAATCGCCTTTGGCGACTCCGAGCTTCTTTTTCAACGTCTTTTTGATAATTTTGTTGATGACCTCTACTTGTCCATTGGATTGTGGATGTGCCGAAGATGCAAAGAATATGTTGATGTTGAATCGAGAGCACAGATGCCAGAAACGGGAGCAGTTGAATTGCTTGCCATTGTTTGTGATGATTGCGTTTGGTAGGCCGAACCAGCATATGATGGTCTTCCATACGAAATGTTCGATTTTAGCGACCGTGACTGTTGCTAGCACCTCGACTTCGGTCCATTTTGTAAAGTAATTGATAGCTACTACTACAAATTTGAGTTGTCCCTTGCCTTGGGGCATTAGGCCGATGAGATCGAGTCTCCATTGCGCGTATGGCCAAGGGCTTATTATTGAGGTGAGTGGTTCGGTCGGTAGCTTTGGAATGGAGGCGAAGCATTGGCACTAGTTGCATTTTTGCACGATCCTGACAACGTCAACGTGGAGAGTTGGCCAATATTAGCCTTGCCGAATAGCTTTGAAGGCCAAAGATTGGGATCTCGAATGGTCACCACACGCGCCTTTGTGAATTTCTCGCAGGACATAGTCCCCTCGTTGTGGAGTAACACATCGTAGCCAACGTAGGGAGTGGCCGCGTCGGTAGAGGTCGTTTTGCAAGAGAAGGTATCGTGCTGATCGGTGTTGAATAGCTTTGGCCTCTGTTTTGTCAGTCGTTAGCGTGCCATTGGCGAGGTGGGCGTGGATTGGATCCATCCAACTAGGGTTCTGCCGGACGACGTTTACCTCAGCTTCGGTAGTGCTCCTTCGAGCAAGGACTTCGACCGGTAAGTGGCGTCCGGCGCGGTCGTCGATTGCCGAAGCAAGCCTTGAGAGAGCATCGTCATGATTATTCTCGGATCTGGGGATCTGCCGGATTTGGTATGCGTTGAACTGATCGAGCAACTGGCGGGTTTCCACGAGATAGGCCGCCATGGATTCGTCTTTTGCCTCGAATTCGGTAATCACTTGGTTGACGACTAATTGGGAGTCGCTACATATCGTCAGCCGTTCGGCACCCAAGGTCTTAGCGAGCCGGAGGCCCACCATGAGGGCTTCATTGTTGGAAGCGTGAAATTGAAAACAGATGGCATATTCAATCGTGGTGTCGTTTGGTGTCTTGAGGACTAGGCCTGCACCACTGCCTTGTCTATTGGATGAGTTATCAACATATAATGTTCAATGAGGAATTGTGGGATCGAATGTATGGTCAGCCGAATGTGCCTCCATGGATGTCGAGGGTGGTTCCGTGGTAGGGTCGATCAGTTGATCGGTTTCAGAAGGAAGTATGAGTACCAAAATGAAATCGGCCACAGCTTGTCCCTTTTCAGCAGAACGAGGATGATAACGTATGTCAAATTCACCGAGCTCAATGGCCCATTTGATTAGTCGTCCTGATGTCTTTGGCTTCTACACGACTTGCCGTAGGGGCTGGTTGGTTAATACTTCGACGGTGTGAGCCTGGAAGTAGGGTCGAAGCTTGCACATGGGGAGAACGAGAGCGTAGGCCAATTTTTCAAGTTGGGGGTACCGTTGTTCCGCGTCCTGCAGCGCATGGCTTCTATAGAAGATGGGGAGCTCAATGTCGTTCGGTCTACGAATGAGTACGGAACTCAATGCCGTTGCCGATACTGAGAGGTAGATGATGATGGTCTCTCCTGGAAGAGGCTTGGACAGTAGAGGGGCTCTACTCATGTAGGCTTTAAGATCCTCGAACGCTCAGTAACACTCGGAAGTCCAAATTACCTGCCTTTTACTCTCTTTGAGAGCTTTGAAGAATGGAGCACATCGGTCGGTGGCTTTGGATATGAAACGAGCCAAGGCGGCGACTCGGCCAATAAGGCTCTGAACATCCTTCTTCATCTTCGGGACCTGCATGTCTAGTAACTCCTGAATTTTCTCAAGGTTAGCTTCGATGCCTCGCTGGCTTATCATGAAGCCCAGGAATTTGCCGGAAGAGACGTCGAAGGCGCACTTGTTTGGGTTCAGGAGCATGTTGTACTTTTTTAGGGTGTCGAACATAAGGGAGAGGTTTTGAAGATGATAGTCGGCAGTTCTACTTTTGACCAGCATGTCGTCTACGTAGACTTCCATCGAAGTGCCAATGAGTTCGGGAAATATTTTGTTGACTAGGCGTTGATATGTTGCCCCCACACTCTTCAGGCGGAACGGCATAACGTTGTAGCAGTAGAGACCTCTATCGGTAATAAATGCCGTATGTTAGCGATCAGCAGGATGCATGAAGATCTAGTTGTAGCCTGAATAGGAGTCCATAAAGCTAAGGAGCTCGTGGCCGGCCGTGGCATGTCATCGTAGGACCAGGCATGTCATCCGGGGAGATGCCAGGCATATCATCGTAGGACCAGGCAAAAACTTCCGAATTGGCCGGTAGAAGGGCTATGAACTTGGTCTGAAGAGACGGACTAAGGGAGGTGCCGATCCTGACCTGCCGGTCCCTCTGTGTGTCGAAAATGGATATCGTTTCTAGTTCTTCGACAGGTAGAGCTTGCGGTGTGACGCCTTCGTCCCGAGAGTCGTCAGGACGCTCAGACCCTCCCCAGCTATTCGACATGGTCAAACTAGAGACGACCAGGGATTCGGGTGTTTTTCGTCCCGATATTCGGGTTGCCGATTCCCTTGTAGATGGCACATAACATATGCATGTGCTCAATTGGTCCCCTCGTACTTGGCCGATACTAGAGTGCATTGGGAATTTAGTTAGCAACATATGCAGTGACAATATGGCCTTCATTCGGGTGAGGGTGAACCTACCGATGATGGTGTTATAAGCTGTCGGACAGTCGACCACTAAGAAGTAAGTGTAGACGAACGTCCTTCTGGGCTGGTGCCGATGGGAAAGGGGAGTTGGATGCTTCCGATCGGCTCCACAACATCACCGGAGAAGCTTAGAAGATGGGTGATATCCCTGTTGAGGCTTTGGTGTTTGATTCTGAGGCCTGCGAAGGCATCGGCAAAGAGTACGTTGATCGAACTTCCAGTGTCGACGAGGATTTGGCCTACGTCAAAATCGGCAATGTCGGCCCAAACAATCATGGGATCGGAGTAGGGAAAAACGATGCCTTCTCCTCTTCCTCGGAGAAGGTTATGGGTTCCCATTCGACTAGCCAAATTTTGCTATTGCGCCTTTTAGTGAAGCTGAGGATCTGCAGGCGCCGACTGGTTGCTAGAATCAGCTATTGGTGTACCGCCGCTGATCATGTTGATCTGCCAATTGCCCAGCTGCTCGGGGGCCGGATGTGCATTTAGATACTGGTCTTGTTTGCCTTCACTGGTCAGCCTTTCAACAATTTTTCGGAGGGCGATGCATGACTCGGTATCGTGGCCATTGTATTGGTGGTAGCGGCAGAATACTCCGAAATCTTTGTCAACCTGTCGAGGGAGTTTCCGACTGTTTGGCTTCGGAATCATTTGGTTTTCGGCCATGAGGACATGTTCGTAAGTTGAGTTGATCGAGGTAAAGGCTTATTCTGGTCGGGCCCTTTTTGGGCTTAGAGAATCGACTCGGTCACTCGGCTCCTTATTGAGTTTGCCTCCATCCTGCCAACCTTGAAATCCGTCCCTTCGCTTGTCTCCTGTTGTGTAAGGAGCAGACACGGTAGGTGTCGTTCGGTAGGGAGCTTGATTTGTAATTTGGTGTGGCGGGAAACAGTCATAGGTTGGTGCTTGGGCAAGGAGGTGCCGAAGGCACTCCTTTGGAGTTGAAGTGTTCCGCCTTGGCGTAAATGGCTGCCTATTTAATCAATTCGCCGTAGGTGGTCCAATTGCTGCTGTGGACCAGATAGCGAAATTGAGATGCTCTGAGGCCACTTTTGAAAGCGCCGATGGCTGCTCGATCGTCGGTCTCTGGACACCGAGAGTATTCAAGGCTGAATCTGACTGCGTACTCCCAAAGAGGCTCGTCGTCTCTTTACCGAATGGTGTAAAGGTCGTCGGCAGAGTAAAGGCGATCGGTCTGTATCATAAAATGATTGAGGAAAGTTTGTTTTAATTGATCGAAAGAGTCTACCGTACTTGGCTCCAGCTGATAGAACCAATTCAGGGCCGCTCCGGCCAAGGTGGATGGAAATAGTAGACACTGGCCTTCATTGGTGAGCCCTTTGCAACCTAGGGCCAATTGGAAGGTATGAATGTGTGTCACATGATCTTCTACTCCTGTGTAGAATGATATTCGAGGTGCCTGGACCTCCTTCTCATGTCGGTAGATTCGGATTTGGCTGGTGAACGGCCTTAGCTATACCTTTCCCCAGGTTGGTGTTTGAATCTGGTTCTATTCTTCCTCGATCTGGTTGACTTTCTGAAGAAGGAGGCAGATGGTGGGATCGGTAGGAAAGAGGTCGTTGCATAAGGGTTATGACGTCTGGGGGCCGGTTGGAAGGCGAACGTCGTGTCTTTGTGTTTAGCGGCCCTTCGCTTGGTCAGAGTTTCTGACGGGACCTCCTTTTTACTGATCGCTCTCTTTGGTTGATCGGTGTTCTCGTCGGGATGATCTTGATGTTGTCGATTGGCATGAGATCGTCGTTCCAGGAGAGGTCGGAATGTAGTCGGATTCGTCTGTTTCTTCTAGACCGATCACGTCGTACCATCGACGAAGACGAGATTTCGGTCCGAGTACATCCAGGTGCCGATCGTTGAGTTTCGCTTGGACCGGAATCGGGGATGTCCACCATTCTCTACGCCGATCGTTGAGTCTGTCGCGACAGTCAGAGTAAACTCGATTTTCCCTGTGGCGTTCCTCTAGAAAAGGCACGAACAGCCTTCGGGAGACTGATGGCCCGCCCGTGGCCGGTTTTTTTCCTCTCTCCTGACCGCTAGGGTTTGGTACGCTTTTGAGTGATTGCTCCTGGCAAAGCTGCAGGGTCTGTTCCAAACCGTCCTGCAGTTGGGCCGAGTGTGATTGCTGCTCGTGAAGCTGTTTCTGGGTGTCATCCAGTTTGGAGGAAAGGATGTTGTTGTGTTCCTGCATTTTTGCCATTTCCCGCTGCAGGGCTTCTATCTTATCCTCCAAGTTGTTCTGTTGACCTGGCGTTTCCACTCAGGGTGTGCTGGGCGATGCAGCGGGGTTTGCTCTGCTGGCGAGGCCGAGGATAGGACCATCGGTCGCAAGGGGCGAAGGTGGGTCCATAGTGAGGTGGAAAAGGAGATATGGGCTAATTGTCAATCGAAATTCCCACAGACGGTGCCAATCTGTTCGCGCTAAAACTAAACATATAGAAATAAAGCTAACTTACACGTGACGTGGATGGTTTGGACCTGAGAAACCTTCAGTCTGTGATGTCTTTCCTTGAGATGCAATGTTGGATTCGGTTTGGAGAAAGAAACGGCAAGTGAAGCCTAAGACACCGGTGTGGCATCGGCCGAAGACCCTCTGATGCCAAAGTTAGTGACTAAGAGCAATTCTTATTGACAGTGTGAAGGCATAAGTCAAGTAAACAGTCTTACCTTTTGGCTGGGCCAAGGGGCTCTATTTATAGAGAGCATTTGTGATGCTCTTAGTACTTAGTTTCGATGTGGGACTCATGGGAGTGTCTTCAACGGTCGACACATGCCCTGACAGGTTATGGTAGGAGTTCCGAGGTTATCTGTCAGAATCGGTCGGATGTGCTGACTGGTCGCTTGGCATCGCGTGCCGAAGGTTGGTGTGGGTGAGTCGGTCGATGTCACTTACCGACTTGACAACCACGTATGAATCGGCAGAGTATGCCGATTGACTTTTCGGCATGGCTCACTGAGCTAGTCTTAGCCTCGTTTACTTTCCACGTGTTATGACGTGAGTGGCGGGTCAGATATGGTACAAACACACATGATAATTATTTGATTATTGAGTTGGATACACAGCCGCATGTATTGTTCCAATATAGTAAGAAAAAAAAGGTCAAAAAGGAAAAACTCATAACCTAATTTCCACAAAAAATTAATAAAAGAGGAAATATATAAAGAAAGAGAAGAGATCAGATATGGTACAAACACACATGATAATTATTTGATTATTGAGTTGGATCCACAGCCGCATGTATTGTTCCAATATAGCAAGAAAAAAAAGGTCAAAAAGGAAAAACTCATAACCTAATTTCCACAAAAAATTAATAAAAGAGGAAATATATAAAGAAAGAGAAGAGAGAAGAAGCATATTGGAGAGAGAGAGAGAGAGAGAGAGAGAGAGAGAGAGAGAGAGAGAGAGAGAGAGAGAGAGATGGACACCTGGAGAAAAGTGAAGAGAATGACCCTGGAGAAGATAGCATAAAAGAACCTTAGGGAGAAGAGAAGATGAAAATAACGTCGTCGGATTTTTCATGTGAACGTGTGTGTTCTTTTTCCCTAGCTGTATAATTAAGCATGTATTATCTAAATCTGGGTGTGTGAGTTGTATTAGTTAGTAAGGTAAGGAGAGTATTAAAAGCCCAACTCGTATAAAATAGTTAGGTAATTAAATAATACAAGTTGACACCAAACACTTGACATGGACTATTTACTCATATCCAGTGTCTAATACAGTGTACCAAACGAGCCCTTAGGGTTTTCATAATGAAACCGTTTCCACATACCTAAATGGTTCTTCGTTAGAACATCGACCTGGGTTCCTGAGTTCTCACCTTTCCATGTGTCGGACCCTATGGTACGAGCCACATAGGAATCCTTGTTTTTCACACTCTTCAATTTGGTGAAGAAATAAAGGTCTTCACCTATTGCTAATTTGTGTCCACCATATTCATTCCATATATCCCATGGCTCTATCTTACCATACAGATCTACTTATGGAATAACATTTCAAACATAAAGGATGTGCCACGAACCTTGTTAAGAAGATAATATCCCAATAACTCATCAGACGAAACTTGAAACCCACACGTAGATGACCAACAAACTCACAAGGCGTGATAGCTATAGGTAGTTAGCTTTCTCTTAAACTAATTGATGTGCTAGGTTTTGAAACATATATCTAGGAGTCATTATAATATCCAAACTATGTGTCTAAATATATGATACAGACATGATTGTCCTTATTTTGGTGAGATGGGGCCAAGAAGGCCAAAACAAAAAATATTAAACAACTACAACCTTAGGCCTAGCCAGGCAGCAAACATCAGCAACAAGGCTATCACAAGCACATGGAGGCGCCAGCTCAAATCAATGAAAGCCAGGAACCATATCATGATTCATGTGAGCCAAAACATTAGCAACACAGTTTTGTTCACGAAACACATGTGTGAGAGAATAAAACCAATTTGATGCATCTTCAATTTGCAACAATCTATCAAGCTAAAAAGTGGATGAGTGGAGGCAATGGAACCAGTAAGAAGAGACACCACAGAGTTAGAATCACATTCCACCTCAACATGTCTGCAACCACTATCCCAAGCCAAATGAAGCCCCCAAAAAATACCCCAAAACTCAGCCTCAAGGGTAGAACCAACACCCTGATTAATAGCAAAGCCCGTAATACAATCCCCTGTAGAATTTCTAATCAAGCCACCTGTTCCAATAGCACCAGAATCAGATTTCCCACTCCTATTAGTGTTGAGCTTAACAAAACCAGGAAGAGGGGCATGACAATGCACCTGTACGACACACTTCTTAAGGGAGCTAAGCATAGGCTTACAAGCTGTAAACCAGTCCATAGCATATTGCAAAATCAACTTATAAGGCTCAGAAGGCATAACAAAACCAGCATAAAAAAAAACTTTACAACACCACTTCTAGATGAACCAGAGACATACAACAAAAGCTAAGGACCAAAGCAAATTATCACAAACAACTCGTTTAAACTGTAGATTGTGCAAAAGCCAAACATCAAAATCACTCACATGGCAGTTAACCAACTCATCACTACACCCAAAGCCACTCCAAATATCCATAGAGCAACAACAACCTCTAATTAAATGCTCAATAGATTCTATAGGGTAAATGTACTTGGGACAAGGAGCACAGGAAGCAAGGCCCCTTTTTGTCTTTGATAATTGGTAAGCAACTTCTTATGGCACAACAACCAAAGAAAAGTTTTAATCTTAGGATGAATTTTAAGCTTCCAAAGAAAACCTCACTCCCACGGAAGCTCTTTAAGAAAAATGTTATTATAAACTAACTTAACAGATAAATCATCATTTGGAGTACACTTCCAAATTATTTTACCCAGCCCACTCCTAAAGAAACTAGCATGAATGCTTAAAATCATCTGGACAATCTCATCAGGCAAACATTCTTGCAAACAATTCATATCCCAACAACCATCTTCCAAATAATCACTTACGTTAAGTTGGAGCATTTCCTCAAATAAATCAATTAGAGCATGACTCTGCAGAGGACCACAGCTTAACCAAGAATCAGTCCAAAATAAAATATAATCACCAGAACCTACCCTCCATTAAAGGCCATGAGGGAGAAGCTTAGCACCATATAAAACACCCCTCCAAACACTAGAACTGCAACTCAAATACTTAGCATTCAAAATCTGAGACAAAAGGCCTTGATCATTCTGAAGCAATCTCCAACCAGTCTTAGCCAATAAAGCTTGATTCATCCAAGCAGTTTTCTAGATTCCCAAACCACAAACAATCATAGGTTGACAAACAGTATCCCAATTAAAAAGATGAACCTTATTCTTATCCGCAGTATGGCCCCAACAAAAATTCCTATTTAACTGATCAAGTTTATCACAAATAGAGACAGGAAATTGTGCAGGTATTTGGGGACAACCTTCTTTGAACCTTATCAACGATCTCAAAATAAGTAGCCTTAGTAACTTTTTTATGAATCAAAGGAACCCCAAGGTATTTACCAAGACAATCAGTAAGAGGAGAACCACTAATAAAAGCAAGTTGACGAGCTAAATCAGAGCAGGTATTTGGGGAAACACAAATCATAGATTTCTCAAAACTAACCCTTTGACCAGAGAGATTACAGAAGTCATCTAAGCACTGCTTCATAACTTTAGCTTGAGTAACAGAAGCTTTACCAAAAAGGATAAGATCATCGACAAAAAATAAATGCGACACCATAGGACCCCCTTGACAAATCTGAACAGACTTCCAGATTTTATCCTGAACTCTTTGATGAGTAAGATGAGAAAGTTTCTCCATGCACAAGACAAAATATAAGGGGAAAGAGGATCACCCTGCCTAATCCCACATTTAGGAACAAAAGTCTCAGTTAACTCACCATTAAGAACAACTTTATACTGGACATAACTAATACAAATCATAAGAAGCTCAAGAATCCTGCCTCTAATGCCAACTTCCCAAAACACTTCCCTAATAAAATTCCAGCTCAGATGATCATAGGCCTTGGATAGATCAATTTTCCAAGCAACAAACCCTTTTTTCCTTTTTGAAATCTTAAATTTATACAACAGTTCCTGAGCCACAACAATATTATCAGTAATACGTTTGCCTAGCACAAAACTCACTTGAGTGGGACTAACAAGCTTAGACATAAGAGGTCTAAGTCTTGCAACATGGATCTTAGAAACCACCTTGTAAAGAGTGTTACACAAACTGATAGGCCTTAATTGAGGTATAGAAGTAGGCCTTTCAGCCTTAGGAACCAAAGCAATCAAGGTATCATTGAGATGCTCAGGAAGAGAAGCAGTTATAAAATAATATTTAACAACTGAGATGATATCACTAGAACAAAGATCCCAAAAATTCTGATAAAAAATATCAAGGAAACCATCTAGCCCAAGGGTTTTAAGACCTCCAATAGCAAACAAACTATGCTTCATTTCTAATTCAGTGATAGTGCCACTTAAACCAGCTAAATCCTCACAACCAAGCTGAGAAAACAATTGAGGAAGCAAAGAATACTCACCAGTAGAAACAGAAACATTAAACAATCCTTGAAAATACTCACAAACAATCTACTTCATATCATTTTTCTCAGTCACCCACACTCTCTCAACATTATTCAACCCTTCCAATTTATTCCTTCTCCTTCTGATGATAGTAGAAAGATGAAAAAACTTAGTTTTCCGATCTCCTTTCCTCAGCCAAGTATTTCAAGATTTTTGCAGCCAAAGTATCTCTTCCTGATCAAGAATGAGATTATACTCTTTAGTCAACCCAACCTCAAGATTACAGAGATAATGACTGAACTACAAACACAACTTTCGTTGAATACCAGCAAGCCTAGCTAAAAGTCTCTTTTTCTTTTGAAAAAGACAGCAAAAAACATGCTTATTCCAATGATGGAGAGACTGAATAATACTAATAGATTTATGAGTAGCATGGCCCTCACTAGAACTCCAAATATCATAAATGAACTTAGAGAAATCAGGATGGCTTAACCACATAGCTTGGAACCTAAAAGGCAAAAAAGCTCTCGCTGGGGCATGATTAGACAATAACTTCACCAAAAGAGGGCAATTATCCGAATTAACCCTAGGAAGATGAGATAAATGAGCTTCATGAAACAAAAGGCGCCACTCAATGTTACATAAACCTCTATCAAGTCTTTTCCAAATAATACCCTCAGAATTCCTTTTGTTACACCAAGTGAAATTGGCTCCAAAGAAGCCTAAGTCAACAAGATGATTATGATCAATCCAATCAATGAAAGTCTGCCCACCATTATCCAAATTACCACCACATTTCTTCTTAGCACACACAATGTCATTAAAATCTTTAAGGACAAGTCATGGAAGGTTAGAAGCTTGAGCAAGACCATCAAAATAACGCCAAAGAGACTCTCGAATCCCAAGACAAGGATTAGCATAAACCACAGTGAGCAACCACTAGTGAGTCCCTAAACAAACAAGAGCAGTAATGGATTGGCTAGAGTGGGCAATGACATTAAGAGTGACAGAACTCCCATTCAACAAAAGCCAAACACCCCCCGAAAACCCAACAACATCCACAATATGGTAATGAGAAAACCCCAAAATCTTCGCTACTTTGAGAGCCCTAGGCCCACTAATCCTAGGCTCAAGCACAGCAAAAATATCAATGGCATAAATATTCTTAAGATCCTTAATAGTACTAGTACATCTATCCTTACTAGCACTCCTCACATTCCAAGACACAATCATCATAATAAAATAAGGAAGCAGGGAAGAACTCAGGGAAAATCCTAAATATGCAATAGCTTTGCCTCAAGAGCATAGACATCATGCTCACAAGCCATACCAGTAGGCAGGCCAACATCAGGCACACCAAAACCAGTGAAATCCCATGTTGATCCATATCATTAGAGGCAATACTCACACTAGAAGACTTAGCTTCATATAACTTTGTTCGGCTAATATTAGGTGGGTCATGACTATTAACCAAGCCAGCCTGGCCTAAAGAAGAATCATTAAAAGGAGAACCAACAACATTGAACGAGAAAACCCCACGAACGTCATCTTGAACCTTAGAACCATTGATTTGCAGCCTCACAGTATCAAACCCTTAAGCATTAACAAGTTTAACCCCCACTTCATTCCTACAAGGCTTCCTCAAATTAGGGCCACCCTTAACCACAACACCTCCTACTTTGGACACTGAAGCATTAGTGATGTCTTTCAAAGGATTTTTAAAAACCCAAGGCGAAGACTCACGAGGATGAGAAGGCTGCTTTCCATAAGATTTAGCCTTATAAGATGATCCAAAACCAGAAGGAGTGGCAAACTTCACATTCCCCCTTGTGCTAACAGGAGTAAACCCCTCCATATCATCCTTTCCACTATCCTCCTAAAAAAGAACATTGAACCTGGACCCAGAGAAGATATCAGCATCCTTGGACCTAGACTCCTTTGAGTTCAACTTACCTAACTCAGAAGCCTTCCTGAATCACTAACCACCTTCTTTGTATTAAAACTTCTTGGTTTTATTAACATCCATTGCCCATGCATCTTAGCTGGAATCTCAACATCTTTAGTAACAGGATTATTAACACTGAGATCACCACTCTTATCCGAAATATTAACCTCCATATTCTTAGCATGACATAAATTTGACTCTTGTTTTTTGGCTTGCAATATAACAGGGCAAGAGTCTCTACCATGACCATAACACCCACATTACAGACTAATTGAATTCCCTCATACACAACCCGATAAGAATGACCTTCCACCTCACTGAAAGGGGTTAGAGGTTTAGCTAAATCAAGTTCAACACAGACTCTAGCAAATTTACCTCGATCTTGACTCATGGTATGAGCATCTACTTTTACAGTGGCACCAATAAGATTCCCAATCTTCTCCATAACATCAGAGCGAAAATACTCCACCTTCAAGCCATTAATCCGAACCCAAGCAGTCATATGAGTGATTTTTTCCTCTTTGGCATTAAACCTAGGCTTCCATTGTTGGGTCACCACATACTACCCAACAATTTTCCAAGTACCACCCGAGAGAACATACCGCATATCTTCCACTAACAGAAACTTAGCAATGAAATAATTATTCTCCAAATCGATTAGGCTCATCGGACCCTTAAGATCCCACTTCTGAAGAAGACGAGTCCTCAAGAAAACATAAGACATAGGCCGACCCATGAGCTTAAGAATTACAGCAGTGTGCCATGGCCGATACAGATAGCTCTTAACTTTTTTAGAAAATTGGATTGAAGGAATCTCCCTTTGCTTGATGAGAAAATCATCATCACCAATCACCAATTGATCCTCAGCCATGCCAAAATCCCCAGAAACCTTATCTTTGAAGCTCATCGAAATTGGAGGCAAAAGGGGAGGAGGGTCATCTGATCCAATCCACCAACATCCATCATCTCCTGAGTACGAGCTCTCTTCTCACCAGCAACTGGGCCTTTCTTGACAGTGCCACCCACACTGGCAGAGAAGACAAAACTCTAGCATCACAAACTCCACCTTGAGCGGTGGTAACGGTCACAAAGAGAAGCAGCAAGAAAAGCGTGAAAAAGGAATAGAAGGAGCCGAGCGCGTGAAGCGCATTCTATTTTCCTTCTCTGACATGATTGTCCTTTCAATTTGTTTAAAAAGAATTGTATTTTCCTTCCCATAAAATATTTCTACTTAATTTGAGTTTCTTTTATAATAAAAATTGTAATTTCTTGGTAATTGGTTTAAGGTCTTAGATCCTCTGCTTTGAATTTTTTGTGCTTTAATATGTTTGACTTTTAATTTGATGAGGATGCCACATCATAATCATCCAATCATTTTTTTTTTGTCAAAAATTATCCATTCATAATGTTAAAACACTAACATATCACCAATACTAGTAAAAAAAACAAAACAAAACAAAATGTTTGTTGTTTGTGCAAATAATCTCTCAGGAGAATATTCGCTTCTAGATCCTTTACCCTTTGATCTTCCTTCTCCCTCTTCCTTGATTCAAAATAAAAAAAAAAAAAAAAAAAAAAAAAAAAAGGGAGGAGAAAAAACACATCCGGGGGGTGTTGGCCAAAGGCCCTCCGATGCCTAAGTTAGTTTCGATTTGAATCTAGGTGAAACAATAGCTAAAAAGGGTATGGAGATTTCTCTAAGGTGGATGGCCGGAGCCGTGTGGAGAGACAAAAGTAGAGAGATGAGAGCAATATGGCTGGCAGCAATGGAGCTGTCGTCGGCTAGGAGAGAGAGGAGAGGGAGATCTCTGGTATTTTTGCAGGGTTTCAGAGCTAGGTTTAGAGTTACCTTGAATGATGAATGAAGCCATGCATTTATAGGAGCCTCAAAGGCTAGGGTAGAGAATAAAACTCTTATTAGGAAAGAGTTTATTCTTTCCCCAAATTGTAGAGATTGGGTCCATTAGGGATTTGATTGGGATCAAATCTTGTAATTTGATGATGATAATATCTCTTAATTAGGATAATATCTAAATTGGTGGTATTATCTTATTAAATAAAGATAATGTGCCATATTTAAGATATTATCCTTACTTTTAGTATTAATTAATTGGCCAAAGGGCTCAATTAATTAACCTAAGGGATATTCTTCTTATCCACATGGCCTCTTGTGATTGGAGACGAAAATATTTGTTCCCACAAAGGCCCCCCAGCTTCTACATGGCCCTTGTGTGGCATATAAGAGATGAAATTATTTTTCGGGCTCTCCACCTGTGTCTAGGCTCTCTTTAGTGAGTTGGACTTCTTTTGCAAATTGGGTTCCCAATTGGAGTGGGCTTCTGACTTTTCTTGGAGTTGGGTTCCCAATAGGAATGGGCTTGGGATTCCTTCTGGACCTAGGATGTCAAACCTGTATAAATACATGGCTTCTCTTCGCCCTTCTTCACATCGCAAACTTAACTTCTCTACTTTCTAGCCTGAGAGAGATCTTGGAGAATTTGAACTACTTGTCGAAGAGACGAATTGCCTTGCATCCCAAGGTAAGTCGAGCAAGTATGTTATTTTTTGTCCTTCGTCTTTTCTTTTTCTCAGTGAGAACCAACTGGGTGGGACCCCACTGGTTGCCGTCGTGACTAGCAGCTGGAGAAGGTTGGAGCGGCGGTGGCTGCTGAGCGAGTATCGAGAGGAAGTTGGTGGTCTACCCCTTGCCTAGGATGTTAAGACATGGATGCAAAAATGTCCAGACTTTGATCATCTGCCTATTGAATAGGAGGAGTGTTATGCCGAACCGCCCTTAAAGAGGAAGGTTGATGTCAAGTCTTCAAGAAATGGAGCTGCGACTTCGCGGGCGAAGGATGTGTCTCCATTGAGGAAGGAACCAAGGCTCCCTTCTGTTGTGAAGACACAAGTAGGAGCTGCTCCCCTTTCATTTGCTAAACATTCGGGACGTTCCATTCAAGCCTCCTGCTGACAAGCTTGGAAACCATGATCTGCTCCGTGAAGTGGTCTGCTTGAGAACTAGTTCACCTGCTGAAAGGCAAAGAGATGCTAGAATTCATCTCTAAAGTTTGAGTCGTGTACACCAGGCAAGGGATGGAGATTGAACTGGGAGGTCTGCTCATCAGCCCAACCATCGCGATCGAGCTGTTAAGTCATGAGCAGTCAAGCATGGAGTTGATTCATCCTCGTTAACTCCTTCAGAGGTGAGGATGGCGGCATCTAAGAAGGCAAGAGAGTCATCTTCCGAGGCGAAGGGTTCCTCTGCAATGCCAACGGTTGATCCCAAGGTGGACAAGTCTAGTCTTGCAGGGATGTAGGCGTGTCTGATCTACTAAAGATGAACTTCCTACCAAGCCTGTCTGCTTGTGTCAAAATGGTTGATCATATCCATCAAGCTAGCGATCTTGATACTTTTTCAAGTCTTTCCTTGGAAAAACAAAGGCAAGCGACAGTTCATTTGATAAAAAATGAGTAGTTTTTGCTGTTGAGAATATCCAAAACTCGTCTGTTGTTGCCTCTTATTCTGCTCAACTCAATGAGATAGAGACTTCTGCTAAAGTTAGGAAGGGGAAGTGGCAGTGGTTTTTCACACACATTGCCAAAGTGTCAGGGAGAGACTTCTAAGTCAATGTCTTTTCACTAGGTTAGACTACGTTGGCTTTTTCAATAGTTCTAAATCCATGTCTTCCATGACAAAAGGGTAAAAAAATAAATAAATAGAAGATGGGTATGAAGTAGGGAAACATGAAATCCTTTCGAGAAGATATACAGAAGCATGAAATCCTTTCCATATTCACATTCAGTACACGACTACAATAAGAACTCAGAACTTACAGCACCTTCTATGGTGTCTTGCCTTCAGCCAGCTAGTAGCATAAATTTACTTTAGACACCTAAACAAGCAGTATGACAAAGGCTGAGCCTATGACATGGTTAACTAGTTTTACCAATGTCGAATGTAGCAATTACCTCATTTTTAGGACTTGTGCCCACTTTTATAGATCTTGGGATGTGTGCATCTTGAGTGAAATTTCCATGTGGGATTGTGGATATTGTCTGTGGTGGCTCCACGTGTTCCAACGAGAAATGATAGATAAAATGGGTCTCTTGCATTGCGTTCGGCAATCAGGGGTGTCGAACGCTCTTCTTACCAATGGTATCTACAAGGCGTAGTTTAATTGACTCTCTCATCGATTCTCTCCATGGGCCCCTATTTTCCATGTGTGATCTTCTTATTGGTCGGTCATATATGGTGTAAACAGGAGTCCCCCAAGTTCCCATCTGAGAGAATCTTTTTAGTTGGGGACTTGCTCTAATCTTCGGTATCCTGACCAATTGAAAGCTTGCTAAGAGAAGTTACTTGGTGTAGGGCGCTATGATAACTTTGGTATTCTGGCCAGTGCTCCCTACGGGGTAGGACATATGAATGCTTTATCAACAATGTTGGTGTTTCTTACGTCATCGAATACCTGGCTATAGATGGGCCATAAAAGTATGTGTGACGTACGGTAGTGATGATGCTCCGAACGGTACTGCGTACCGAGCCTGCTTTCTAAGGTGATAGATATCTGGTGCCAAACGGTAGTGGTTAAAAAAACTCCCAAATGGTTATATTGACAGGACCCGCCCCAGATTTTTCCTCCGAACCTGTGACAAACCCTGCTTCCTATCCGACATCCGGAAGATGTCGGACCCACTTTACTAAAAAGCTCATTAGCCCCAATTTAAACTGATATACTATTTGACTTCTACCAAAATTTCGGCAGAGTCTCCCTTATAACTGGAATATTTCCCAATTTACAGTAACTGCAAACAAGTGCCATAATAAACCCAACTTACAGCATGTACAAAGTAAAGGCACACACAATAGTTAATACTATTCAAATGGGCTTTATGCCCTCTACCCAAACTCAAACGAGCAAACAAAGCAACTAAAGATTAAGTTTACAACCTGGGGAAAAATAAAATGTACAGAGTGATAATAGCACTTCTATAGAGCAGATATCGATGATGCCTTGAAGTGGTGGTCTCGACCTTAGCTATCTAGAACCTGGGGGGAAGTAAAACAGAAAATGTGAGTGGACGAAAACTAGCGTTATACACCATTTATATTCAACATAAATAACCCTTCTGTTTTAAAAAAATAATGTAAACTTGTTAATTTAATCCTTATTGTAAAATCGTAAATTCAACAGTACCAAAGTAAACTGATTAATATGAAATATAATCCTCAAAACTCAAAATCCTTTTTCCCGCAACCATTGTAAAAATACAATAAGCCAAGTAATTTCCAAATATCTCATCTCAATTCTGAAATTCATTTCAAATGTTCATCCCTGTGTAGATTACTCTCAATGCACATGCCCAAGAAACCTCAACCTAAAAATAAATCCATATATACCAATATATACATATAGACACGTACACACATTCACCACAACAAGATATGTACTAGGGAAAACGATCTAACTCGGGGATTGTTTGTTCTCAACCACATGTCAAGATCCTGCATCATACATGTGGCTAGGGATGAGTAGCCCAACCAGGGAACTATTGCCCCCTAGCAAGCACGACAGGACCTACATCGCACATACGGCTGAATCCAATCATAAACGTAGACTAACATCCTGACACACCTCCCAAAAAGTATATGTGTGCATTGATGGGTCCCAAAGACCAACTTTAATTCTTTTCCATAATTCCATCATCCTTTCCATAACGAACCAAGGGAAGGTACAACAAATGTTGTGTAACCACATAAATCCCATATCCCAAAATATATTAAATTTCATAAACATAACCAAAATCCCAAATCCAACATCACCATAGTCCAAAACCCAAATCCATATACTTTAATAATAATAATAATAAATAAATAATAACCCTTGGAAATCCCATAATCTCATTAACCCCAAATAAACCAATTTCCAATCAAATCACATTTCAAACCCGACCAAAACACAGTTGTGCATACACTTGCCAATATAAAAATAATATTCATTTGAAAACAAAGTCAACTCACAACAAGTCCAATGTTGCTCAACTCTTAGAGGGCTCTTGCTCTGGAGTATGTGAAGTGTGGTACCTATTCAAGAAATTAAACAGACTTAATTATTAAACATACCCAACAACGAACTTTAACTCAAAACTCTAGTTCTCGGGTCTCAAAGTGTGCCCAAGCCTTAAGAAGATTTATAAAGTCATTCTAGCACTTCCCGAAAAATGAGACAGTCCCGGAAGACTCATGGTCAACCAAATCGTCAAACTTTCCATATTGGTCAATAGGGCCAGCGGGGCCCACGACCTCCAATTTCGATTCGAAAGTTCCTACATGATCCTAGAGGTACATGCAATAACATACTTGAAATTGGAACTGATCGAAGGATTTGAACCTATCGAACCCAAATATCGCACAATAGGCGTGATATTCGTTCGATAGTCAAATAGTAATCAAATTCAAATCCAAGCATACCGTTGTGCTCAGGACGACGTGGGGATCATTTTAGGTCTAAAAGCAATCACCGAAACAAGGCACATGCATCACCACCTGCCACCACCGATTGGGTGCCTTGAGAAAATTTCAGCAAGGGAAAATCTCAACCAAAACGAACAAAACCTATACCAACCCATTCAGACTAACATAGGGAACAAGTTTTGTTCTTAGACCACAGCCAAAAACTAGTCAGAGACTAGCCGAATCGAAGCCAAAACCGTAGGCTAAAATGGATATATTTAATGGAAATAGCATCGGAAACTTAGAAAATCACCCGAACTTCCAGTCGTTCCAGCTTAATTTCCTTGGGTTTTTGAGTTGGGAAAATGGGTGGGTTAGATAGAGGACATCGATACAAAACTTTTGCAACCAATTTCGTTTGAATCAAACATCGGACGACGATGAAATCGCAGCCGGAAATTTGCTGCCGCACACATACAGAGATAAAGTTGGTCGGGGTGTTACGTAGGTGGGTAGCATGACCCTTAGTCTTCTGCGCGCATCGTGCGCATTGAGAAACGAAATTGTGATGACAACATGATGCCTAGTCTTCCGTCTGTGGCGTGTCGGTAGCACGCGTGATGAATGAAGTAATGATGGCCTCGGTTGGGGTTATCGAGGCAACCAGTTGGGCCTTCAGTATAAAAGGAGGTGGTTCGAATTTTGGGATCACTTGTGTTTTGAGAGCCATTTGCGAATTTGTGAAGAGGTGATTTTCGACGAGCACTCCTCAGTGATAAAGAAATTTCTGGCGACTGAGCATATGGCGGAGCGATTTTCGGTGACTGAATCCATCACGAAAAACAAGGTATGTTGCTCTTTTGCTTCCTTTTTTCTATTAATTGTACATTTTTTTGGCCTGAACTAGGAGAAAAACTTTCGTGGCACAGTGGTGTTAGGTCAGCATTACAGCTCAGTATCCCTAGCCAATGAAATGCTGCCAGTTGTGAATCATTTTTATTTCCTTTCCCTCTCCCCTTCCACTCGCCCTATTGCACAATCCTCCTCCTTTGTTGTTTTTTTTCCCTTTGTTCTCTTATGAACTTTCAACCTCCTCCCCCTTTAAATTCTCTCTCTCCTCCGTCCAAACTAAGCTCTTCTCCCTTCTCAACAATACCTCTACCACTCTCCTCTTTTGTTATGGAATACAAATTTGGGTTGTAAAATCCAAAGCTTTTGTAACCCAAAAACACAAAACCCCAAGCTTAAAAGTAAAATACAAAATATTATCTGTCAAACTGTTACTCCTGCGTTTTGATTGTGTTGGCCATCCATGTTTTTGGGGCTTTTGTTTGTAATTTCTTCTTTTCATATGAAAAAATAGTATCCCTTCCCCCAAAATCATAGTTCTCTCCTCATATTTCTTATGTCTGTATTCTTTTTGTGGCTTTCTTCCCCATTCTCAATTAGTTGAGAGTTCACTTACCATTGAAATTTTACAGTTTATTAGCCTTGTGAGTTGGAAGTAGGGGTGTTTTCGGTGCGGTAACCGCACCGAAACAGAGAAACCGCTGACCGGGCCGACTACCTGCGGTTTAGCCAAAATCTAAACCAACGCCGCACCGCACAAAGACGGTTACCGGAGGTGCCGGTTACCGTGGGTAGCTGCGGTATCGGTCGGTTACCAAACCTGGAATAACAAACCTGCAAAAAAAATAAGGGGGAGAGAGAGAGAGAGAGAGAGAGAGAGAGAGAGAGAGAGAGAGAGAGAGAGAAATAACTTTGATTCATCACAAACACAGAGAGTGATGGAGAGAGAAATTAAAAAATAAAACTAGACTTAGTTATTAACCTAAGAACCAGAGAGGAAATAGAGAAAAGGGAGGGGAGAGAGAGAGAGAGAGGAAGAAGAAGATAGGGAAGAAGGCTCGTGGTTTTTTGTTTCCTTGGGCAATGAAAGCTGACAGGAAGGGATTTATTAACATCCATTTAAAATATTAAAAAATCTCTTGAACATCAAAAGTTGTTAATATTTAGAATTTAAAATTAATTACATCAACCCATTTCCCCATTTCCCCACTAGAATATTAAAATATTGTATAGAATATCAAGAGAGGGAGAAGAAAACGTAACGGCAGAGAGAAACATTTCTCTCCTTTTTCTTTTTTCCTTCTTCTGCTTTTCTTTCCTTCTGTCTTTTCTCTCTGTTTCTCTTTTTTTTTGTTCTGCGTTTCTCTCTTTCCTTTCTTTTTTTTATTATTCTTCCTCTTTCGTTCCTTCTCTCTTCTCTTTTTGTTTCTCTTCTTCTCCTTTTTTTGGCCTGGCTTAGTGGGGTTTTTGGCCTCTCTGTTTCTCATATTCAAGGGGAAGACGAGGAGAAGAGGAAATTCATAGATGACTAGGGTTCTAATTTGAAGAGAATGAAATGAAATGAGGGAGAGTCGATCTCAACCTCTAGTTTCTTCAGCATGTGTATTAATATATATATATATATATATCGGTCGGATGTGGTTGTCGACGGCTTTGGTATCCTGCAACCGCACCCGCATCCGCAGCATTTCGGCTTGGTCGTCCAACCGCAACAGGTCATTGACCGGAAAAGTCAACGGTTTACCGACCAGAAATATCAGTCGAAAACCGCCAGTTTCCGGTATTAGCGGTCCAACCGCACAGCACTAGTTGGAAGAGTGACTTAAGAATTGAGATTAAAAATGGAGGGGAATGTTGAGGTTTTAGACAAAAAAAAAAACGAGGGTTGCAGGCTAGGTAGAATGCAAGGTAAGATGTAAATAGAAGTAAAAAACCAGAAAAATAAAAAAATAAATAAAAAAGAAGGAGGAGGAGGAGGGTTGCAGGCCAGAAGGAACCGGAAGGTAAGGGAAAGGAGAAAAAATCAAGGAGGATTTCGGGCCAGGGAGAGCGGTAAGGGAAGAAGGAAAGGAAATAAAATAATTCACAGCTGGCAGCATTCATTGGCTAGGGATACTGAGCTGTAATGCTGACTTGACACCACCGTGCCAGGAAAGTTTTTCTCCTGAACTAGACTATGAGCACATATGTGATCATGATGAACGTTCGATAGTCTAGTTATCGTAGCTAGCAATAGCCATAGGACTCCTTAGTTTGATCTTTGCATGGCATTTAGTTTCCCTTTTATTTCCATTTGCAGATGTCCGATAGCGAGTCACATTTTGAGAGTGAACCTAACGCGTTGGATGGAGAATCATTGGACAACCGGTGGGAAATCGATAGTGAGGCACTTGACCTTGACAGTGCCAAAAGTGAGGATGCCGAATTTGAGGTCATCGAAGAGAGGACCAAGGCTGCACCTTCCATCATGGGGGTAATGTAAGCCCAACGAAGGGGGCGATGCCGTTGGCTACGATTCCGTGCAGTATTGATTGTGACTGCATAAGCCAATACTGCAAATTCCTAATAAGGGATACGCGAGTGCTAGATCGGCATGTGAGTTATCATTTGGAGGCCTCCATATCAGGTTGTGGGGAAGCTGCTGCCGATTCTTCCTGGAGGCCCCTAGTCACCCTAATGCAACAAAGGAACCCTAGAGTGCCAATGAGGCCGCCTAAGGAGCTTCTATTCGGCGTTGATTATTTGGACCCGAATAAGATTACCGAGGTAGAACTAGCCAAGTACCGTGTCGAATTCCTGGGCCTACCGAGTCTTTGAGTAACCCCAAGGACGGTGAAGTAGCCTTCTTCACGAACATCCTCAAGCTTGGGCTTCGGTTGCCATTGCAACCCCCTGGGTTGAGCTTCTGGGAGCTATTATAGCATTCGGCCTTGCCGAAGAAGGGGAGCCGTCTTATGAACAGTTCTCATACCTCTATAGTGCAACTCGATCCAAGTGCACGAGACATGGAGGCTGGATTCAAGCCAAATGCCTCCAGGCCTCTGTCCGAGGGCATTTTGTGAGGAGTGTACCGACTTCTCAGAAGTTGTGGAGGAATCGGCGAGTGCTTATGTCCAGTGATTGGGAATCCCCCATGACAAGCCCGTTCAGTTTCATGTCCCCACCAAGAAGAACATCAAGAAGGTCGAGCGGGCGAGGACAAAAGTACTAGCTGCAGTTCGGGTTTATCCCAATCTTCTCCTTACTCCCAACTTGGTGAAGGCCAAGCTTGTTGGTGAAGAAGAAAGTAAGTTTTCGTCATTACCGTTAGGTAGTTAACTTGTTTTGTATGGGCTGCTTTACCAAATGGTGTTTTATTTTGCAGTGACAAAGGCCAAGGTCATGTCAGGGTTGTCCAACAGACAGCTTATTCTGGGTAACAAGGCTCGATAGGTGGAGCGCTAGCCGAAGGGCAGTGGCTCGGCCCGGAAGAAAAAGGCGGCGAAGCCGTCAGAATCTGAGATGGAGAACCAGACTCTGGGTGAAAGCCTCAAATAGTTAGACAGCCAAAATCGGAAGGCCGAGGAGCTGGCTATCACTCGGGAGGCCTATCAGCAAGTCACCGGTAAGCGGCCTACCATTATTGACATAGATACGGCTCCGCTACAGAAGAAACCTCGAGTGTCGGACCACTTGAAGGCCATATTCGTTGCTGAGGACAATGACGATCAGCCTGCTGATCCAGTCAACATTGTCTGCCCTTTGAAATCGGTTCAGTTTGCCAACCATATGATCGTTGGTTCGCAAATGGACTTGGCTAAGATTGAGGAGCTGCCGAAGAGGTCCCTTCGGGTGGAGGCTGGCCTGCCTTCCATCTCCAAGCCTCAGTGAGTCTCTTCTTGCCGTTTTGCTATTCTTCGGATGTATATATATATGTTATTTTGGTAGGCATCTATGGACATGTGGCTCTGTATGAAGCAAGCCATAATGGCTACCTAGCGAGCTAAGAAGATGTACGCGGACTGCTACTCCAAAGTGTCCGAGGTTGGGAAGGCGCTCCAGGATCACGCCAATCTTGTCAAAAATAAAGAGGTCGCCCAACGGCAAGTGAAGGCAACCGATGATAAACTTGCAGAGATGAGGACGAATCTAGAAGCGGCAATGTAGGCAACTAGGGAGGTTGAGGTAGCGAAGCAGGCTGTCTAGGTGGTGCTATAGGAGAATGAACGGTCTAGGGGTGCAGAAGTCGAGGCCGTAGTGAAGGAAGCGATCAACTAGTACCGATCCTGCTTGACAAAAAGGTGGGCTTAGAAATGGTGGATTTGATATACCATTTCAAGATCTTCAACCTGGGAGAAAGCTCAGCCTCAACTTCGTTGCTAATTTTCCTCCTTCGTTGCTTCATTTATAATTTGGTTATTACCGAGGGTTAATAACGAATTATAAATGAAGTAACATGCCTAACGGTAGTTGAGGCTTTTATTAGTATAAATACCAAAGGTATTCGCATTTGGTCATTACCAAGGGTTAATAGAATTATAAACGAAGTAACATGCCTAACTATAGTTGAGGCTTTTACTAGTATAAATACTAAAAGTATTTGCATTTGGTTATTACCGAGGGTTAATAATGAATTATAAACGAAGTAACATGCCTAACGGTAGTTGGGGCTTTTATTAGTATAAATACCGAAGGTATTTGCATTTGGTTATTACCAAGGGTTAATAACGAATTATAAATGAAGCAATATGTATAACGGTAGTTGAGGCTATTAGTGGTATAAATACCAAAGGTATTTGATATGCCGAACGGTAGGACTACATGGATGACTTTGGTACCGATGATACACTACACATTTTAAGCGGACATGGAAAACTTAACTTGCCGTTGGCTAAGGTACTTCTATTTGTAATAGTATTTTGAGATGTTTGACATTCCATGGGTGACCGAGGGTCTTCGCCATTCATGTCCCGCAATCGGTATGTCCCAGATCGGCGTATGCCTACTATTTCATATGGACCTTCCCAAGAAGGGCCGAGGTTTCCTATTGTTGGGTTTTTGGTCGCAAGTGATATCTTGCGCATGACCCAGTCGCCGATCTAGAAAGAGCGAGGCTTCACTATTGAATCATAATATCGGGAAATGATTTGTTTGTATGCTTCGTTCTTCAGGTTTGCTTGCATTCGGCGCTTCTTGACCAAGTCCAAGGTCAAAGAAAGTTGGGCTTCATTGCCTTTGGGTGAAAAGTTTGCTGTTTGGTAGGAGGCTTCACCGATTTCGGCTGGCACAACTTTGAAGAACAATAGTTTCAGTGGAACTATGCATTTATGTCAACTCTAGTTAATCCTAAGCTGATTCAATTTCTTTTTCTTCTACCTTCGCTTTATGCCCGTCTGATTCCCTTATTTACTTTAAATAGAGTAATTTTTCAAATAATCAGCTCTCAGGCAGAATTTCACCTCAACTATTCAGCTCACATATGGTTCTGATACATTTGTAAGTTTTATTAAACCATCTATGTGCTACAAGGTAAAGCTAGAGGATATGGAGAAAACACGTGCAATTTGGTTTACCTACATGACAAAGTAGAATAAGAAAGGGTTATCTACTGTAGACGTCCCTGAACTTGGCCCCCAATTTTAATTGGGTCCGTGAACTTTTTTTTAGGCAATTACATCCGTTGACTCGATAAATAGTTCCAATTGGGTCCTACCGTCCAAGTCTGTCAATTTGTCTATCAAAATGAGGAGTAAAAGCGTCACTTTGAGCTGCAGAGGTAATTGTTCTAAGGGTTTTTAAATGTAGACGTCCCTGAACTTTGCTCCCAATTGCAATTGGGTCCGTGAACTTTTTTTTTTAGGCAATTACATCCTTTAACTCGACAAGTAATTCCAATTGTGTCCTGCCGTAATAGAATCTGTCCCTCTCTCTCTCAGCTGTCACTCTCTGTCTCTCCCTCTCCCTCTCTCCTATAGCTCATTCCCCCTCCACCTTATCCCACACCCTCAAAACCCATATCCCAACCCCCACCTCCCAACCTGCAGAATCCAGAACCCACCCGCAACCCCATCCCCTTAAGCTCTCCTTTGTTACGGCGGCGCCCTTGGAGCCAAAATGAAAGCCACCACAACAGCCAGCTACGCCACGACATTGGTCGACGTGGCAAATCCAACAACACCTTTGAAACCACCTCCGCCGGCGTGGAGAAGATCGAGAAATTCTTCGCGAGCCGTCGCTCTTCGACTTTTGCCTCTAACCCGTCTTTCGTGGTTTCTAAGTTTTTAGTCTTTTTACTCTGTTACGGCAGGACTCAACTGGAACTACTTGTCAAGTTAAAGGATGTAATTGCCTCAAAAAGAAGTTCACGGACCCAATTGCAACTGGGAGCAAAGTTCAGGGACATCTACAATTAAAAACCCTTAAAACAATTACCTTTGCAACTCAAAAGGAGGCTTTTACCCCTCATTTTGACAGACAAATTGACAGACTTGGATGGTAGGACCCAATTGGAACTATTTATCGAGTTAACGGATGTAATTTCCTCAAAAAAAGTTCACATACCCAATTGCAACTGAGGGCCAAGTTCAGGGACGTCTACAGTAGATAACCCAATAAGAAATGTATGAGTTGTTGTGTGTCAAAAATGAATGTCTAATAGTCTCTCCCAAGGTCTTAAATATCAAGGGTTTCGGAAATATCGGTTGTTCAAAAACACAGAAATATATATGGAAATATCAGGAAAATATTGATATCGATAAAAATTGGATAAAAACCACATAAATTGTTATAAATACGTGGAAATTTTTAATGAAACTTTAGAAGAAGTTTATTTAGCCAATCATCTATTATTTTGACACAAAAAATTGGAAGGAAATGCATTGCCTAGTGAGTTTGAGTGATTTAAGTTGATTATATTGCGATCTGACAAACTCAGTGACTTAGAAAATCTGGAGTAATTAATGAAAGAGAATTAAACTCCTCCTAGTAATTTATTTATCATTTTTTAGTACAATATTTTACGCTATATAAATTGTATGGTAAGATACATGAGTAACCTTATTTCACAGGACATGGTACACGTTCTTATATTTATTATTTATAAAAATTAAAAATAATTAAAGATGTAAACCAACTTAATTTGTCATGAAAATTAGGCACTTTACCATGCTTAAAAAATAGTAGTGAAGATTGAAAATTAACTAAGAACATAAATAAATTTATCCAAAGAAGAATTAAATAGGAAATAAAGAAATGATTATAGAAATTTAAGTAATTAAGCAACAATTTGAAGGGGAATTTAGTATTGTAAGTACTTATAATGAATAATAAAATAATCAATAACATTAAATGATTAAATAGGAAAGAAATAAATTATATTAAGTAATTAAGTAACTGCTCAACAATATAAAACTATAAGTAATTATGTTAATTTCTATTTTGAGAAACAGCTCACATCAGTTATAAATACGAGATTCCATAAGTACTAATCACCAAGTGATGACTAGTGTGGTGGTTAAGAGGCTACAGAACTTGGAAGGGGAGGGGTTCAAACCCCTGTGATTATCGCCTTGGCAGTACTTTTGTCTGTGCAGGATTTTTGACAGAAATAATCTAACTGGCGGCATTCGTTCCACACTCGGACTTGTGCAGACTCTGCAGGCGATGTGACCATCTATTTCAAATCCTCAAGTAGATTTATTCCAAGGTTATTTCTGGTTTTTGGCCTGTGTATAGTTAGTTGTGCTGAATATCTTCTTCTTGTACAGACGCCTTGATACGAATTCTTTAAGTAGGTCTTTTCCTTCAAGCCTCTACAATCTCTCTAAAATTGCTGTACTGTAAGCATACAGCAAACCAAGTAAATGATTTACAAATATAATGTATATATGTTTTTGGTAGCTTACAAATATGTCTTGGCTAACAGTTTCCAGACCGCATTTACGAAACGATGCATGAAACAACATATCAGAGACTCATCAATTGGAAGTCTTACGATCCACTACTGACTGCTATTTGCATTATACAAACTTTGTTCATCCAATACTAAGAAACAAAAAGGTAAAATTCATTTTAAGTAATCCCACGTGCAAGGAACTTGAGCTAGTCTATGCACGGCACCTTGCCATTCGGGCAAACTCCTACCAAACAAGAACGACCCCAAAGCTTCAAGTGCTGAAGGGACGCCCTTAGCATGATCTAAAACAAGGTTGCATAGTCCTGCATAATCCTCTGGGGGACGGCCTTGCTTAAAGGCTTTCCAGCAAAAGAGCAGAAGAGCATCATCATGATTCAACTTCGCTGCTCTGTATATTCTGTCCACTCTATATCTGCTCAGCAAGTTTTCGTCCCTGGTTGTTATTATGATTCTACTTCCCGCACCAAACCAATCACGGTTTCCACCTAAGTTTTCTAGTTGTTCTAATCGATCCACGCCATCGAGAACAAGAAGAATCTTTTTACGGCATAGGCTGTTTCTGATTGTATTGACGCCTCTATGAACATTCCTTATCTTCATATTCCTTGCCATGAGGATTTCTGAAATAAGTTGTTCCTGTAATGGAACTAGGCCTTGTTTTTCAGAAACTTCTGTTATGTTGGCAAGAAAGCTGCTACCATCAAATTTGACAGACAGACTGTCAAAAACAGCTTGAGCAATAGTTGTCTTGCCTATTCCTTTCTCCCCACAGATTCCTGTAATGCGAACATCATCCACCCCCTTATCTAAGTACATATTCATTTCCTTGACGAGGGAATCTATTCCAACTAAATCCTTGGGCACACTTGAAACCTCTTGGCTCAATTGATTGAATATCTTTTCAGCAATCTCTTGGATAACTTTTGCCTCAGACCTGAAAAAAAGGAGAACAAGGAGTTCGTGTGAGGAGTAAAAAATGAGCCATAACTTGTCAAAGAAACAGTATGCAATATGCAGTATTCTTTAGTTCTGTTCACTGAGACTGAAAATTTGAAGGGAAGAAGGGAGCTGCAATTTCAAATATAATGTATGCCCTTTGATTTGTAGAGAGCAGCTTTGTAATTTTTCAAGGAAAGTATATAGAGCAAACAAAGCTGGATTCAAATTGGACTTGGGAGGCAATAATGGCTTCAGTTTCTACCCAAGACCTTCTGGTCTTGTCAATTCATATGGTTTTAATAACAAGAGACAAAACAAGAATGGGCATATTGATGATGTCAAAAAGATGGAAGTCTCATTGCTTCATTCATCATAACCATAGTATCAGTTGGGAATTGTAAGGGGCTATTTGGTATTCTATTTTAATCCAAATTTTTAAACTGAAAACAGAATTTGAGTCCAAAACCCAAAAACTCTGTTTGAATAAATTTCTCAAAAGCCATCTGAAACCATCCCATTGATTGATTCAATGTAGCCATGGTATCCGTTGGGAATAGTATGTTCACAACAGCCTTCTGAAAACCATGTATACCGCTTTCACCAGAGCTTCACAAGATACTGTCTTTTTTTAATAACAATTTTGCATGTTTTCTCTCTTAAAATATGACATGTTGGCTCTTCTAATTACATGACATCACATGAACACAACTAACTTCAAACCACCAAATGCTGTTTCAGATATTCAGTCTAATAACACAGGAAGAAGTTATGTCTGCATATGACAGAGGAAAATTTGATTTGATCCTTGAAGGACTCATATCGACAATTCAAAAGAAATCTCTGTTCCAGATGTACAAAGTTTGATAAGTTGATATACTAAAAGACAAATAAAATAATAATTAAATTAATAGTTGCAACTGACAACTTACTTGTTCTTCAAATCCCATCCAGAGAGATTAGCTGTCGCTTCCAGTGCAGCCCTCCAGCTCTCCACCTTGTCCATGAAATATTGCTTATGTTCGCAAAAGGCTTTCTCAAAACAACCCCTCTGTTTGCGCACATCAGATGGATCCACGTCATAGAAAACTGGGAAAACGGTCTGACCCTTTGATTTCATGCACTCAAGGATCCCCACAAGCTCATCCAAGCACCGATTTGAACAAGCATAGCTTCTTGAGAAGACAACGATCGAAAACCTCGATTCTCTGATCGATTTCTGAATTTCTGTGGAAATGGGTTTTCCTCTCTCAAGTGCGTCGTGTCTGAAGGTGACAATTCCCTTTTGATCCAGAGCAGTGTATAGATGATCAGTGAAGTTATTGCCAGTGTCTTCAGTTCTGAAACTAACGAACACATCGAACATCCATCCAGTTTGAGCTTCTCCCATGTCTTTGAATGAAGGCTGCTTAATTGCTTGAGGAAGATGATGAACGAGAATTGGGCTTATATATATATATTGACTTGACTCTTTGTTTGCGTCGGTTGGAAACTACAAGGAATTCTCGAGGAAAAAGAACAAAGCGTAACCCGCCTAACATCAAATTTAAATTTGATGGCTGGTGTGGCAATTTGACATTTTACTTACACAGCTTTACACTCCACCCGATATGCTAAATTAAATTATTATTTTATTACATTTTAGTATTGATTTATTTTTAATTAAAAATAATAGAAAAGAAAAAATAATAAAATATTCATTTGACATCTTGCTTTTGAGATGTCAAAAATAACATCTCAACCTCCAGCCTTCATTCCACATCAGCTTTGACATATCGGTTGGAGTGATGTGAGATATTATTTCTAACTGTTAAATATCTATGTGACACGTTTAACACATCGGTTGGAGATGCTCTAAGGCCCTTTTTCAATAACTTTCGGCCAAATTTAGGAAGGGGAAGGGGAAGAGGGTTTTCACAAACATTGCCAAAGTGTCAGGGGAAGACTTCTAAGTCAATATCATTTTTCACTAGGTTAGACGGTTGACTTTTTAAATAGTTATAAATCCATGTCTTCCATGAGAAAAGAGTAAAAAATAAATAAACGGAAGATGGGTAAGTAGTGGAACATGAAATCCTTTTGAGAAGATATACAGAAACATGAAATCCTTTCCACATTCACATTCAGTACACGACTACAGTCAGAACTCAGAACTTACAGCACCTTCTATGGTGTCTTACCTTCAGCTAGCTAGTAGCAGAAATTTACTTTGGACGCCTAAACAAGCAGTATGACAAAAGCTGCGCCTATGACATGGTTAACTAGTTTTACCAAAATTCCCAGAATGCTGACTGGTGCATAAAATTAACTAAGTCACTCCTACCCGTTCTATACAGCCACTACATGTTACTTCAAGGAGGCAGTTCAAATTAGTGTCATCTACCTTAGAAGTTACACCAAATACAACCTAAGCCAACTGCAGACGGCACTACCACTTGAGAAAACCTACTCGATCCGTGCTACCCACAACATTCTCATCGGTAGAATCTGATGCACTTCCCACGGTTTCGTCTGAACTCTCGCTTGGAAGGAGTTGTATACGGTCAGCATGCTCGATGATCCAATCAGTGACTTCAGGAGATGATGCCCATTCTGCTATAGCTTGGCGGGTTGATTCCTGTGTGAAATCATCCCACTCTTTCTTTGTGAACTTCTTTCGGCTTTGCATCTTGTGGAAGGTTGAATAGTACTCCTGTTGATCACGTGCCCTAAAGGATGGTGACGTGACACCTGCAAGAAACAGACACAAATAGCATCACTGAATGTGTCAAATAGCCGTCCCAGAACCATGCCCAACATGTAATACTTTGATAAAGTGATCAATGAAACAACAACAAAAAAAAGTAAAGGAACTGAATTTCGCGAGGGGATCTTACTTTCCTTCACACCAAAGGCAAAAGTAAAAAGGAAAGTAATTTGAGGGGCATGAAAACCAGAACAGAAGTGAGGAAAATCTTGAAGAATATTTCTCACTTTAAAAATCATAGAGGGGGAAGAGAGTTTCCGCAATGAAAAAATAACATATTGGTCATGATACACTTCAGCGTGTATAAAAACATACATTTTTTGGGATTCCTTTTGCATGATAGTTAAAGCTGAAAAGGAAATGGATATTCTGCATTTGAAGACTTGGTTTTTTTTTCTCTAAATAACCAGAACATAACCCAAACTCTTTGTTAAAGTATATAAGAAAGCAATCCATGTACTACTGAGCAGCTGGAACAAAGAATGAATCAAAACATGCAGAAACATAACAGATAAAATAAAACAAAAAATACCTTTGACAGGAGAGTCAGACCAAGCAGATAGAGTTGTTGGACTCTTCCAGTTCTTCTTTTGTGGGCTAGACCTGCTAAGAAATTCTGGACGACCGTGTCTGCCCTTGACCTGTCTACCCTGCTGCAGCCAAGGACTCCAGCTCCCAGCACCCAACTGATGCCTGCATATAATCATAGTAATATATTTTAATGTGAAAAACGGTACAACAAAAATGACCAGCTGCAAATAGTTCTGGGATACAAAATGTTATGTCATCAAATGCTAAGAACACAATGACCATATTCTCATGAATATTCAAAGATTCTCCTTATCAATGGTTATGACTGCATCCATTCATCTAACTGCACTTTCTTAGACTAATAATTTTTACCTTCGAAATACAAAATCAAGGCAGAAGCTAAACTCGTTTGAAGAAAAATATACTGTTATTGACAATTGCAATTAATTGAATGATGAGACAGTACAGTAATGAAATAAAACCATCTCTACTAAGATTTCTTCAATACTACGATGCATTCACTTCTTGAATAACAAGAAAGTATGTAGGGAAAGAATGTAAATCTTGCCGTTTCAGAGAAGTGATGAGCTTGCAGATAATCCAGCAAGAAACCAAAGCCCCCACTGCTAAAGGAGTATCGAGAGTGCTCTGAGAAATAATGGAAAATGGAAAAAGCACACATATTAAGAACAAATGAGAACAGCAAAGAGCAATAACATGAAATATTGGCAATTACTACAATTTATAAAACTAAATTTAACAGCAGACTACTCCAGAATTAACCAATTCAATCATAAGTGCAGTAGGTCAACAAGAAAAATGTAAATGAAAAAAGTTTCAAGTGACATTGTCCTAATAGTACCAGGCAATGAAGAGGTAAATTGTGTTTTTTTGGTTGAAAATTGATCCTCAAAAGGACAAGAAATAATGGTACAGGAAACACAAATCTATGTTTACTAAACTTGGCTATACAAAGTGAGATGTTGTATCTGTCTATTGAGTATTCAGTGTACATTCATTTACTAACTAAATCTTAGGACATAAAGACATGGCCTTATAATCCAATAATTCTAAGTAGTCTCCATTTTCACATTTCAGATAAAAAAATTGCTGACTTTGTTTGCACTGAACGTTCATTCAAAAATCCTTTTAGCTAGGTAAGATTCATTTGTTACACATGCAGTGATTTGGATGTTTGATTATAAGATTGTTCACCATGCTGTGTCTTCAAATGGTAGTTCTCTTCTAAGGTTCCATGTAACAATACGGTTACAAATTGCTATCCCACATTAAGTTTAATTAAGCAGGGAAATGTTCGTACTTGAATATCGAATATACAGCCAAAAGGAAAGTGAGAAAACACCTGCAAGATGGAGGTGGTTCCAATTATGCGCATCGCCCACTTAACAAATTGGGCTATACCAACATCTACTGTTCCATCTTTTGAGACGACAAACCTCCTCACAATCCAGTACCCTAATGCAGCTCCCATAAGGATAATTCCCACTAGTAAAAATACTGAGACCTGCCAGCAAAACATGACTAGGTAATTAGGCAAGACAGTAATATCACGGTGTAAACCAAGGAAAAATGTCAGAAGCAGATAATTAGTCTAAACTTTGTCTTCCCACCATTTATCTTCACGCAAGTAAATGTAAAGGCCTTATATTATAAGGATTACAAAATTAGTTTGATTATCTCTCTTGCTAGTTGTTAATTTGCATACATGCGTGCACAAGACAACCTTACAGTGTTTACCAATGCAGGGTTTCTTGCCACTAATACTAAACACCACATCAAACAAAACAGAAAACAATAGAAGTTCAGGTAAACTAGTGAAGAACGACTTATTGGATCCAAAATTGCAATTATAGTCTACAGATGACGTACTAATGTTAAGTGGTTTTTGCATAATTGTGATCCCAGCAACTATAGGTAACCAGTTGCATAGGAAACCAGCCCTTTGAAATAATTTTATCAAATACTTTTTACTTTTTTGTAAAAAAATATTAGACAATGTTATAATAAAGAAAAATCCATAACGACAGTATTTAAATCTGGATGAATAGCTAAAATACATTTCAGAAATATTCAAATTAGAGGTTTTTTTTTTTTTTTTTTTTTTTTTTTTTGAACTCAAAAGTGAGCTCATTCATATTACAAATAAGATTTGAATTTCCTCTTGGTGAAGGCATAAGACTGAATTTAGTTCTAACTTACATCACATAAGTAAATGAGAACAACAAACACTACTCATAAGTTTAGGGCTCTACATGCACCATCCAACTTAACCAAATTGTTATTCTGATGTGTTTGTAGTTACCAATGTATTTTCCTTCATCATCTCTCATCAACCACTCTCATTTTTTTATGTATCTCTCCGCCCTCTCTTTAAATAAGAAGAAATAGAGACAAAAATGTTATGAAACGGGAAATAAGGTAGTCCACATAGTAAAATCCCATTAAAAAATAATTAATATGAAAATAGGCATATCATGAAAATGTTTATGCGAAACCTTTTTTTCTTCCTCATGTCTGAATTCAGCATGTTATAATTACGAGATTAATATAAGCAATTTGGTCCACATGGAGTACCTTCATAATTAAGGATTACACGGTTGCATTTTTTCCTTTTATCAATAATCAAGGATTTCAGTATACACTAGAGGGGGCGGGTGTGTGTGGTGTGTGTGTGTGTGTGTGTGTGTGAGAGAGAGAGAGAGAGAGAGAGAGAGAGAGAGAGTGAACGTATGAAAAAGGCACAAAAGACTGTTTCCTTGATATCTCTTAATATAATGCCAAACTGCAGATATATTGTCATGCTCATCAGAATTTATCCCAATAATGCAAAATAAATCCGCTGGTCCATATTTTCATGACATTTTGAAAATATGGTTAATATACCTAATATTAGAATTGGAATCACAAGTTAGGATAAGATTAAGGGAACAAATACTTACTGGGTTGTGCATCTCTTCACTTAGCCCAAAATTTAGAAGAATTGAATTTACCAGCATAGAAAATTGATGAAAAAGAAAAGATCCTGCTCCAAGCTGTGAAAGGCATATAAATTCTGAGATTTACTTGCACTATATATTATACGAAGTTAATGAGTTACTCTGAAGCAAGTGAAGATTCGAGATACCAAGCCTTACCAGTGATCCATAGATAGTAAGATAGAAGACATTTTTTCTTCCAGTTGGCAACAACTTCATTCCCTAAAAGATTAAAGAAAAAGGGTTATGAAAAACATTGCCTACAAATTTGCAAGCTAAAAACTGCAGATGAAAGCCAAAAACATCACCTAATTCCTACAAATTCATTATTGTGTGCACTAACAGAAACATGTGTAACAGAAAGCCAAAAAATACCTACTCTTGATTTTATGCTGCACACCTAGTTTAAGAGGAAACCATAAACTAAGGGCAGAAGTTGAGCAAAGTGAAATGCACAGATGTCCCCTTTTAAGTATTTATTCGAGCAAAGTGCATAGAAAATAAGGTATTTAAGAAATAGGCAAAAAGTCATCTTTATCCCTGTAGTTTGCCACTTTTACCACTTCAGTCCCTGTAGTTTCAATTTTTTCAATTTATCCATGTAGTTTTCAATTTTTTCAATTTTATCCTTGTAGTTTTCAATTCAAAGCAATTCAAGAACACATTTCAAGTTTTGTCTAAATTCCTCCCAACTCCGTTAAGTTTTGACCACGTGTCCCTCATAAAGGGGTATTTTGGTCCACTCGAGTCAAATTCCTCCCAATTCACCAAAATTTTAATACAGAGATGCAAATTTCAACACCCTAAATCCCAAAATCGCACTTAAAGTGAATGGGAAGAGCTCTCGCTTGTATTTCACCACTAGATGGCTCAAATGAACTAAAATGCCCATCCACGTGCCCCTCACTCAAAGCTTAACATAATTTGGAGTAATTTGACAAAAAATTGAACTTTGTCCTTAAATTGCTCCAAATGGAAACTATAAGGATAAAATTGACAAAATTGAAACAACAAGGACCAAAGTGGTAAAGCCAGCAAACTATAGGGACCAAAAATAAACTTTTGCCTAATTCAGTTTTGGGATAAATAAAAAAAACTGTAGCCACAATCTCCAAGTAATGAAGTTAAGCAGAGTGCACACTGGAGATCATAATCATAAAAGCATTGGACAGATGCTCCCTTTAATTATTTACTTGAGCAGTATTTGTTATATACTGGATATGGTCAGAGACTCCAGGTTTGTGTTTCCATCCATATGCTTCTCACGCAGTAAAAGAAAAAGTCAAAGCCAAACATAAATTAAATGAAGAATTGAAAGAAAGAAAAGAAAAAAAATAATTCAATTGAGCACAGATATACACCTGGGAAACACAAATAAGTACCTGGAAAAGAAGGATTATAATGATCAGAAAAACTCCTATAGCCATTGAACTGCTATAATAAAAAGGAACCCAACTGCTGACAATTGGTGCCAGCAATAGCAAAAATAATCCCAGTGCTAGGCACACAAGGCGCCATTTCTGAGAATCTGCAAAGACAAAATTGAAATAATTATCAAAGCTTGCAAATTGTAGCATAAGAAATTGTAGTCAGCGATAAATTATTTTACTTCTGGCAGACCTTCTTTAACAGTAATGGTGACCGAACCAGGTATTTCATCATTGAACTTGACATCAATATATTTTTCATCATAAGGGGACATGACAGTGCTCCATAACTCTTTCTGAAGATTTTTCCAATTATCCTTTTCACACTGACATAGTACAAGAGAATTATTCCTGCAAACAAACTAATGAGTCAGACAAAGCAATCCACAGAAAAAAGAAAAATAAGTTGTATTTGTGAGTGTGTGTGTGTGTGTGTGTGTGTGTGTAAATATAAATATATGCTAAAGAAAATGAGTAAGTGACAGCAACAGGAGAAGGGAGGGTTAAGCAAGCATGCACTTAACAGTAAAAAGTCGTGACATTTTACTCACCTGTGAAAGCAGACCTCAATTTTGCTATACAATTTCTCTGGGATTTCAGGAGATGGAGACAAAGTAATTCGAAGTGAACTTGCATAACTCCCAAGTTTTAGCCTGGATATACCAGAAACTCGTACCCGTTCACACAATAAAACATCCTTAGAACCAGAAGTAGAAAGCAGTGCTGGGCTGACATCTAGTACTGGGTTTTCAAGATCAACACCTGTGATTTAAAATTGCTGAAAGTTATTTTGAAATATAGAAACAAACACGGGAAAGTATAAAAGAGAAAAGAAACAAAGGCATCAATCAAAATCTTCGAAGTTTAATATCCATAAAAATATATTAAACACACTGTATAGGTACAAAAAATTCAAATTCAAAATCATAGCTAAATAAAGTGCACAGATTAGTGTATGTTATTGATCTGACCCTAATAGAAACTTGAGTGGTATGGTACAATATATATGTTAAAAGACCAAATCTAGAACGAAATAATGCTAAACAATAAGTACCACTCTATTTTTAGGCCAAAATCAACATGTTTGAAACCCTAAATCAGCCAACAATTTGACACTTCACTCATGCAATAGAGAAAACCAAAAAACCAAAGCAGCATAACGGTAACCTAACTCTCCCTCTGGTTACCATGAAAGCCAAAGGTAGAAAGAAAAACGTGGAGACTAAAGCGTAGTGGCACTAATCATTTCCATAGCAAATGAACAAGCTACAAACTATACCAAACATATGCAGAACAAGTCAAGTAGAAGCTTTCACTTTCTTAAATGGAAAGACATTAAAAGAACAAACCCACATAAAAAAAAAGTCACTGATTTTCCTGTATTTTCTCAGAAACCAAGCAAGCGACCAACCATCTACACTATGAAAACCGAATACAGAGGGAAAGAAAAGGACGACAGATACCTTTGATAGCGCCGTCGTCAGTGGCGAGTGAGAGGGTCGAAAGAGAGAGACAGAAAGTGAAGAGAAGGACAAGAGTGGCGGAGGAAGGAGAGCCCATTGCATCGCACGCTCGCGCTACTCTCTGCTCTCCGAAAGAACTTCCGCTCCAAGTCCCCTTCTCTTTTTTCTTTTTTTTTGTAATATGCGCCTTATGGGCTGTGGGCTAATTTTCGAGCAATGCTGCCTCAACTTACTTAAGAGGAGGATTTTAGGGCATGTTTACATATGTCATACTTGGAGTATATAAAAGTTTCCTCAAAATTAAAAAAAAAAAGAGTATAATATATATATACAGAGAGCTTCTATTGAGGAATCCCTCAAATAAGGTTATTTGAGGGACACCCTTTGTAGGGCCCACTCCATATTGTATTTCACTAATCCAAACCGTCTATTTTGTAGATACACATTCAAAGATCATCTCTACAAAAAAATCACTTGAATCCGATATCATTTGACCATTCAATTGAGTTATTGAAAATTTAATACTTTCTTGAAGCACCGTGTTCATTGATTTTGTAAGACACAATTGGATGTCGAAACGGTTTCCGATTTGTCTAATTTTTTGTAAGGATGATCTATGAATGAAGACCTAAAAAATAGATGATTTGGATCATTGGAAAAAAAAATTGTAGGGTACCTTAAAGGGCGTCCCTCAAATATTTATTTAAGGGATCCCTCAATAAAATGAGACTATATATATGCTAAAGGTTGGGTACCTAGGAGAACATTATAACTAGAAGTCTTAATATTTAATGTTAAAGTTTTAAGAATATGAATTTTCAAGCTTTAAATAAGAGTCCAAAAGATCAAACACTTTTAATACAAAGTTGTACGCCTGATGCTAATATTAGAATTCCACACACAGTTAAATGGTCTGAGATTAGTCTACCTACTGATTGGACTTTAGTCACTGAGACCCAACCTGCCCTTATACAACGAGGTTTAAATAATTTAGATTATATTCAGCAATATGTAGATGGTACCGTTAAAATTAATTTTGGCAATCACCCTAAGTCCTGAGTCCAATTACAACAATTGCCTACACCTAGTAAATCCAAGAGACATACGCCTACTAGACACTCCTTCGCAGCTTCTTCCTCTACTCAAGAAAGAGACTTAGAAATAGAAAAAGCCCTAATTGATTTAAAATTAGAATCCCTTAGAAAAACAGCACAAATAAGCCACCCATGCTATGAAACTCCTCCTCCAGTTGCAAAAGATCTCAAACCTGAGTCTCCTCCTACTTCTCCCACGCAGACAGACTTCATAGTAAGTGAGGCCAATGCTTATGTCATAGATGGCCAATTAAGAGTTCTTAAGAAATCTAAACGATTTAAAATTAATTGGAAATCCTTGGATAAACACCTTTATGACCCCGGAATGAGACTAGGAGAAATAATTATCACATAGTTGTCCCAGACAAAAACAAAAGACAAGAAATTTTTAATGATTGGAAAGACTATATGCGGTCTGCTAAAGTTGAAATTTATTATCTTGATTTTGTAGAAAGCCGTTATATTTCGAATGAGTTAAAAACCTTAAGAAAAGAAAAATGGGTAAAAGCAGATCAAACTGAAGTTGTCTCTAGCCATCCCCTTGTAGAAACTATTCTTATTAACCATGGAACGTCAAAAGTTATTGCAAGTCCTTTTAAAATTGCTGACCAAACAGATGATAAGAATAGGAAACTGATTGAACAAAATAATTATGCCAATCAAAGTCTAGTTGTCATAGGAAAACAATTAGATAAAATAGAAACCAAAATTGACAAACTTCTTCCTTCTAAACCTAAACTTAAGTCAAAAGAAAAACCTTTAGTTCAGTTTCAAGAATTACAGCCCAATCACTCACTAAAGACTTCATCTACTATGAAAAAGATAGAAGGTATGCTTGAGCAGTTAACTCCAGTCAAACCTGAGAAATCTGGTCTTAAAGTCTTAGGATCTTCCTCAGCCTTAGTTGTCCAGTCATGTACTGATTCAAATGAAAGTATGGAAACCATTGAGTCTAGTAATATTTCAAAAATTGAAAATGCATTCAAGAATCTAGAATTAGAATCTGAGTTAAAAAGATTAACTAATAGAGTTAACCCTACTAGCTTAACTAAAAACTGGTATCTACACCACCTGATATCCAGTTCGAAGAAATGAATAATTTGAGTCAGTTTTCTGTTTCTTCTGATAAGTTGTATGAGTGGAATATAAACGGTTTGTCTGAGTAAGAAATAATGAACAAATTAACTCATGTGTTTATGGTAGCCAATAGTTATATCACTAATCATAACCTTCACCAATCTGAGATAGTTCCTTATTAGAAACTGGTTTTACTGGAACCTTACGTTCTTGGTGGGATAAACACTTAACTGATGAGTCCAGAAGAAATATAATACATGCTATCAAACTTAATGAAGAAGGTCTCCCCATATTTGATGAGAATATAGGTCACAGTGTAGAAGACGGAGTCAATACCCTCCTTTACACAATAGTTGAGCATTTCATAGGAACACCAAGTCATACCCAAGCTAGAATACATGATCAACTGAGTAATCTAAGGTGTCCTCAATTAAGTGATTTTAGATGGTATAAAGATGTTTTTATTTCCCGAGTAATGCTACGAGAAGATAGTAATCAAGCTTTTTGGAAAGAAAAATTTATTAATGGATTACCAAATTTATTCGCCCATAAAATCGAACAGTCTTAAGTAATGAGTTAGGACATATAGATTATGATAATTTAACTTATGGCAATATAATTAGTATGATTAATCAAGAAGGTATGAAAATGTGTATTGATATGAAAATTAGTAGACAAATTCAATCTGAAAGAAAATCTGCTAAATATGAGTTAGGTAATTTCTGTTAACAATATGGTTTAATTGCTATCCCTCCTTCCAGGAAAAACAAGCCCAATTTCCCTAGTCATATCCGTAAGAAAAGACATTATGATAGAAAGAGACAATCCTTCCAACATAATAATGAGCATAATGAATTCTATAAGAAAAGAAAGTTTCACCCTAGGAAAAATTGGTCAAAAATGCCAAAAGATAATAATCACTTTAAGAAAAGTACTGATAAAAGAAAAGTAAGATGCTATAAATGCCAAAAGTTCAGTCACTATGCTAATAAGTGTAAAGTAAAAGATGCTATCCGACAATTAAAAATAACAGATGAGGAAAAAGCCAATTTAATTAAAGTTCTTGAGATACGCAATTCTGAGTCTAGTGAAATTGAAACTTCGGTTAATGACCCTGAGTCAACTAACTATGAGTCGTCAGATTCCCAATTAAGTTCACCTAGAATCCAATTAGGATGTAGAGATAAATGCTGCAATACTTTAAAATCTATTTCTGTTTTAACTAAGCAAGAAGAACAGGAAGAATTATTAATAGATTTGATTAGCAAGATAGAAAATCCTGAATTAAAATCTGAGAATTTAAAGAAACTTAGAAAGATCATCACTCAAGAAACTAATACGAGTCATCCGAGTCCTCCAACAATAAGTCTTAATACTACTCTAGAAAGATTTCATAAGAAAAAAGAAGTTTCTTTACAAGATCTACATTCTGAAGTAAAAATAATCAAAAAGAAATAATCGAGTTAAAACAATTAAGTCACAAGTTACAAACTGAGAATTATGAGATTAAGCAGATTTAAATTCCCTTCTAGACAAAGAAACTTCTGAGTCTGATAGTCAACCTGGTAGTCCCTCCAATTCTGAGAAAGCTTTACAGGAAGAACAAACTATTAATTTAATCACACAAGCCTATTTAGGAAATGGTATTCTAAAATTACTATAGTTGTTAAAAAATTTGAATTCAACACGATTGCCTTATTTGATTCAGGAGCTGATCTTAATTGTATAAAAGAAGGTTTAATTCCTACTAAGTATTATAAGAAATCTAGAGAATCCTTAAGCACCGCTTCAGGAAAGTTACTTCAATTAAGCTATGAGATCCCAAAAGCCCATGTCTGCCAGAATAAAATTTGTTTTAAAACTTCTTTTGTTTTAATTAAAAATATAACTGATAAAGTCATTTTAGGCTTACCTTTCATAGCCTTCTTTACCCTTTTCAAGTTGAATTTGATAATGTGGTATCAAGTCATTTAGGTGAGAAAGTTAAATTTGATTTTTTAACCAAACCCGAGTTACGTAGGCTTATCTTTACAAAAAAAATGATATTGCCAAAACAATTACTTTAATAAAAGACAAAAGTAGCCAAGTCTGCCACCTTCAAGAAGAAGTAAAAACTAAGAGAATTGAGTCTCAACTAAGTAGCCCGTCTTTCCAACAACAGGTCTTAGAATTTGAGAAAAAATTAGTATCCGAAATATGTTCAGATCTACCCACTGCTTTTTGGCATAGAAAAAATCATGTTGTGAATTTGCCTTATGTTAAGAGTTTTTCTGAGAAAAATATCCATACTAAAGCTAGACCAATCCAGATGAGTCAAGAAATGATGGAATTCTGCAAATTGGATAACTCTATCGATTGGACGGATCTGCGATTGATTAATATTAAAGCCAAGGAATCTAACATTGGTTTGGAATAACTTAATCTTAGGGGCAGAGACAACTAATCCATTTGACTTGACTATTTGAAAAAATTTACGCAGGTGCTTCCAATGTTGTTCTATAGATTGGGAGAAAATAAGAACATCATCAATATAAACAATAGAGAATGACTATAAGGATTAATTAATGAAATACAAACATAGAACATAAAAACAATAACATAATGATATGAATTTAAAATACTCAAAATATATTGATAGCTTGAAAATAAGCTATGAGAATGTTGGCTTACAAAGATTGAAAGCTAGCTCTTGAGTTCCTATTGTTATTCTTCATATCATTGTTTCTGAGAGAACATTAAACTGAGAAACTAAAATTCATTCTTTTTCATTTTGAATACAACTGAGGCTGAAGCCGTCTTAAATAAGAGAAAAGCAAACTCAACTATGATTACATATCTAGAGTAAAGTAACTTGAGTTGGATCCTTTAACACGGGAAGAGAGACTGTAGTTTTAACTCAGGGAATCTACTTTTTCCAATTCAACTT